CTCTACACAACGAAAAAAACTATCTAAACTTGTTGTTGACAAAAACAATTATAACTAAGATTTATCAAACGCAACACTTACAAGCCCAACGAACCCAACGAAACGAACAACTCAGTGACAACAGCAACAATACCTTACATCAAAGGTACGTCTGAGACTATCTCGCGTATCTTACGACCATACAACATACGTGTCGCACATAAACCAATCACAACGTTACGACAAGTACTAACGAACATAAAGGACAAAGAACAACCCAACAAACGACAAGGTGCAGTTTACAAAATAAACTGCTCCGACTGCCACGCCTCCTATATCGGGGAAACTTGCAAGAACTTAAACATAAGACTTACTGAACACAAACGAGCTACTAAGAAACAAAACAAAACTAATCACATTGCCGAACATCACCGAATCACAAAGCACAACATTGACTGGGACTCGGCAAAATGCATTACTTACAGTACTGACTGTAGACAACGGCTTACATTAGAAAGTTGGTATACCAACTTAGAAAAAACCCCCCTGAACAGATCACAGCAATTACCGGCACCTTACAAACGACTTATTAACAATACAAACAAACGATAAACTAAAAACATTACACTTCACCCTAATTCACAATGACAATACACATTTCCTGTACACACAATACAGTGACGTAAGAACCAGATAACAAATACGGCTAACCTGATGTTTACTCCTCATTTGACTCTGAAGATGACTACCGCTAAGATTGTCGAAACGTCTGTCAACAACAACAAAAACAGTCCTTCTCAGGACTTTATTAACCTGGACGATCATCATTTACAAACATGTAAAGATCTTCCTGGGTTCAAACCATTTACTTTAGAAATTATGTATTGAAATTACATCCCAAATGAGCTGATTTCAATCAATTTTCTTAACTTAAATGAAGTGTTACTCCACTTTAAAGCAAATTAGAATCCTAGCTTCGATGCAATGTCAACGTTAACGAGTGATCGATGAATCTCTTTCCAAGATACACAATCCCTTAGCAAAAAATTGACAAGAAAAATGTTATGCTCCCACATTGAGTTCTATAATAACTGGAGGGGAAAAGGGGCCTGGACCATTGAGTTCTGTAATAACTGGAGCGGCTAACTTTACTGGGGCGAGGACGCCAAAAAAATGGCGGCCAAAGGACGTATTTCCGCTGAAATGATCGCTTTGCAGAAAAATAATATTCTCGACCTCCCCCTGGTGTCTATAGTAAATTATAAAGAATTTTTCAAAAACAAACACGATATCACAGAATATCGATATCGTTAGTTCCATATTCTGTGACGATTCTTTTTTGGCATTTCTTTTATAATGCCAACACTTCAATCGTTCATTTGTTGATGTCTTAGTTTCCACAAAAAGGAACATATCGCTTCTCACAGGTGAGGTAGTTGTTTGTTTTGTTAGTCCGTCAACGATTGAAAAGCAATTATACATGCACTTGAAAAGCCATAAATACATAATAAAGATCGTATTTTTTAAGACTGACTTGAACGCCAAATATACTGATGTTTTCCTGTTTTTGTTTATAAAATTCTGTGTACTTTTCTGTCATTTGTTAATGCATGAAGTCGTAAATTTACCCATTTATTTGCAAAATAGTTTCCCTAAAGCAAAAAAGACCCTGCACACATTTTGCTCTGTGAGTAAGAGTCAAAAAGAAATAATCAGCCCCAACGGTACCCATGATTTGGAGCAGAGCTTGTTATGTTCTATTTGCTGACAACATGCAGGGAAGATCAAGGAGTAAAGATGACTGGAAGATGTTATTGACCAGGCAGAGTCTTAAAAAATGATAATGGTGTAAAGATAATTGATTTGTTGTCTGCCCTATCCAGAGTTATTTAATTTGATCGTGGTCAAATTCTATGGATGGAGACAATGGATTCACTAAGGATGCCTTGAATGCTTTGAAGTTAAAGTTCATGATCCAAAGAAAGATGGCAAGAAGGTTGTGTGTGTTTTGATGCTTAATGAAATGTCAATTCACAAACATGTAAAATGGAAGGCCATAAAGTTTGTGTCTATGTAAACATTTGTACTGAGATTGATGACGACTCGATGCAGATGTGAAGCTTCAAACTGTATAAGCCATTGGGTTTTATGTAACTTAATGTTTAAATCATGTCATATCTTTATCAAAATTTTTAAGTTGATTGTTGTTTGAATGTTACTAATATCTAATGCACTATACTGAAGCATTAAAGATTCAGTGATGAAACCTTTAAAGTTACTGTACTGTATATTTCTTATATATTTCTTATGTTTCTTTAAGAAAAATTTGAGCTTATTTACCTATTAGAGTACAGAATGGAGATTTATCATATGCATTATTGCTGCTTTTTTAAAGAAAAGTTTTCACTTTTCAAAGCTTTCTCTAAATTTTTGCTTCTTATTTCTTATCATGAGATTGATGATATAGAGGTAATACAATACAATAACTTTCTAATTTCTAAAAGCTTTTAAACTTCTAGCATAAAAGTACACTATAGGTATGTAATTCATTTGGTTTTATTGCCTTGCTATGACATATCTACTTGCACTTCATCATTCTTGTATGAACAAAACACCAGATGTGGATACTCAGAGAACAAAATGCACTACCAACTGCTTATGAAATTTATTATTGAGGTGAAAACTGTGTTAATCATTCAAATTATAGTGCACTTCTATTGCAAATATAGGAAAAACAAAACAAAGTGAAAAAGAAAGGTAGAAGTATTAAAACTACAAATGAATTATAAACACCATTGGAAGCATAAGTGTTTTGATTATTATTTGCATTTTGTCCAATTCATATATCAATACAACAAAATCAAAATGTGCTAAAACTTTACAAGTATTTGATGCAGTTGCACTTCAGAACATCACAAAAAGGTTACTTAAAGGACATTGGCAACGAAAATTTTTTTTCATACGTTTATCATAGATAGATATGGAATACTTAATTTCGTGTTTTCGTGTCTCTTTTGAATTTTGCTGTTGAGAAAATTTGACATAAAGTTGAATCCTTATCCGCCATTTTTGGAAAAAAAACCTTATGCTAAATTATGCCGGAATAAATTACTGACGTCATCGGCTGGTATCCACTGAATGACACAATATAAAATAATAGTATTATAATAATATATAGCACATTTGTTCACCGGAATTTTAAAACAAAAACAACAGTCGGCGGTTGTTAAGAATAACAAAAGTTGTGTAGTTTATCACGCTTATATACTTTTCCAATATTTAGTCGTTATAAGACGTAGAAACGTTTATTTTAGCAGATCTTACAACTAGGCTTTGACGACATACCAAGTGTAAGCCCAGACAACAACAAGCGCGTTTTATACACTGCACATTTCGTGCAATAGAAATATTTCATTTTCCCATATTACAAACCTGTGACCAACAAATGATTTATACATTTAATTTATTATTTGTATACATAAGAGTCTTTGAAAGATTATGTAGTTTTATGTAGGTGATAAGCTCTAAGCCGCTATGTTTTGTTCTTGACTTTAGAGTTTGTTTATCCGTAATGTTTTACGTGCGTGTTTGCGTGCACAATGTACAAGTACACTTTTCCATTAACTTTATAACTTATGAATGAATACAAGTTTTGGGTGGATCACTCATGCATTTTGCTTTTGCGCAGTCCGTGACAATCCTTTGACAATGATATGGCATCGCAATTGCAGATAACAACAAAGAACATTAAAGAGCGTCTGTCTAAGACTAACTTTACGGTCGTTCGTGATAACATGCGTAATTAAAATGTGTATAAAGTCCGTCTGGTGACGCGAAGCCTTTTTGTATGCTTGTATAAACACAAGCAGGAAATGGTCTTCGATGTTTCTTCCCCAAAATTTAAAAAATCCACCTAGAACATCTTTGATATGCGACTAATCGATACAGCTTGTGTATTCTCTCTAGATCCTCATCAGACAGGGGCCAGTTTTCTTCAAGATGTTGACACACGTCTATCTTTAACACACTTTCTGAGAGCATATTGTCCCTAAATTCTTGGTGTGTTGTCAAGCAATTTATCCTTGAGTTTCTGTTTGGCCTAGCAAAACCTCATACTCATCGTATTCAAGTGCTGTTTCGTGGCAACAAAAACACTCGATTGCCTTTTTTGACAAAGTACAATGTCCACACTTACACCAACTAAAACTTTGAAGGCGCCAAGCATTTGCTTTCTCAAATTCAGCAATTATTTCATCCTCCGACGAGGACAAGTCGCTCTGCTCACTCTCTTGTTCGGAACCGCTTTCTTCGCTTGTTTCGGCCTTCACTTCAGGTTCATATTGATAGGGCAGATACAGCAAAAAAATCCCGTAAAATACGCTTTAAATGTGTTGTAACGCAGTCAATCACAAAGTATATTGTATTGTTGTTTTGACTGCTCACCAGCCAATGACGTCACTACCGCTCGAGATAATTTTTTCAAAATTTTATCCAAGATGGCGTAATTTATAAAACTTTTGCTGCAAATATCTCAGCAACAAAATATTTTTGAGAAAAAATTTTTCTATTTTAGTTGTTAGACATCACAAAGGTTCAAAAATATGCCATAAAAATTTTCGTTGCCAATGTCCTTTAAAGTAATTTCTATATACTAATTTAATATGTACTTTTTTAAAGAAACAAGTAAAAATCCTACAATTGTGGCGAAAAAAGCCATTGCCCATTGCACGAAAATAAGCAAAATAGCAATGATAACAAATAAGCTAACTTCTCTCTCGTGAACCGTGGAGATGAACTATGATAAACTTTTTTGTATAGACTAAAGAGTTTATTCGATCAAATAAGTTTGACGCTGGTAAGAAAACGACGCACATCTACATTCATACATGTGTAGCCGACATATAGGTCTTTCGTCGATAGTTATAAATGCATCCTCGTAGGAGCAGACAACTGACAACCACAGTTGACTCGCTGTTATGAATTTAAAGTGGTACTATGACGAAAACTCAACGTTAAAAAATCATCGATTTTAGCATTCAATAGTTTAAACACATATCAATTATTGCTTTCGTAAAATTTAAGCAAAAATAATAGTATAACGAGGGAGTTATGAGCATTTGCAATGTCTAATTTTCATGTCCGCCAATAAAATCGGCCATTTTGAATATTTGCAATCAGCAAAGGTCTGTGACGTCATAGTCTTGACACAGCAAGAAGCGCACATTGGAAAGTATACAAAGTAATACATAAATAGAGCAAAAAAATGTCAAATTCATCGAGATCTAGCTCGCTTTCTGAGTCTTCGATCGAGACAAACGCATCGATTTCTTCATCGGAATTCATGACGGCAAATTCGGACGAATCTAATTCGGAAATTTTGCCATTTGCCGATAATATTGAACCGCTTGCTTCGCCCGATGAAATTGCTGAGTACGAAGCTGCAGTCGCAGAAGAACGGCAGGTTGAGGACATGCTGCAAGATCGTTTTGATGCCCGTGTTGATGTTTCTTCTTGGTAAGATGTCATTCTTAGTGTGTTACTTTGATCTGAATCGTCTGCCGTTAGCTATGATAACTTTATGGAAACATACAATTTGGCCAATATTAAAGGTGTGAATGTGGCCATTGTTCGTTGGATCTTGTTGTCAACCCTCAAGAGTGCCGATGCTGCATGGAATTAGAGCAATGCCGTGGTAAAATGTATCAGTTCGAAGTCGATGAAAGGAAATGCATTTTGGATCACCCTGGCTTTAACGAAGTTTGCCTGAACGAATTTGTTCTTCAAGCAGCTTCGTTAGTTTTAAAGACCAAAGGTCATCGCAGTTATGCGACCGTTTTTCGAGATGGTCGAAAGACCAGAGAGGAGTAAGCCTTTTTCTTTGTGAAAATTCTAAAAATAATATTTTGTGCGCCTGCATCTATGTTCACTTTTTGAAATTTATAGGTTCTTTCGAGCAGTATCGTACAGACAAGTCGTGCGCCTTGTATGGTACTTTACAGGCAGCTCCAGACATTTGCCACTGCCTTGTTGTTGTTACAACAAAATACGGACGACATTTCCGAACAATAAGTGTCTTCCTTACAAAGGATTCGAAGAGGATGAGGACATATAGCAATGTAAAAAGGTGATGGAAAAAGCTATCATAGGTGGTATATTTACAAAATTTACAAATATACATTTATATTATTGACAACTGCCCTTCTTGTGACCTTTCATAGGCTTTGCACATTTTTTGCACAATGGATTTCTTTTTTTAGCTGTATGCTCTTGACCTGTACCAAGCAAATCTTGTAATTCTTCATCTGTGCATGTGGGGGGACAGTCAGTGTTAAGTCTACGTTTTCGAGAACGAAACAAGGTAATTGCCTCAACTTTTGCTTGCTTTTCAGAAAGCATCATGTGCATTGGCTCTGGAGTGTGTCTCCTCAATTCATTTTCAACTTCTTCAAGCTTTTTCCTTGGAGTCTTCAGCAAAGTGTCATAAATTTCTTCAACATATGCTTCAACAAAATTGGTAAATAATCCATTAGTGTTTTGTAAATACAACACATGCATTTAATTTCTCATGCTCATCAATTAAACTCACAGAAGTCTTGCTTCACCCTAACATTTCGTACAGTTCCTTCTCCCTCCTTATACTTTGTATATGTGAACCGAAGACGAGTTTCGCATCAAGTGTATGGACGGGGACGGGGTGGGGCGGGTGGCTGAATGGTTAATTGCGTGAGTTGCAAGCCAGACGGCGCGGGTTCAATCCCGGCTCGTGGCACATCTGGCAATGTGTCTGTAAACCTAGCCCGGGTTGACCAAAGCCATGTGAGGGAAATTTGGTAGAGGAAACTATGTCCTCGGATGGACTGTATCTGCATCTGCAATGTTGCAGCCTTGTCACAAATGTGTCACGCTGATATCAGCGTTGTAGTTGCGGGAAAGGTACGAGTGATTGTAGTCTGATCAGCTGCCTTCACTATAATTTAAGTAACCAGGATGTTCCACTTCGTGGAACCCTCATAGTCGAAATCGACGGAGTCCATTATTATTATTATTATTATTAGTCTTGCTAGCCCTCCGCAAATTAAAGTTGAAATGTAATACTGCTAAGATGGACCTACAATGAAAATTATTAGTTAACTTTATTTCATTATCACATATTCTTTGTCTTGAATTTTATCAAACTGTGATTTTTAGTTTACCTGCAATACATGCCAGAATAAGAGAAATGAATCATTTTTGGTGCGAAATGATTAACAACTGAATGGTATCCCTCCAAACAGCTAGTCTGGGCAACAGAAGATGCTTGTTTGATAGCTTTAACAAGTTGTAACTTGTGCTAACCTGACGCCGCTCTCTTGACGTTGTTGGTGTTGGCGATTTCTTCCAAATAGTAGGTACGGAACCAGGTTTGAGCCGTCTAGTCATACCACCCAAATGGAAAAAACGCTCAAAACAATCATCCGAGAAGTGATTCGAACAAATCATAAATCGAATTTCGCGCGAACTCGGATTAAAGTTTGCGCGCTTCGTCTCAACAAATTTAACCCAAATTCTTCTTAAAGACTCGTCGTTTGGGCTTTTATGTAATGAAATGCCTGTACTTCTATCAGACGTATTACTGCAATCTTGCACGACACAGCGTGTTGAAGGCATGTTAAAAAAATTGAGTTTACAACCTTTTATATCTCTATTTGTATATAGTGTTATATTGCAAACAGCCGCGAGTTAAGACTATGACGTCACAAGCACCTTTCTTCTTGAAAATTCAAATATGGCGCATTTTAATGGCGGCTCTTAAAGTACAAGTTTTATCGCTACGTAACTCGAGCAGCATTAAATACATTGCGCTAAAATTTCGCCAGAAGAGATTTTTTTACATACACTATTAATCTATGAAAAAAAAACGGGAGGCAAAATTTTCGTCATAGTACCACTTTAAGGTTTTTACCTTGATTTTCATCAAAAAATTGCTTGCCGAATACCAAATACACACATACATTTTCCTCACTCTTTCCTCAGGAGGAAGTGGGAAATTGTGAAATTTTCGGAAAAGCGGTCAATTTCGGTAAATCTCAGCGGCAAAGGACGAAATCCGCCATTTTTTTGGCGTCATCAGATATCTAAGGCCGCGCTTGAGATAGCCGCTCCAGTTATTACAGAACTCAATGGGCTGGCCCTATATCAAAATTTTGTGTTTCTAGGCATAGTAATAATGTGAGAAAGTTTCATAGTTGTAACATTCAAGTGAAGAATTTTGTCATTAACAGTTGTACTAAGAGGGTTCTTGAAGTTCAAGTGTGTGAATCTAATGACAGATGTGACTGTGATGATATAAACAAGAATATCTAATTAAGTGAAACGATTGATCTCATTCTAGATCACTTGGTTACGGACAAAATATATTTCTTCATCTACAAATATTTGAGGCTTTTGAATTACTATTTTGTGATGTCTTTTTTTGCAATGATTCTGTTTTACTTCCATCAAATATTAAAGCCCAGCAAGGTGCTTTTAAAAGAGCCATTCAATACAAAAATGACGTATAAAAAGAAATATTTATTTAGTAGCGTAACGTTTCGTCTTGACTCCCAAGACATCATCAGACAGTATTAAATATTGTATAGAGTGTATATGTTTTTTAAAGCCTTTACAGTATATAGTGTGTATATTGTTTATAGTATATGTAGTGTATATGATGTGTATAGTGTGTATAGTGTGTCTATAGGCAGCAGTGTGTATAGTGTGTATAATGTGTATAGTGTGTATATTATGTAGAGTATCTGGGCCCGGTTGCTCGAAGCTATGATAGCGTTATCCATTGGTTCTAGAATTAAAAAATTTCATCATCGTAAAGAAAATATAACTAACTTTTTACCAAGTTTGAAAAATGCACTATCCAATGGATAACGCTATCAGGCTTCATGCAACCAGCCCCTGGTGTGCATAATGTGTATAGTAGTAGGCTGTATGTAGGGTAAATGGTGTTTGTAGCATGAATAGTATGTACATGCATGGAGTATATGTTCTTTTATAGCCTGCATGTGTAGCTTACATAACGACATGTATCATGTCGTGCCTTTTTTGAAATTTGATGCGACGTTTTTAATCACAAGTTAAAATATGCAACTCAACATGAAATATGCTATAGTCACCACAGTCAGACTACGTTTACACTACTCCGGTCGGTCTGAATACGGCGCAAAGAAGTAACGAAACCGTGTTGCGTTTATACCCCGCCGGAGCGGAATTGTTTGAAAACGTCACTTTTCCGGATCGATATGAACACACTTTCTAAACGTGGTCGAACGAAAACGGAGCGCTACGCATTGTCTTGTAAACAGTTAGTCATTAATATTTCGCAACTCTTTAGATACCTGTTCTATTTAATAATTCGTACCGTGTTGTGGCGCATAATTGCAAATGGTAATTATTTTATGTTTTGGAAAGCTTTTAATGACTGATTCCATTGTAATTATTGAAAATAAATGTTTTTTTTATGACTTATGTCGGTTGATATAAACATTTAGTAATATGCAAATAACAAACGGCGCCATCTTTCACAAACAACTAACTAATTTTGACAGCAAGAGACATTATGTGTGAACACCACCCAACCTGTAGCGGAATTTAAACGGTCAGTGTAAACGCAGTAAAAATATGCCGTCACTTTTCGCTCCGGTGTAATGTAAACGTAGTTTTAAATATGCCGCAGAAGGGCGTAAAGTTTTCAGTTGAAAAAGGCATTTTTAAAAGGTCAACACTTATTTATATAAAAGTTCAACACTTATTTATATAAAAGTTCAACACTTATTTATATAAAAGTTCAACACTTATTTATGTAAAAGTTCAACACTTATTTATGAGATGTTAGTTTCTCTGTATATGTAATCTGTATTTTTTAACTGAGACTACGGCTTTTTATGCACGTTGACGGTTGTTAGTGGTTGATAACTAATGGAGAAATGCACAAGTTGTAGCATGTGTACGTGAATGAAGATGTTCAAATTGCAAATTGAACGCGTCTTTAGAACTCGCAAAAAGAAATACTACTTTATGATTTAACACAAAAATATTCCAACTTCCAGATTCTCTATTTTCCATTTTATCGATTTTTATGAACCTGTCACCAAATTTAAAGGGTATGTCGAGTATGCGAAACTCATACAGTAATGGGTTTTTTTTAATGAACCTGTCACAATATGAGATTTTTTTTAAAAAATATCCCGATATTTAGAGAATATAAATAGAACAGTTACTGTTGCTTCGTGCAGAGGATAAAAATTTGATTGTTATATACATTTTGGTACACGTCTTACTTGATTTCAAAGGAAAAGATGAATTTTTTCATACTTTTGTTAAACATGATGTTCTTCATGCAGGTTTATCAGTCTTCAGCTTGTGAAGCACCCTTTGGTCATTTTTGTCATTCTGGTAGAATTTATCAATGTGGCAAAGGAACATATCAAAATCGAAGAGGAAAAATATCATGCATAACTTGCCCACTTTGTACATTTTGTCTTTCAACTGGACCTGTAATATCCAACAAGGAAATTTATGGAGCACCACGACACCTCGTGAAAATTCGCTTTGCTGCAATTAAGTCAAATGAAACGTACACGGAGAGTAAATATGGTTATGATTCACAATTATTTGAAAACGGTAGGATGAAAGGTTATGTCAAAAACACCCGGGAAGTGATCGTTGTATCATTTCAGGGTTCTGACGGCCCTCTGGACTGGTTTAGGAATCTCAAGTTCTTCAAACAAAGATATTCGGGTTGCCAAAGATGCAAAATACACACTGGATTCTTCGAGGCTTATAGCCCGCTGAGAGACGAAATGCTTCAAAAAGTCAACAATTTTTATCAAGAGCATCCCAAAAAAGTTTTAGTCACAGGTCATTCACTTGGAGGAGCGATGGCGACTTTGGCAGCTGTTGATTTGGTCAATGCTAGATATACTGTCGATTTAATAACCTTTGGCTCCCCTAGGGTTGGTAACGAAGAATTTGCACAGTATGTCGACAGAATTGTGACGGGATTGAATCTTAGAGTGACGTACAAGAATGACATTGTTACGGTCGTTCCTAATATAGGATATCGACATGCTGGGCAAGAAATTCATTGCATTGGTCGTAATAAATGCCATGAATACCCAGCCGAGGTTAATTTGTGCCATCTAAGAGCAAACATTTTCGATCATTGTATGAAAAATTATCTCCAAATATAAGAAAAATGAAGTTAAATAGATTGCTGTAGAAGGATTAGGGCAGAACCTTGAAATTGTTTCTTAAAATGTTTTATCGTTTAATGTAAAACAATTCTTTAGTATGATGTAGGTTAACTTTGGTAGATAATTAAATAAATTGCTTCAATTGTTGTTAATAAAGAGTTTAAAAACTTCTCACAAAACTCGCTGATACAATTTAAATAATACTTTAATTCTTCCAAAGACCAAACTATTGTTGATTAAATAATCATTATCACTTTCAACACAAAGGTCTATGATCGCAATGAAACAATCACATTTGACAAAATCCCCACTTATTGTTACAGACAAACATTTTGTGGGTAGTCTGTTCTCACGAAAGAAAGAAAGCCTCCGTCTTTGTGCATTCGAGTGTGAAATAAAATGCCTGTCATGACAAAATGACGGTTATAAACAAACTGTTATCGGTGTATAATTTCGAGAGTTTTCATCAAATTCAATCAAATAGCTATATGCTCAAAATGATCGCTATATGTTTCTCTTTCTTATAAAATTTGATCGGACGAATTTTGAAACAATTCAATGGCTAGAAACTCTAAAACCTTCAATTTTGTAATTAGATAATTCTGTTTGTAAAACAATCTTGCACGCAAGAGACGTTCTGGTACCAGTTTGACTTCGTTCCAAGCAATAGAGCGTTAGATCAATTGCTGTTAATTCTGATTGTTATAATAAATTTTGGTACACGTCTTAGAAAGTTGAAGATTTTTATATTTTGTTAAGCATGGTGTTCTTATTGCAGGTTTATATGTCCTCAGCTTGTGATAGACAAGTTGGTCGACCCAAAAAGGAAAATTATGGAACTCCACAACATCCGTCGAAAATACGCTTTGCTGCAATTGAATCAAATGACGCCTACAATCAGAGTAAGCATAGTTATCATTCCAAATTATTTGACAAATGGCAGGATGAAAGGTTTTGTCAAAAACAGACAAAATGTAATCGTTGTAGCTATCATTTCAGGGTTCCAACCGCCTTCTCGAATGGTATAGAAATTTCAAGACCTGAAAAAGGTCATATAGTAGGGAATGCCAAAATTGCAGGGTACATATTGGATTCTTTCATTCTTATAGCCCACTGAAAAACCAAATGCTTAGTGACTTATACGCTTTGTATCTAAAACATCCCAAGAAAGCTTTAGTCACAGGTCATTCACTTGGAGGAGCAATGGCAAATTTGGCAGCTGTTGATTTGGTCAATGCTGGATATCCTGTCGATTTAATAACCTTTGGCGTACCTCGGGTTAGAAACAAAGAATTTGCACAATATGCCGACAGAATTGTGATAGGATTAAATCTTAGAGTGACGTACAAGAAAGACCCTGTTGTGATGATTCCTAAAAGACAATATCGGCATGCTGGGAATGAAATCCATTTCATTGGTGAAAATAAGTGCCATGAATAGCCTGAAAAGGCAGATGTGTGTCATGCACGAATAAGGTTTTCGATCGTCTTATGAAAAATTATCTTAAAATATAAAAAAAATCAGGTAAAGATTAATGTCGAAAGATTATGACAGACCCTTGAGTTTGTTTCTTTCAATGTTTTATCTTTTACTGTAAAACAATTTTTTAGTATGATGTAGGTTAACTTTGATAAATATTTAAATGAGTAGCTTCAATGATTGATCATTGTTGTTAATAAAGAATTTAAAGACTTTCCACAAAACTTGCTGATACAATTTAAATAATACTTCAATTCTTCCAACGACCAAACTATTGTTAATTAAATAATCATTCATCACTTTCAACACCAAGGTTTATGAACCCAATGAAACAATCACATTTGGCAAAATCGCGCACTCATTGTTTCAGACAAACATTTTGTGGGTAGTCTGCTCTCACGAAAGAAAGAAAGCCTCCGTCTTTGTGCATTCGAGTGTGAAATAAAATGCTGGTCTTGACAAAATGACGGTTTTAAACAAACTGTTATCGGTGTATAATTTCGAGAGTTTTCATCGAATTCAATCAAATAGCTATATGCTCAAAATGATCGCTGTATATTTCTCTTTCTTATATAATTTGATCTGACGAATTTTGAAACAATTCAATGGCTAGAAACTCTAAAACCTTCATTTTTGTAATCAGTTAATTCTGTTTGTAAAACAATCTTGCTTTAAATTGCATGCAAGAGACGTTCTGGTACCAGTTTGAGTTTGTTTCAGTTACATCAATTGCTGTTACTTTACTTCAGAGAATATAAATTCCAAGAATTATACAATTTGGGGCGTCTTACTTGATTTCGACGTAAAAAGACGATGGTTTTCATTCTTTTGCTAAGCAGACGCTTTATTCTGGCTTATCAGTTCACAGCTTAATCGTTAAGTACCCGTTGGTCATTGTCCTTGGATAAATTTTCCATCATATTCTGTAAAATGTGGCAAAGGAAACTATCAAGATCAAAGAGGTCAAACACCTTGCAAATGGTGTTAGTTCGCTTTGAAATAATAATCATCAGAAAATTTCGTGATGGAGTGTATCAACACCAAAGAGGAAAAACATTTTGTGCAAGTTTGCACAATTGGTAGAGTTTGTCTCTCAACAGGACTCGTAAAAGTAAACATAAAAACTCAGGTTACAATACACAACAAATTGTTAGTGATATTACCTGTTGTAAATCATACAAGGGTTGCCCACGTTGCAAAGTACACATTGAATTTTTTGTCACGAATAAACCACTGAAACAGCAAATGCTCGATAAAGTAAACCTTTTTTTCTTTAAGTCATTGTTAGGCGGGGGAAATTTATTGTGTCGGTCGAAGCCAAAACGTTGAACACCCCACAAACAAACATCCAAACGAAGATGTCACACGCGTAATAGGAAGCATTTTCGATCATATTAGGACGAATTATCTTTCAATATAAAATAAATGGAGTATGGATTAATTTAGAAGGATTATGGAAAAAGCTAAAGTTCATTTCGTTAATTCTTGTCATCATGACGTTTTGTCTTTTCATGTGGCGATATTAGCTACTTAAATCAACTTCTCTACAATGGAAGTGTTATTGTACTACATGAAAAATCTATGGTGGCCCGTATGTGCAATACACGAATAAATATGTAAGTGCGTAAAAAAATTATAAATCTCCAACAAAATAATCATAACACAAATCAAACTACTAGATACAAGTAAATAAGGTTTATTAAGTGTTAATTATTGAATAATACGCGACAAAAAGCTGTCAAAAACACTACTAAATCTTTCACTTGCGTGAAATGTAAAATCAACTAAAATATTTTGAATACAAAATACAAAGTTGCATGTGGAAAGATTATGGATTATGTGGGACGTTAGGTGTCAATGGCACATGTTCCCAACTTGGCTTGCTTTCAACAACCAAAGCACACACGTGTATTCTCTGGTATTCTCCATTGAGTGGTATTCTCATTTCCGACAAACTTGCATGCTAACTCCTTCAGACGCCACAAAATCCCGCAAAATGTATTGTTGCTTTTGTGGGTATAAATTAGAAGACAGCTTTGTCTACTGCCCGTCATGTGGGCGAAAAAAAAGTGAAACAAGTGGTGCCAACGCCGAGCATCTGATGCGCGATATATTTTTTGCTACTTTGGCTAGCAATATTGTGATGCATCACACGACATCACACTATCACACTCGAATGACGTAATGTCCGCAGTGTCGCATTCGTCTTTCTCCCGAAAATACTCGATGAAAACTCTCCTCACTGACAATTTAACCCATTCCGTTTATTTTTACGTCTTAATACTCAATAATTCGAGCGAAAAAAGTTTGCAAAACGCTTGCAAATATCGAGCAAGAGTCTGCCATTATACTTTTTTATTTACAATTTTGCATGGACAATTATATGATATGTCACCTATAGCAGTGTAGGTAGGTTCTTAGCCAATTGCAATCGAGATTGCTTAATATGCATAATAATAGTATTTCCCATGACTTCTGACTGGGAAAAGCCAAAGTCATTTCTCACTGGATCACTGGGGAAAGCCGAAATCATTTCTGACTAGGAAAAGCTGAAAATATGTCGAAGCGCAGGCGTAACAATTGTCAATCGGTTGACGATTTGCGAAAAGATGTCAACGAGGAACTACATCAAGAATATGTGGGGTCGAGGATATTAAGTGATATCCAATCTATTAATTTGAAAGTCTGCAATGATCTAAATGTTGATGTAATTCTGTTTGTTCTTGTTTTGAAATATGGGTTGTCACTTGTGTGCTCTATTGCCAATGTTGCGTCTTCTTTGCTTGTACTCCCCGTGAATGTACGTAAAGAAGTGTTGGCTTTGGTATGTCCCAATTTAGAAGAAGAAGATGTAAATGTTCTTTTACAGTCCGCTTCTAAATTAAAAGTTCCTAGTACAACCGATAGGAAGTTGCATGTATTTACACCTCCATGCTCCAAATGTATTAAGTGCAACCATGATCTTGTGAGCTACAATAAGCCAGTAAAGTTCAGGTACACGATCTTTCTGGAACTACCGATGGAGTGAAAGTTTCGCTTAGATGCAATCGCTGTAATTTGCTTTATGGATATTCCAAGTACGGTAATGGGAAAGATGGCTGGATGTTATATCCCGAACAAAGAAAAATGATCGAGGCTACGGATCTCTGTTTTGTTGATTCAACTTTGCTTCAGTGGCAGCTGTCACTCGCGTAAGTTACAATATAATCACTTGATTAATTAATGTTAAAATAGCAAGTAGATTTTACAAATGAAACATGTTTTCTATAGTTGTCATTCGTGGGTATCATTTAACGGTTTTTCTGAAGCGTTTAATGAAGTATACAATGGCAGTAAGAGAACGATATGTTGTAGATCTGTATTACTGTTATCACGTTGTTACAGTTTTTGATGGTAAGCATTATTTGCGTTTTATATAAAGATTTTGGAGAGAAACAAGTTGCTGCTTCATTTTGGGTCGGCGAGATGGAGAATGAGTTGAGGGAATTGGGGCAACTGGACTTTTTTGGTTTGCTTAAAGAAGATGGGGACTCTTCTAGGGTTCTAGAACAAATCGACAAAATTAGGGCGAGAAGTTTGTACGAGCATACATCAGATGATTGTTCTGATACTTGCAAAGAGCGCGGTAAGTTAGATGCAATTGTATTTTAAAATTAGTTTAAAAGCTATAAATATATTCTATTGGAAAATAGCTGTGATTCTCATCAGGCTAAGATATTTTCGTAATCAAACTTATAGGATGTGGAAGGCTATGGGTTGCCGATGGAATATGGAAATTAATGTTTCCTCATTGCATGATGCGTAGAAAGGTACTTATCTTAGTTTTATATAAAATTACTCCTTTGCTTTTCGTAACTTAATAATATTATATGAAATTGTTTTCAGAATTTTGTAAAAGGTATTCCATTGCTGAACTATCCCAATGTATGCACTGAGTCGCCTCAGCATGGAAAGGCATTCTGCGAACAGCATGTGCAATATTTGGAAAAAAACTTCCCTAATGTACCCACTAGTGTGCGTGGATTTTTAAGATATTGTGGTGTGAAGCCAAGTAACATAGGTATGTACTCCAAAATTGTCATGACTATAATCATGCTTGAGAATAAAGTCCGATTTTTCATGATCAATTCGAGATACATTAACAGAGCTTTTACACTTAATCACAACTGCTCTTGCTTTGGTATATAGTATTTTGCAGGAAATTGGTACCCTTTCTCTAAATTTATCTCAATGATATGTGTATTACAGAGCTGACAGAAAATTACTACAAAGAATTACTCTATTTTATAGGTGAAGAATTGATTGACGACACAGGTCTGCTTTCTAACAATGACGTGTCAAAATGGACGAAACACTGGGAAAGCTTGATAAAGATGACGACACTTTTCCAGTAGGAAATAGTGTTGTGGAGTCACAAGGTATATTTGTCTAAAATTTGTTTATTTCACAATATGAAAAACAGTTTTACATTGTAGCTAATATAGTAATATATCAGTGAAACCTAAGTTTTCCTACTAACGTAAAAGTGGTCGTTAATGACAGTGTGTTATAAAGCAGGTTTGTGAATGACGGCATGAATTTGAATTTTTTTAACCTCATCCATATTATATATATGATGAAATTTCAATACATTGGTACCGATAATTAATAACTTATTATTTTTTTAAGATAGAAAAATAACTTTTTATGACAGCATTTGGATTATAGTTATACATGCACGCGTGATGGTGGGGAAATTGTTACTTTGGATTATTTTGATTTTGCGTTTTTCTTTGCCTTCTCGCACTTTCAATGTTTATAAAAGTGTGGCGTCAAAAGTTTCAGGCCTCAAGCCTCAAAGTCATTCTTTTGTAAATGAAAACCAAATCTCTTGACAAATTTCTTGTCGGTTAGAACTTAGAAAGCCTTGTGTAGGTGTTTCATTCTTTTTGAACAATGCATGGAACAACAAAGCAGTGTATTGTGTGTCGTTTCTAAACACAATTCATAACTAGTGCTAACGCTAATTTGTACCATATAGGCAATGCTGAGTTCGTTAATAATGAGCCAGATGCAATTAAAGCTATTTTAAGAGATTGTGTTGAACCAACAAAAACAAAATGCAATAAGGAAACTGGGGGAAAACAAAGACTTCAAAAGTGGTCAAGAGGGCATTTGTTTATAGTTAGAGGAGGAGGAATAATTGATAAATGGAGTCCTCTTTATAGGTAAGCACAGAGAATGCTTGACAAAAGCGCATCTTCAGAAAAACTTTGTATTTATTATACATTTACATAACAATTAATTTTTTTCAGATCTGAAAGCCCTTCTCAAGTGTTTTTGATAACTCTTTCTTGGCTGCGCATTATGTTAAAGGAAATCAACCCAATGAATTGGAGTTCCGTTTTTTCATATGACAACATGTGCCACCTAGATGGCTTACAAGCAGCGAAAAGTTTTGCCATGGTCTCAACCATGGGATAAAGCATGGCTGTCAATTCGTAAAATAATTGATAGCCTTCATATCAAAAATCACAAAGACGAGAAATGCCTGGAGAAATACAATCCTTTGCCTTTAAAAACTGAAATCCCAAATGGAAATACAATGGCTGCTGAACAGACTTTCGTCTGGCTTTCCAGGTTTAAGAAGATACTGTGTGCTATGCCCAAAGTACATCATTTGTTTTACTTACATAGAATAGTAAAGCACAGAAACAAATATACTGTTAGATGCTATAAGACTGGTAAAAAACCTCTTTTACCAGTCGTTCGTAAGACAGAAAGCTAATTCATTCCCTTTTTATTTACGTATCTGTAATTGGAGATGAGCAATTATATATGCATGGTCGATTATCTACAACAAACAAATAATAGTCATTTTTACTAGTATTGAATTGCGTGGTTCATTCAACCTTCATTTCTTTAAAATTTTATTTTATCATTTTATTGCGTTTCGATTAACCTGTTTTGACTATTAATGTTCATTCGAAAATCACCCCCCCCCCGCTAGGTATCGTCTATTAATCGAATTGTCTCATCTCTAAATATAATCAAGCATTCCTTTGAACAATTTCATCAAAATTCCTAGTTTTTCAACAAGTTATATTGAATAAAACATACAACATTAGTATTAAAAATCAAGTTTTATTAAACGTTCAATTAAAATATGTACATATATGCCAGTTAGTGACCACTTGCTGTTAGTTCCTCCGCAACTTCGACAGAACCTTAACTATTACTATATGTAACTAATGTCTAATTAATTTACCAAGGATCGGTGTCTGGTACAGGTTTAAGTTTCAAACAGAATCAAGAGACCATGTCGTAATAACTGTTTCCTGGACATTAAAAAATTGAAAGAATACCTTCTACATGTCAATGGTGCCTTAACTCAAATTGATATACTTCTGCAATTTACAAAACTTTATAGCTTATTTTAAACTGTGATGCAATCTTTCTTATTTAGAGTGAATTACATACTGAATACTTTTCTCTTTTAATTGACAGGAAAAATCAAAATTATTGGCAGACTGAATTAAATTTCTTTTATATTGGTCATATTACACATAATTTGAACATATCTTTCAAAAACATACACAAGCTCCAACATCATGAATATTTTCTTTTGATCAAATTTTTGATATTAGCTAAAACCCAAGCTAGCACTATGATAATGTACGAAAAAGATGTTTGCAAATCAATGCAGAAATATGAAGCATTAATGTTGATTGCTTAACTAGTCAAATTGATAAGTATATCATGCATAAAAAAGCATTCTTTTAAATTAGAGGAAATCTCTGAGGGTAAATGTTGTAATAGATGAATGTAAGTAGGAATTGTTTCAAAATCTGAAGAGCACAAATAGAACACTGAAAGTATTTTTATGCTTTTGCACTGAGAGTGTTAAACGTCCATCAAGTGAAGTACCATTTGAATTTCCTTTATATTAGTCAGAGTGCAAAAGTGTCACATGTTGACGAAAAACAGCTATAAATGACATGAATATTTTATGCGCCTTTTCATTATTGAACAATTGTCAATAAATGCATGGACAAGATAACGGAAGATGCATTATCATGCATCATTAAAATTGTTGAACTTTATTACTGTGGCTGGAAAAACATCATTTTAAGGAGAAAAAACACTTAAGTATAAAAGTTTAAACGTTAAGATGACTGAAAATTATATAAAAACTTGAAGTAGCTACAAAGAGATTGGTTGTCACACTGCATCACAATACTTATGTTTTTTATTAGCTGGTGCATGTTTTTCGTCAAAATGTGACACTTTTGTATTATGCCCAATATACATGAAATTCAAATGGATGTACTTCACTTGAAGGACGTTTCATTTTCAAAGGAAGTGAGAACTCATTGCTGCCACAAGGAATGTTAAAAGCTAAATCATTTTTCTTTGAAGAAATTTCTTCAAAGAGCACTCATGTTTTAGAGAAACAGCAAAGACATTCATGATCAATCTTAAAACAATGCATGGAAAACGTGAAAGAAATATTGCCATGCATTTGAAATATTAAACTTGGTGAAAATTCACACATCCTTGTATAGTATAAAGAAAGACCGGTGTTTTATTTGTGCACTAGATTTGTAAACAAATCCTTCTTACACTCATCTATTTGTTCAACAATTAGCTACACTTAAAGGTTTTGTCTGTTTTAAAACAATGCCTTTTTTCTGCATGACATACTTATCAATGTGACTAGTTTGACAATCAACATTAATGCCAATTTTCACGTCAAATCGAGAATTGGTCAGTGTACGACGTTCAATATAATGTACGTCATGCAGTTTCCGCTCATTGTTTGGATTGTTTTCAGCCAATTAGAGGCCGCATCTTTTTTTACGAGAGGCGTACCACAAAAAATTCCTTAGCATATATATAGAGAGGCGTTTCAACATATCTTTCATTCGGTACATCTTCCTTACAAACTCTGGTAAGCTATAAACTAGGCAGGAATATGGCTTCAGACTATGAATTTGAAATTCAAGAAAAAACTATGGGAATTCGTGTGAGGAGAAAAAATGGAGAATCGGAGTATGTTGAAAAAACTAGTTTTTCGATGTCATTGCTGAAACACATTGACGCAGGCGATGACAGTGGCTTTCAATGTCGCGTATATTGCTCATTGCGTGAAGAGTCCAGGTAAGTCAAGAATTTTTTGTTCTCTTATTTTTCATATTGTCATTGTTGTTCATCATTTCCATGCAGAGCAAAAATGTGTGTGTGTTTAGGTTGTGTTTCTTCCGAAGCAAAGGTGCAATCTCTGGAGGTCAATCAAAATTTATGGACGATTTAAATAAATCATACAGTTCAGGTGTGTTGACAAGTGACTTCGATCCTCATGAATTCAAATGCTTCATCAAGTGGCAGATAAAGAACTATTTTGGGTAAACCAAATTATCGAAATTATTATTTTCATAATTCAAGATGTATTTCGTTTTTCTAATTTTTCACTGTATTGGAGACGTTGTCTTGCCGCCCTCATTTCACAAAATGTAATTATCAACTAATTCAGATTATTCGATCAGATAAACTATCCCCGTCATTTTGATAACTCTTTCATGTTGAGATGAAATAAGCCTAACCATTTTTTGCGGTGAAGTAACTTCTAGTTACTTCATGAATAAAATTGACATCAATGAACCCTGAACCCATCATTTAAACCCTGAACTTTTAACAAAATAACGCTTCCAGGAAATGCCGAATCAATGAAGTGAGAGACACGTACGAAGCTGTTTGCTGCATTGGTAGACAACCAAATTCAGACGTTTGGGTTTTGGGCGAAAACCTGCAATTGAACGGTGATGGTGTCGTCGTTACTGCAGAAGAGACCAGCATTATATGGGTCAAGGCAATCTTGGAATCAGAAAGAACAGCAACTCATTGGCCTGAAGTAACCCTGCCTTTATGTTCCTTAACATTAGGTGAAATGGTGGAATCTCTGATGTCCATGTTGCATCATAATGGTATCGCTGCTGTATTCACAATTGGTAAGCTCATTACAATATGTTCAATATTTTGGCAGGTGACGCCCGTTTATTACAAAATTGCTGACGTTTTTTCATGTAAAAATACATTTGTCACATTTATATTGAACCCATTTTAGCATGAAAAGAATAATAGTAATTTGTAGACCTGTTGCTTATTTAAGTTTTGAGGTAGTTAAATAGTGAATTTTATATGTAGCTACAATATTCACTTGAATGAAACAATATGAAGAGCAGGCGAAACTTGATCACTGATTTAATTATTTTTTGTTTCAAAATAGCTGGAATGTTATTAGGCTTTCATTATGAAATGATTGTGGATATTCTGGGATTTTGTCCCCTGCCCATCATAGGCGTACGGGGGGGGTGGGCTGGGGGGGCTGCAGCCCCCCCAATTTCTCGAGAATTTGTGTATTCGGGCAAGCATTTACATGATATTCTGGCAAGATACTTACTACAGTTTTTAAATTTTCAATATTAATCTACATCATTTCTAGATCATAAACTGCTTCGGTTCTTGAGCGTGAACGGTCTTTTAATGGATGGTTTTTAAATTGTTTAAATTACTTAAATTTCAGGAGGTAAAATAAAAAATCGCGTAAAGTGATTGGGTGCAAAATTTTTCTTGAGACATAATAGGAGAATTTTACATCCGCCCCATTATAATATAAACAAATTACGTCACGAGAAATCGGTCTATTTACTAGCGATATTGCGACGAATATATTCGGTGTTTACAACTTTTAAACGAACACGAACGCCGATATTTTCAATCAGAGCAAAGCTTTTGGTATTAAATTTATCCACATAACGTTCTCCATTTATAAAAAAGGGCTGAGGTCAGTAAAAGTCTTGAAATGTCTTGAAATTGCGAAAAATCGTCTCCCACACGCTATCCGTTATACATTAATATATAGATTAACAATCGCTGCGATCCCCAAAAGTGATTTTTAATTTTGCATGAAAATTAGGCTTCGTATGGAGAGGCACTGTCCATTCCATTGATTAGATTAGTGCCATTCACTCTATGATTGTTGTTCAAGGAAACTATTATCCACAAGGGAAAACATTTAGTAGCCAAGCTCTAATAAAGCGTACATATGGCGTCTCGTAAACGACCGTATCGACATCGCGTTTGGTGCGAGGAATGCAGCAAGGAAATTGACAGTGATTATAAGGAGGTCCACTTTCGACGAGTTCACAATAATGAAAAGTTAAGTGTCATCGAGTGATGGATTCATCGGATTTATCGCAGTCAAAGATCAGTGGTTTCTTTGTAAAAAGTAACATGACAACCAAGGATGATAACCTAACCTTACAGGAAACAGAATCGAGTGCTAGTAAAGATTTAGCAGCCACTGGGTCTTTTGAGGAAAATCTACCTGAGATTAATTTGAAGGAGCCCATAAGCGAAGACCAAACGGAACCAATGAGAACGTTTATTGATGTTGATGAATTAAATCCACTGACGCAGTTCAGAGAAAATAAAGAATTGAATACGGTCACGGATAATGAAAATCTTACTTCCAGTGACGCACTGTTCATCGAAGAATTTAACTTAAATCAAAATATACAACGCGTTGCAACACCAGAATCAACGACGACGTCTAACACTCTAGACACAACAGCAATACAAGATTTAGATTCAACAGCATCTGTTCTAAATGAACAGACTAGAAAGGTTTCCCTTAACAGTATGAATGAAGAAGAGATTTCCACCTTGCACGCCCCAAAACAGCCTATATTAGGTGAATATCCTGCACGAAAATTCGGCAGTGAAACATTTGTGCGACGATTTCAGCCTGAATGGTACAAGAAATATCCATGGATTAGTTACGAAGTGGATAAAGATGCATGCGTTTGTTTTGCCTGTAAAGAATTTGGGAAGAATACTTCATTTGTGCTTACAAATTGGAAGAAGTCGTCAAAGCTGGCAAAACATGGCAAGAGTGAGAACCACGTCAGATCCATGACAAGATGGCTCCAGTTTAAAGCAATGGAAAGAAAGAAAACCTCCGTACTACAACAGCTGAATAGTGCACACCAGGACCAGGTTGCTATTAACAGACAATACTTAAAAGTAATCATACAATCTTTGATGTACACTGCACAACAAAATGTTGCAATTAGAGGTCATGAAGAGATTCAGGGTGATATATGGGAGATATCTGATATAAATAGAAACTTTCTCGAGTTACTTTGCATAAGATGCAACGATTTGCCTTGGCTGAAATCTAAACTTCAAAGCCAGCTGCAGACACATGCTCAGTGGACATCCCTGCTATTCAAAATGAACTACTGGAAATAGTAGCAAGTGTCATGCTTGAGAGGATAGCAGAAGAAGCAAGAAGTAGCGACTACTACGGAATAGTTGTCGATGAAACGGCAGACATCAGTCGAACAGAGCAATTATCTCTTTTCCTCAGATATGTTTTCAATGGCGAAACCAAAGAGACATTCACTGGTTTCTATTCAACCAAATCTACGGAAGGAGAAGTATTGTATGAGCTGTTAAAGACAGCCATTGGCAGGCTAGAGTTGACATTGGAAAACATTGTCGCAGAATGCTTTGATGGCGCTGCAAATATGAGTGGCCCTCGCAAAGGACTTGCTGCACGCATGAAGGAGTGCTCACCTCTTAGCATCTATGTTCACTGCCATGGGCATCGGCTTAACTTGGCGCTACAAGATACGATGACTACAATTGAGCCACTTCAGAAAGCTTTAGGTGTGATCCAGAGTCTCCATAATTTCTTGGAAGGAAGTCCCAAACGCCACTCCATCTTCAATGACATCAAGGTCGAAGATGAGGACGAAGATATTACACTGACTATTAAATCGCAGAGTGCTACTAGATGGTCTTGTCGTTGGGCAGCTGTAAAAGCAGTAGTAAACCAATTACCTAAGATCATCGAGGTTCTCCTTACACTCTCAAAGATCGCGATCCGAAGACCTACAATGACAGCAATTCGCTACTTAACTCGATTTGCGACTTTCGGTTCGTTTTTGGTTTGATGGTATTAAAGGTTATTTTATCTAACACCGATGGTTTGAGCAGGTACCTACAAGGAAAGCAAATGGATGTCGCCACAGCAAAGAAGAGTGTTGATGGCGTGATTAAGACATTAATTGGATGTCGTTCCCTCGAAAATTTCGAACTGTTATGGTCACGGGCTGAAATCATAGCACACAAAATTAAGGAGCAAATTGAAGGTACAGAATTCAATTTCAAAGATGCAAAAGTACCAAGATTCCAACAGCCGTCACGGCGGCTCCAAGCTCTCGTCGGTGAAATGGCTGAAGTAAATGCAGAAGTGGAAAATCGAACAGAAAAGATTACTATCGTATCACATGCTACTACCTAAGCATTGACAAGATTGTGGCGGAGATGAAATCAAGATTTGAAGGTAGTGATCAAGAGGTCCTATTGGCACTTGCAGATATTGTGTTCAACAGGTCTCCAACCACGGCGAATGTTGAGTTGGTATCACACTTCTATGGTATCGACAGTGAGCTTCTTAGTAGCGAGAAAAATGTCTTTGAGAATATTGACGTTGATTTCCCTTGTGCTGAGAGAAAACGCTGCCAAAATTGTTAAGAGAATGTTCGAAAATGGTGTTCATGAAGTCCTGCCTGTGGCTTACAAAGTATTTTCGATTCTGGCCGCGATCCCGGCAACATCCTGCTCAGCAGAAAGATCTTTTAGCGCTCTTCGTCGCTTAAAACCTATCTTCGAAGTACAATTGGTCAAAACGGTTAAACAGCATTGCCCTAATCAATGTGGAAAGAGCCTATGCAAATAGTACTTTAAAGAACGACATGGAAAAGATAATTAACATTTTGGACAGCGACGTAATCGTAAATCTTATTTCTTTTAGTCTTAGATCGTCGCACATTTAACTAACTAAATTTCTTCTGCGTCTAGTGTTATATATGACAAAATTTCAAATATCAAATAAAATGTAGTTACTTTCGTAGCATCCTCTTAGCAAATTGTAATGATTTTAGCTTATTAATTGAGATGGCCAGAGACAACATAAGAATATCTATGACGTCATACGTCATATGACGTCATATAATTCGGGCAAATTTAGTCCAGCTCCCCCTAAAAATATGTGCCCGTACGCCTATGCTGCCCATTGTATGTGGAACAAACAGACTTGGAAAGACAAAATCTTCAAAAGCCGCACTAAGTCTTGTAGGAAATGGATCAAACTTCTTTTCAGCAGTAAGGCAAAGATTCATCCCCAGGCTATGCAGCAGATCAACTTTGCCTCCCGTGCTCGACGACGTTAAGAGCCCCACAGTTATTGAAAATGTTGCGGTCTCTTTCTACAACAGTGGCAAAGACGGGACATGTGTTTTCGAAGCAGCTCCTCGAACGATTCCGATGTTCACAGTCAATTGGGACACTTTAGAGGGATTGAACAATGACCCCAGGTACATTTTTCCGTATTTATGGAAGAAGTTTGCTTTTTATTGCACTGATGTAATTTTTCCACGTGCTTTAGAGTACTTGGAAGGCTTGTCCTAATTCCCTTTCAAGAAGGAACAAGAAGTCCTCTCGGAATCGAGAATCAACAGAACGCAGAATTCCAAAACAATGCAATAATGGAAAGAGGGTCTAGTGCTTTTGGGACCATGGTGGCAATTAGCAGATCTGTTGAATACCTCTGCATAACGAGAACTAATGAGCTCTGTCAACAATTTACCATTGAAGCACCGAACATCGACGACCGCTGTTTAAGAAATCATGCACTTTTGGTTGCATTTGCTGAGAAGGTAACTGCCTTATTAACCACATAACATGAAAAAATTGAGCAATAGCCAATGACCACTTGCACAATTATAACATAGGTAATACGGCTGGCAAATATTGATGATCTCTATCCAAGCAATGCCATCGCTTTTTTCAAACAAACAATCCTGCCAGTGTGGATGAAGCGATTCCAGACCAACCAAGCGCAAGTGTCTCATGCAATGCTTCAAACAGAACAGCCAATTATTGTGGACTTAATAATTAAGTCAATAGAGCACAAAATATCTTGCAAAAACGTTTGTAATAAATTCATAGCCCATAGACCAAATTCATAAAGTAATAATTGTGACATTTCTCATTTCTAGTTACTCACTTGCGTGAATCCAAAGTGACATTTAAGTCAAGCTCAAGTGGAGTAAGACTAAATGGAGTAGCAGTGGCACTGAAATGGTTCTTGCCTTGCTAAAAGATCACGGTATTCTGTTTCCAAATGAAGAAAGAGTGAGACAAGAAATTAAGTCTCTCGACATTGGGATGGTCAATGGGCGAAGCCAGTATTTCAATGCAAATGCAAATGGTGAAAAGATCAGTAGAGGCTCAGATGGAGTAGAAACTGCTTCCAGAAACTGCGTAATTATAAAACAATCTGCATTTGGAAGTGAGAATTGGATTGTTTTTTCGGAAGGTTAGCATTCTTAACAACTAATTTTATACAGATGGAAGCAAGTGCAAAAAGATTACAAATGGAATAGACTGGCTATTCTTTAGTCATGTTATGTTAGTTTCAAAGTATTATCATTATCAGCTTCTTTAAAAATTTATTTAAGAACAGATGCTATTTAAAAAGAAATCTAAAGTGTATATTGACTTAAACGTGTGATTGTCATTGAAAAGCCAAATAATAATAGTCATTATTTTTTTAGCCTTCAACATCTTAGATACAAATATCGCAAGAGACAGCTTGGGGTCCACCGCCGAAACCAGCATAAATGATTCAAACACAGCGTCTACGTCTGAAATGGAAATTGGTAAACGCAGCAGACAGTCAACATCTGGAACCAGAAGATACGAACCAAACACACCGTGTGATGCATTGTGATACATTGTGATGTAGTGTGATGCATTGTGATGTAGTGTGATGCATTGTGATGGATTGTGATACATTGTGATGTAGTGTGATACTTGTGATGTAGTGTGGTGCATTGGATGCATTGGATACATTGTGATGTAGTGTGATGCATTGGATGGATTGTGATACATTGTGATGTAGTGTGATGCATTGTGATACACAGATGTAGTGTGATACATTGTGATGTAGTGTGATGCATTGTGATGGATTGTGATACATTGTGATGTAGTGTGATACATTGTGATGTAGTGTGGTGCATTGTGATGCATTGTGATACATTGTGATGTAGTGTGATGCATTGTGATGGATTGTGATACATTGTGATGTAGTGTGATGCATTGTGATACATTGTGATGTAGTGTGATGCATCAGGATGTAGTGTGATTACATGTGATGTAGTGTGATGCACTGTGACACCAGATGTAGTGATGCATCAGGATGTAGTGTGACATCAGATGTAGTGTGATGCATTGTGATACATTGTGATGTAGTGTGATGCATCAGATTTATTGTGATGCATTGTGATGCATCAGACACATGGTGATGCTGGCGTGATGCATCAGACTTTGTGATACATCAGATGCAGTGTGACATCAGATGCAGTGTGGTGCATTGTGACGCATCACAGACAATACCGTGACGCAGCGTGATGCATTAGGATGTGCGTGATGCATCAGGATACCGTGATGCAGCGTGATGCATCATGACGCATTGTGATACATCAGTGATGTAGCGTGATGCATTGTGATGCATTGTGATACATTGTGATGCAGTGTGATACATTGTGATGTAGTGTGATGCATTGTGATGCATTGCATACATCAGATGTAGTGTGATGCATTGTGATACATTGTGATGTAGTGTGATGCATTGTGATACATTGTGATGTAGTGTGATGCATTGTGATACATTGTGATGCATTGTGATGCATTGTGATACATTGTGATGTAGTGTGATGGATTGTGATACATTGTGATGTATTGTGATGTATTGTGATGCATTGTGATGTAGTGTGATGCATTGTGATGCATTGTGATACATTGTGATGTAGTGTGATACATTGTGATGCATTGTGATGTAGTGCGATGCATTGTGATCAGTGTCTGGGATTTATTAATATGTACTGTGATGCATTGTGATAACAAACGATGACGAACGCTGTAGTGTGACGTTACGTAATGCATCACAAACTTTTATACTGTTTAGTCAAAAAATATATCGTGCATGGTATAACGCCGAGATAGATCGCTCAGCTTCTACTTCCAGTACTAATAATCAATTCACGAGTGGGACGCCATCAATAGCAGCCACGTTCGCCGATTTTAAAAAACGAAAAGAGATTGAGAGGCAGTCCCATTTTAAACCTAATAAAAGAAATCGACAGGCAGAAGGGACACGCAGCAAGTCAAAAGATGAGGTCATTATCAACGTTGGTTTAATGGAATACGAGTATGGTGAGGCGAAAGTACAACGTATCAAATCTTTTCCTGTGAAGTTGACCAAAGTCATGAGCTATGACGAAGTAAGGGAAAGATCAGTGAAGAAGTGGGAAGACTATGACAGAAGCTTCAGCCGAGACCGTGTTACGTATTGGTTTTTCCTGATGGAAAAATAGCTAAAAAGATACCTGGCAGCTGTGAAGAGTTCACTTTGAGAAAATACTATCTTTAGTATTTTCTCAAAGTGAACTCTGGTATCTTTGTCCAGCAACTGAAAAGAAAGAGACCAGTATGCTACCTATTACAAATTGGTTAAGTGATGAGGAAAATGAGATTCGTGCAATAGAGAGAGCTATGGGCTGTGATTCTGATGATGACTGGATTGACTGCAACAATGTACCATCATCAAATATTGTAATTGGCAAATCCAGTGAAAATGTTGATGAACCATCGATTAATCTGAACAAAGCTGAATGTAATCATTCCGTTCCACTGTTTGAAGTTGCTGATTTCTTGTGAGTACTTGTCCTTTTATGTTAGTTTGAGTTTGTAATGTTTTCAGTAATTCACTTTTGTTTCAACCTAATTTCTATTGTAGGCCTGTTGGTTTAGATGAGAACATGGCTGTCCAAAAAGCTATAAATGAAAGCATCCAACAACTTGGAAGTAATGAGGATATAGTGTCACTGAATGATCAATCTGTTTGCCTGGACTATGAACATGCTGTTAGGTTGATAAGGGAGCATTCAGCTGCAGTTGTTCATGGGGAACCCCGTAGTGTGGTAGTAAGCCGGTTAAGCATGTGGGATACAGCAAAACCTTATTTTGAAAGGAAAAAGTTCCTGGAGAAGTATAGTTTCCTGTGTGTCACTTTCGCTTCATTTGAGAAGCAAGAGGATGCTATCGATAATGGTGGTCCTCGTTGAGTTTTCATCTGCTCCTTGGTGCAATATCTAAAGAAAGTGGCACCTTGTTAAGGGTCATAAGAATTGCTTACAATTTTATTCATCAGGCATATATAATTGTCAGTGTGTATGTTGTACATAACTGCTTTGTTACCATAGCCAAAATTTAAACATAAATTTTATGCATCATTGTTTGCAATTTTATGCATATTTTGTATTATTCAACTTATGATTAACTTAACTAGATAGCAAGATTTTTTGATTTAGATACACCAGAAGGCCATGTTATAAGAGCTAATTTCAAGGCATTGCAAAGTGGTGCATTTGCTGTGGTTGGAAAGATGTTGGCAACTATGATTGTACAGGGAGGAGAGTTACCACAAATCTTTGGCCCTGGTGTATGTCAATATATTCAGGGTGGGTTTGATGAGGCATTTCCCATTGTTGATGAAGTTCCAAATAGCAACATTCGAACATCTCTAAAGGAGGTGTGTAATTATGTATCGACAAAGAATTAGGACATTTTTAATCAGCTATTTCATTCCATCAAAGTTAAATGTTTATCAAACACATTGAACACTTTCTTCATTTTACTCTTAGTTAAATTCAGCAAAATGCCAAATGGAACTTGACAACTTGTGGAAGGAATGTGCATGGAAATTTGACATAGATGGTATGCCCTTGAACATTGCCCTGCAACAACAAGACACCCTGGTCAAAGAGATAACTAAATACTTTGTCATAATACAATGCAAGTCCATGTTGGATCAATTTATTGAAGGACTTTCATATTATGGGGTATGATATTTTTAACATTATATTGTTTTATTGTTTGTAGATAAAGAATAAGTAAAATTATTTTATTATAAAATAAAATATGAGACAACTAATTCATCATAATAGGTATTAGAGTTCATCAGAAAGAACAAAGGAATGGCCCATCACATGTTTGCAAAGAAGAAACATGGTAACCTATCAGTGCAAGAAGTTTTGGAGCTATTGAGTCCTGCCTTTGCACCTCAGGGCAACCAAAGAAGGATACCTGAGGAAGTCATTATGGCAAAGTTCATTGCATTTTTGAAATCAATTGAAGGCAATATGTGTTTATTTATTACTGATAATGCTTTGCAATACCTTTTGCTTACTTAATCCTTTCCTGGTTTTTCAGATGGTACTTTGCAAGAAAGTTTGGAGGATTGTGATGTGGAACTCACTGACCAAGAAAAAAACTTTATTCCGCAATTGACACCAAGCCATGTGCTGTTGTTTGCCACTTGGGCTGCAAGCATACCATCTATAGGCTTTGACCCAAAGCCTGTAATTAATTTTGTGCATGATAGTGAAAAAGCAATCCCTTGTGCACAGACATGCACAAATACATTGAATCTATTTGTAAATAGTAGAACCAAGGATGGTAATTTGTCACATTACCTTCTAACAGTATTGATGAATGGTGGCATCTTTAGTAAATTGTAAAATACATGCTTTTCTTACACTATGACATTAAATTTTTTCTATTTAAATTTTAATTAAGTATTTATACTTGTATTTTAAGTGGTAGGTCATTCCATGCCTTGTGAAATCTGACACAACCTATTATATTGGTCTAATGCTTCTCTCCAATTGGTTGGTTTGGCAAAGCTGAGTTGTTGTGCAATCTCTGCAAAGTATTCCTGATAAAGGCTTTCCTCTATATATATATCCATTACAATATTCTGACATATCATGAAATTTTTCATCAGAAATACACTTAATATGATTTTGAACACCTGTGCACTCTGGCAAAAAGAACATTTCATCTGGTCGTCCAGCAACAGTTTCAAACCTAGACTTCCGTATGTAATGTGTGTTCCAGTGTAGTTGGACTGATGTAAAATCTGACTGAACAAGTTCACTGAAGCAGAACCACAGACACTCTGCAATTGATTTGATAGGCAAAGTTGACCAATTTCAACAAGGTCTTTAAAAAAATTCATCCACCAACTGGAACGATTCTTGCGCAAGTAGGACCAACCAGCATTCAATGCGCTGATTAGAGGGTGAAGTGCCATACCTGTGTGATTTCTCACTAGCAAATTCATCATCCCCATCACATCAAAAATAAGATTGAATGGCAGCCAAAATTGTATTTTCAGTTCCATTGTCGGTTCTAAGTACAGTGGGACAACCTTCAAACTCCTTCACAGCATTTAAAAAAAAGTGTCCAATTACTGCAGGATCATTGTTAGTTCTGCAGACATTAAACCACAGGACCTTGCGGCTGTAGCCATCAATGCACCCATGAACTGGAAAACCATAAGGTTTTAACTTATCATATCCATCCACGTGCCATGTATAGTTTGGGCCTGGGGTGTGATAAATTCGACGACGAAGAGTTTTGGACTTTCTTTGTTGTACACCTTGAGGATCAAGTTCCTTTAGGATAACTCTAACGACATCTCGTGGAACCTGCATACCTTCAATTCGCAATGTATGCCAAACCGCACGATAACCGCCAGAACAGCCAGGACCGTCAAGCTCTTGCTGAATACGAGTTTTAACATTATCTAAGTTATAGTCTTTCGTTTAAGCCCAAGATAGTGAAGTTTTGTATTTAAGATTCTCAAAGAAATTCTGATGCATGGTATTGGGACAAAAAACAAAGTACCTTTTGGTAATCAAAGCCTTGTTTAAAGTAGCGCTCTATAATCTCTTCGCAAGATGGATTTTCAGCGCGACTCTGACTATTCATTTTCCAAAATAAAATACGCTCGGAAACGCTGCATTATACGCTGTAACTGTAATTAATCTAAGTAGTTTCTTCGTTTTGCAATCGTTTTATGGATAAATGGCAGTAACAGGACTATTCGTAAAGTGTTCCCTTATGATCGTTGATGTTCACAGATGCGACATTTTGTTGTGTATTGAGAACAATATATTTGTGCATAAAGTATTTATGTTAATGTTTATATAAAAGGCGTTGGTATATTGTGAAATATTTAGTTGTGTATTTTCCAATTTTCTCGTGCATTTAAACTTCTTTATGCGAGAATATATTTTGAATTTTGTACTGAAAAATTTATTTATGCATTTCAACTTTAGTTAGTGCGCTCATATATTTATTCGTGTATTGCACATACGGGCCACCGTAAAAATCCTCTTCAGTTTAAATTTTCAAATCGTGAATAAGTAGATTGTGGTCCCTTTAAAGAATGAACAGGAACAACGTGTGAAAAGCGACCTAGACCCAATCTACAAGATATTTGACTTCGCCAAAAAATATTTGACGTCGTAAAAATTCTCGCAGTGAAAAATTCCTTTATGTAGTCAATGCATGCGTTTATTATTACTGTACACTCTGTTTTTAAGTAATTTTATAACAACTTATGATTTAAAGAAGCTTCTTTGCCTAAGAGAGTAAAGCCAATTGCTTGTGGATTAACTTGTGCTAAGTGAGTGCCACTGGATTTGAAATTTAAGATATAGATATGAACGAACGCCAAAGTGCATGAAGGTGACTCCTTTAAACACACATCCGACACAAACGACTCTTCTGTAAAAACTAGAATCCATTGTAACGGTCTTTCCTATAATAAGATATCGACATGTTGGGCAAGAAATTCATTTCATTGGCCATAATAAATGCTAAGTATACCCTGTAAAGGCAGATGTGTACCATTTAAGACGAAACGTTTTTAGTCATCGTATGAAATATTATCTTAAAATATAAAAAAAACGAAGTACAGATTAATGTAGAAAGACTATGGCAGACCCTTGAGTTCCTTTCTTACAATGTTTTATCTTTTAATATTAAACAATTCTTTAGTATGATGGAGGTTAACTTTGGTAAATATACTAATTATTCGAATGATTGATCATTGTGGCTTATTGAAGAATTCCTGTATAATATAACTCGCTGATACAATTTAAATAGTACTTCAATTCTTCCAACGATTAAGCTGTTGTTGATTAAATATAACTGATCACTTTGTACACAAAGGCATAGATGATTGCAATGAAACAATTTTTACAAAAATCGTCCACTCATTTTTACAGGAAAACAGTTTTGGGGGCAGTCTGTTCCCGAAAGAGTGAATGTCTCCGTCTTTCTGCGTATGAGTGTAAAATAAAAACGCTGGTCTGTCGACCTAATGACAGTTTTGCAAAAAACAGTTATATCCGTGTATTATTTCGTGAGTTTTCATTGAATTCAATCGAATATTGATGCTAAATATGATTGCTGTATTTTTGTAGATGTAGATCGTCCAGGTTAGTACCAAGTTACGCTTTTTACATAAGTCATGATTTTGATAGGATGCACTTCATTGTGCTTCAAAATTTTCCGCAATATTCATAATGGTCGCTAATTTGATAGCTATAGCAGTTGAATTTTTTGTGTAAAGCACGAGAAAATGATGTCGGTACCTTACTCAGACATCTCACATGCATGCACGATTTTAAGAATTTTCCTTTTTGTTAAAGGAAGTATTCGCTCCCGCTAGGTTTGTAATCGTGGGCTCAAATCCCGCGTAAATCAAAAACACAAAGAATTGAAGAATAAATTTGTACTGTACAATTTTAAAGTTTTAACCGAGGAACTTTCAATTTAACTGCACTAAAGCGGCGTGTTACACCGAATTAACTTGCTTACAAGCAAGGGATTCGATGTTTTTATTTCAATGTTTGTAGTCAGTGATTTCTCCAGTTTTGTACCCTACGGTCGTGAAATTGTCAGACTCGAACCACGTGTTAAGACTTTTGGTGAAAAGTGTGACAGCTTACATGAACCGTGGGGCGATGAAAGTATAAGAAAAAAGGTAAATTTGAACATTTAGTCTGATGGCTGATCATGGTAGTGGGCAAGTGGCCAGAAGGCACATGTAGCTGCTCTTTAATTCAGATACCAAATGTTTATTTTATTTACAGACAGAGTTTTGGCAGTTGAGACACTCTCTTGAGAACTTTGATCACATTGAAGATGAGATTTATGTTTGTGGTCACACAGCTGTTTGGAGTTCACGCTCTGGAGACTCAAAAGTTCTCCACAAATCTTTCACTGTGGAATCACCAATAACAGATGCTTTGTGGTGCGTGTTCCGTACCACAGACACAAGTAAGTATTTTCTTACAGAGCTACAATGTTGTAAGTTTTTAATGTAAATGTTTTAAATTATTTTCTTCGTGCAGTTTTATTAGCAGTAAATCAGGTTAAAAATTTGTGTTTAAGTTTTTACCACATTTTACTACATGAGTACATCTTTTTCAATTGAGCTGCCTTTAGTTTCATTGGGGGTATATAGAAGGGGGGGAGGGGGACTCAGCCCCCCTTTTTAGAATTTCTTGTAAAGTTAGGGGTGCTCAGCCTTCTTTTATAATTCATGATTTTGACTTGTTAAGCAGTTATTTAATTTTTTTTACCTCCAATAAGCTCATGATTTTGTGATTTTATAGGCTTGACCATTCCTATATGTACCAGTAAATGCAAGCTATTAGAATACTATAACATGACTGTTTATCTTAACTGTTTGTTAATATCCATCATCATCATACTTACCCACATGGATGGTTAGGTGCAAGCTTGAGCAGTATTGAATAATGGGTAGCCCATTTACACTTAGTTACTTATATACCTTCCTACATCATTGTTACTTATATACCTTCCTACAGAGCCTCCCTTGTAAAAATATTGGCAATACACCCCTGAGTTTCATGATTGATAAATGAGGCAACAGTGGTGTTAAAAATTGCTTGTAAATGCTATTTGATATTTTGGAGCACATTGTTATGCAAACTAGTGACGAGGCATTTTCGATATAAGAATGAATTTCTTGAGACTCTTGTGAAACATTGAGCATTGTGCAAACTCCATCATCAAGAATTTTCTGTAAATTAAAATGTTTCAAATTTCATTCTAAAGCTCATGTCACTACATGTTTTGAATGTTTTAGTGAAGGAAAGATGTCTTTGCATTGTTGAAGAAGATGTTATAAAGGCTTTTTCACAAAGTGGAAACATCGAGTCAACACCCTTACTTTTTAAGGTTGGTAATAGAGGATCAGGGTGTCCTGAGGGTACTCAGGGGGTCACGTATGGACTCTTGGAGTAGTCAAGGTTTCCCTTTTGGTCTCTTGGGCATAGTCAAGGGAGTAACTTTGGATTCTTGGAGTAGTCAATGGGGTCACTTATGGTGTCTTGAGGTATTCAGGGAATCACCAATGGTCTCTTAAGGTTGTCAGGGAGTTTTTAGAGTTGTTTCTTAGGGCCGTCAGGGAGGTCACCAATGGTCCCTTTAGGTAGCCAGGGAGGTGAATAATGGTTTATTAGTAAATAAGGAGGGATAAAGTGCTGACCATGAAATTGAAGGCTCATATTTTATTACGTAGGTATCAAAGGTTCTTGCAATTCATGGTGGTTTGATTTTAGAGAGAAATGTTTTACCTTCAGATTCAGATCAACAGAAAAGGTGAGTTAGACAATCGTCATAATCAAAGTTTTATTCGCCTTGTTAATATTCTCTCAATCTTTCCTCTTGGGAGGGGTGGGTGGGTTAAAAAGATATTTAAAGAGAATGCATTGTTGAATGTTTTTATATATCATGTATAATTCAAAATGATCATAAAATCAGAAAACCTTTCCGAATCCAAATTGAAAATGGTCAAAAAACGGCTCTCAAAATCTGAAAAGCCCCCTACAATGAGAGAGCACAAAGTGAATATATTTTGTGAGGGTGGGAGGGTCTCTGACAGCACTGTGCTTACCTCCAATAACCTACTACAAAATCAATCGAAATAAACAATGAGATACTTTCAATGTTATTAACATAAATAGAAAAGTTTGTTTTTCATTAAGGAAAAGGCGTAAAACTTCTGTTCATTTTGGTTTCAAATATTTACATTATATATTTCTTAATTTGCAATTTGTTTTTACCCCGTCTGCTTTATGACCTCTTGAACTTGTTGATCATTTATATTTTACATGTAGCAAGAAGATTCCGACCATCTTCAGTTTATTGAGCCCATTGGATGAACCAAGACCTGTTATTGGACGCTATGCGGGTAAATAATGAATCCTTTGATTTAGAGCAAAATGTCAGAACGTTGTCTCGTAGTCGTTCATGATCTCTATGATCTGAGGACGGTTTACGTTGAACTAAGGTCTTCTTAAGGTCATACACTGCGTTGCTATAACAGCGAGTCTATTTTTGAGCCTTAAACTCTTTGAACATTGGGCACAAAACGTTATTGAAACTATATCATTCCGATGAAGATTCATTCTTGAATATTGCTCTTCATAACGGACTGACCCAATGAAATTGGAAAGATCATGTATTTTCTCATTTACCATTAAGAAAAAAACTTCAATAGTTCCACAAATGCAAACATTGTTAAAAAAAATCACCAATGCACTGCAGTTATTTAAGAGATATTTTTTAGGGCAGTAAAAATTTTGTATCAAAATCACCATGAGTTCACTGTTTATCATCGCTTACGGTAATATGTTTTTGAATTTTCCATTTAGGAAACACTTCGTTCATGCGCGATACAACTCTACATGTCGTTTTCACATTCGACGATCCTCCATTACTTCTTACCTACGATTCTTTCATCGGAGTTCATTCTCTTTGGTTGATACGAGAAGCAAAAAAGGAGGTAGGATGCTTTGGAAGGATGAGAAATAGTTTGCTTTGCGATTAATATTGCGCTTGGGATTTTTGCTCTATCTTCTCTTTGAAAGAAAATTGATTGAAAAGACAGTTCTTGAATGCCTTCCCGCTTAAAATTCATCATCTGCATTTTCGAATAAGTGGAGAATGATTTATTCCTTGACAATTTTTATCATTTTTGTCTCGGTCTTGAATCTAAATTACTTTAACAACAATATTTTTAACTTTTGCTCTTCAGTAATCAGGGGGGGTGAATGCTAGATTATCCCACAACGAATATCTTATGTTATGGTTCTAGGCATAGGCGTACGGGGGGGGTGGGCTGGGGGGGCTGCAGCCCCAATTTCTCGAGAATTTGTGTATTCGGGCAAGCATTTACATGATATTCTGGCAAGATACTTACTACAGTTTTTAAATTTTCAATATTAATCTACATCATTTCTAGATCATAAACTGCTTCGGTTCTTGAGCGTGAACGGTCTTTTAATGGATGGTTTTTAAATTGTTTAAATTACTTAAATTTCAGGAGGTAAAATAAAAATCGCGTAAAGTGATTGGGTGCAAAATTTTTCTTGAGACATAATAGGAGAATTTTACATCCGCCCCATTATAATATAAACAAATTACGTCACGAGAAATCGGTCTATTTACTAGCGATATTGCGACGAATATATTCGGTGTTTACAACTTTTAAACGAACACGAACGCCGATATTTTCAATCAGAGCAAAGCTTTTGGTATTAAATTTATCCACATAACGTTCTCCATTTATAAAAAAGGGCTGAGGTCAGTAAAAGTCTTGAAATGTCTTGAAATTGCGAAAAATCGTCTCCCACACGCTATCCGTTATACATTAATATATAGATTAACAATCGCTGCGATCCCCAAAGTGATTTTTAATTTTGCATGAAAATTAGGCTTCGTATGGAGAGGCACTGTCCATTCCATTGATTAGATTAGTGCCATTCACTCTATGATTGTTGTTCAAGGAAACTATTATCCACAAGGGGAAAACATTTAGTAGCCAAGCTCTAATAAAGCGTACATATGGCGTCTCGTAAACGACCGTATCGACATCGCGTTTGGTGCGAGGAATGCAGCAAGGAAATTGACAGTGATTATAAGGAGGTCCACTTTCGACGAGTTCACAATAATGAAAAGTTAAGTGTCATCGAGTGATGGATTCATCGGATTTATCGCAGTCAAAGATCAGTGGTTTCTTTGTAAAAAGTAACATGACAACCAAGGATGATAACCTAACCTTACAGGAAACAGAATCGAGTGCTAGTAAAGATTTAGCAGCCACTGGGTCTTTTGAGGAAAATCTACCTGAGATTAATTTGAAGGAGCCCATAAGCGAAGACCAAACGGAACCAATGAGAACGTTTATTGATGTTGATGAATTAAATCCACTGACGCAGTTCAGAGAAAATAAAGAATTGAATACGGTCACGGATAATGAAAATCTTACTTCCAGTGACGCACTGTTCATCGAAGAATTTAACTTAAATCAAAATATACAACGCGTTGCAACACCAGAATCAACGACGACGTCTAACACTCTAGACACAACAGCAATACAAGATTTAGATTCAACAGCATCTGTTCTAAATGAACAGACTAGAAAGGTTTCCCTTAACAGTATGAATGAAGAAGAGATTTCCACCTTGCACGCCCCAAAACAGCCTATATTAGGTGAATATCCTGCACGAAAATTCGGCAGTGAAACATTTGTGCGACGATTTCAGCCTGAATGGTACAAGAAATATCCATGGATTAGTTACGAAGTGGATAAAGATGCATGCGTTTGTTTTGCCTGTAAAGAATTTGGGAAGAATACTTCATTTGTGCTTACAAATTGGAAGAAGTCGTCAAAGCTGGCAAAACATGGCAAGAGTGAGAACCACGTCAGATCCATGACAAGATGGCTCCAGTTTAAAGCAATGGAAAGAAAGAAAACCTCCGTACTACAACAGCTGAATAGTGCACACCAGGACCAGGTTGCTATTAACAGACAATACTTAAAAGTAATCATACAATCTTTGATGTACACTGCACAACAAAATGTTGCAATTAGAGGTCATGAAGAGATTCGGGGTGATATATGGGAGATATCTGATATAAATAGAGGAAACTTTCTCGAGTTACTTTGCATAAGATGCAACGATTTGCCTTGGCTGAAATCTAAACTTCAAAGCCAGCTGCAGACACATGCTCAGTGGACATCCCTGCTATTCAAAATGAACTACTGGAAATAGTAGCAAGTGTCATGCTTGAGAGGATAGCAGAAGAAGCAAGAAGTAGCGACTACTACGGAATAGTTGTCGATGAAACGGCAGACATCAGTCGAACAGAGCAATTATCTCTTTCCTCAGATATGTTTTCAATGGCGAAACCAAAGAGACATTCACTGGTTTCTATTCAACCAAATCTACGGAAGGAGAAGTATTGTATGAGCTGTTAAAGACAGCCATTGGCAGGCTAGAGTTGACATTGGAAAACATTGTCGCAGAATGCTTTGATGGCGCTGCAAATATGAGTGGCCCTCGCAAAGGACTTGCTGCACGCATGAAGGAGTGCTCACCTCTTAGCATCTATGTTCACTGCCATGGGCATCGGCTTAACTTGGCGCTACAAGATACGATGACTACAATTGAGCCACTTCAGAAAGCTTTAGGTGTGATCCAGAGTCTCCATAATTTCTTGGAAGGAAGTCCCAAACGCCACTCCATCTTCAATGACATCAAGGTCGAAGATGAGGACGAAGATATTACACTGACTATTAAATCGCAGAGTGCTACTAGATGGTCTTGTCGTTGGGCAGCTGTAAAAGCAGTAGTAAACCAATTACCTAAGATCATCGAGGTTCTCCTTACACTCTCAAAAGATCGCGATCCGAAGACCTACAATGACAGCAATTCGCTACTTAACTCGATTTGCGACTTTCGGTTCGTTTTTGGTTTGATGGTATTAAAGGTTATTTTATCTAACACCGATGGTTTGAGCAGGTACCTACAAGGAAAGCAAATGGATGTCGCCACAGCAAAGAAGAGTGTTGATGGCGTGATTAAGACATTAATTGGATGTCGTTCCCTCGAAAATTTCGAACTGTTATGGTCACGGGCTGAAATCATAGCACACAAAATTAAGGAGCAAATTGAAGGTACAGAATTCAATTTCAAAGATGCAAAAGTACCAAGATTCCAACAGCCGTCACGGCGGCTCCAAGCTCTCGTCGGTGAAATGGCTGAAGTAAATGCAGAAGTGGAAAATCGAACAGAAAAGATTACTATCGTATCACATGCTACTACCTAAGCATTGACAAGATTGTGGCGGAGATGAAATCAAGATTTGAAGGTAGTGATCAAGAGGTCCTATTGGCACTTGCAGATATTGTGTTCAACAGGTCTCCAACCACGGCGAATGTTGAGTTGGTATCACACTTCTATGGTATCGACAGTGAGCTTCTTAGTAGCGAGAAAATGTCTTTGAGAATATTGACGTTGATTTCCCTTGTGCTGAGAGAGAAAACGCTGCCAAAATTGTTAAGAGAATGTTCGAAAATGGTGTTCATGAAGTCCTGCCTGTGGCTTACAAAGTATTTTCGATTCTGGCCGCGATCCCGGCAACATCCTGCTCAGCAGAAAGATCTTTTAGCGCTCTTCGTCGCTTAAAACCTATCTTCGAAGTACAATTGGTCAAAACGGTTAAACAGCATTGCCCTAATCAATGTGGAAAGAGCCTATGCAAATAGTACTTTAAAGAACGACATGGAAAAGATAATTAACATTTTGGACAGCGACGTAATCGTAAATCTTATTTCTTTTAGTCTTAGATCGTCGCACATTTAACTAACTAAATTTCTTCTGCGTCTAGTGTTATATATGACAAAATTTCAAATATCAAATAAAATGTAGTTACTTTCGTAGCATCCTCTTAGCAAATTGTAATGATTTTAGCTTATTAATTGAGATGGCCAGAGACAACATAAGAATATCTATGACGTCATACGTCATATGACGTCATATAATTCGGGCAAATTTAGTCCAGCTCCCCCTAAAAATATGTGCCCGTACGCCTATGGTTCTAGGTAGCCGTGCTACGTCCAATTGCCTTAAGCTAGCTATGCAAACCTTGCTGAAAAGATCATGTCCACGCTTAAGAAATATAAAATTAAGATTTCTCTCACAACCTTATGCAATATTCACAAACCAGAATGTTTTAGCTATTGCGTATGAAGAATTAACATTGCTACTTTGCACTACGACTTGTAGGTCTTAGTGACGTAGCAAACTCGATATTGGGGAGGGGGGTGTGTGGAACATTTTCATATATTTATTTTCTGTCGTATTAAGCTCCTCACCTGTACGGCTAACTGCAATTTTTAATTTCTCATTTTCTCCCTTCAAAAAAGTCAAATTTACAGCTATGAAGCCTTTTTCAGAAAATATAAAGTATAAACTCCAGCATGATGATGTATCTTACTTTGTTCAGGAATATCCTGAACTTCCAACGAACAATGATTCGTCTTATGTACTTCCTCATGCAACCAATCAACGTTTTCCCACTCCGATATTAAAACCAAGCGCCTACTCGCGACTCTCGTTGACCACATCCTCTCCAGCTCATATGACCGTGACTCGTACTTCGTCTCCTGTAGAGAAAGGTCAAGGACGTCTGCCACAATCGCCATTTATGTCATCGCCACAAATGTCGCGGTTAGTTTCAAGCAGAACTCTGCTTGAATCACCATCTGGTCAGCACAGTTTAGGTGAAGTATCTACTATCTATCTACGTGCATCGACAATGATTGTGTCTTGATGCTTTATTGTCTGGTTAAAAGTGGGTTTGATGTACAAACTTGAGTTCTTATATACTCCAGTCTAGTGTCTTCATCAGGAATGATCTGGTGTTGAAACTTGAGTTCTTATATACTCCTGTCTGGTGTTTTCATCAGCAGTGATTTAATGTTGAAACTTAGATCCTCGAATAGTTTAGTCTAGTCCCTTCCATTGAGAGTGATCTGATGAAAGTCTATGTCATTCTTAGTATATTCATCTTCCATACTTCAATCTCCTGACATCTTTCGATCTTCTGCAACTGTCGCCAACAGTTTCCATGAAGACACATTCTGGCACACTATTGAACCACTAGAACCGGAGATTTGTCTGGATCATATTTGGGAGGAAGTTTCAAATGTCAGGTATAGAAAGTGCTACCCTCCACGACCTACGTTGTACAAATCATTGAATTAGATATATTCATTGTTAATCAGGAAGCAATTTGCTCCAAAAACTTCAACATGAAACAATACAATCAAACTAAGTCACTGCGCAATTTTTCTTGTTTAACTTAACTGGTAGATACTTTTTCCAATTATGATGTTTCTTCGAACCTTTTTGGCCAAAAATAAACCCAGCACAATTAAATAGCCTTGCACATGCTGCTCTTGCGGATTTAAAGGTGGATTTGATTTAATAAATCCATTAATCCCATTTTTCTGGGATGTTGATTTATTTTATTTCACTACATTTAAGCGATCAGATAAGTAACTCAAAAATCATTACGTTATAGTGTCATTGTTATAAAAAGCAAAAGTAGCTTTAGTTACTGTTACCTCAGTGCAGGATGTAACTGTTTTTCTTTATATTTCCATTTAAATATAACAATTACTTATGATTTTGTTACTCGCAACGAAGTCATTTACATTTCTGAAACCGGCTGCACGAGGCCGAATGGCACTATCCACTGGATAGCAATATTTTCAAATGCTTCAAAAATTTCTTGAAAGATGAAAAGTGTGTAAAAAATATCTGGTGTTTATAATGTGTATAGTATATATAGTTTGTATAATTTGTATAGTGGGTGTAGTGTGTAGTGTGTAAAAAATATCTGGTGTTCATAATGTGTATAGTATGTATAGTGTGTATTATGTAAAGAGTATCTGGGCCCGGTCGCAAGAGGCCTTGATAGCGTTATCCATTAAATAGGAATATTTTTGAAAGCTTCAAAAATTTCTTGAAAGATGAAAATCTACGACTTGAAGTCGACAATCAATGTAATACCATATTGTTCTAGAATTATAAAGTTTCATTATCGTAAAGAAAATATAACTATTTTCTTAAAAGTTTGAAAAATTAACTATGCAATGGATAACGCTATCCAGGCTTTGTGCAACCGGCCCCGTATATCGTCAAAATATGACAAACTTGGTCCAATATCCTTAGAGAGTGAAGTGAGTGGCAAAGCTCTAAATTATTTTATGTTTTTATTTAGACACGCCAGCAAAGGGGAAGCTAGTAAAGCGTTTATAGCAACTGATGTTTGTGGCGTGAAATATGTTTGCTTTCTTGTTCCTCATGTATCGAAATTAAGGTCCGCGATGGTTTGTCAAACATGTTTATGGTGCCTTTTTGCATTTAAGTAATTTTATATACCTGCACTTGTTTATCAACGCTGTGAAGTCTTTTTACAATGTCAAAGCATTTACCGCGCTCGTTCAGTGATATCATTATTGTTTTCGTTCTGTCGCGATGAAGTAAAAACGTTTAGTTTAGGACGTGCAAAATACGTGTTGCTACTTTTAGTACTTTCATGTGTATACTACCATAAGTTGTACTTCAAAATTTACTTTGGTTTCATAGAAATTACCTCATTTTTAGACTTACAAAATTTAGCTGTGGTGAAAGAGCCAGCCAGGTGATATTTGGTTCTACTTTTGATATATCAGCCATTGATGCTGCCCCCATCAAGGTTTGTAAATCCTGTGTCAGTTGATGAAATGATTTCTTGCAAATATGAGCTAGTGCTGGTAAACGTCTGTTTGAAATGTTGTTTGAAGTATTGGCATACTAAAGTACACGGTGTTGCCATTTCTCCAGCCTGTAGTTCCCTAGTTACTGAAACGAAGCAAGCATTTAGGATAAAATTGGGTATAGTTTAAACAAATTTGCTTATTCGGCGTTTCTGTTGCGTTATTCATGCAACTACCTCTGAGGGGCTTCCTAAAATTATTCAAATCAAAAGTCGGTCTTTTTTCTTTGAAAATATCGGCTGTGTTGTAAAGTTAAAAATTCCACCGTAAATATTGTTTTTAGTTACATTGATTTCACTAACTCTATTAGCGAGGTTATTCTCAAACATTTTGACCACTTTACCTGTTTTTGGATGTAGTTAAATTTCCAAACACCTTAGGGGCAACTTGACTAGTAAAGTTTTATTCTTTAGAATTTCACATCCATTAATTTTGCTCTGAAGGTATTTTAAATTTAAGGTTAAGCAGGCATAACTTAGGGGACCATTACTGGGAGTCTTTTTGCCGTACGTCTTTGGTTTGTCGTGATGTATTGCAGAGTTATTTGTGATTTATATGTCATAACTAGATATTTTTATAGGGCCTTAACATGATTCTCGTCCTTTCTCGTGACTACACGTTGGCTTTATACTCTGGCAAACATAAGGTAATGTATCCATCTGCCTAATGGAATCGTTGAATGTACCTTTAAGACATGCATGTCTTTTGATTAGCTAATATTCAGTGGTTAAGCACGCTAATAGGAGGGGAAAACAAAATGATTTGTCCAGTTGTGGATATTATAGGTTACAGTTAGGATGTTACGGGGCATATATAGGATATTATAGGTTAATTTAATTTGTTATAGCGCATTGAAAAGTCATAATTGTGTAAATGCCAAAAAATAGTTCATATATCTATATACTCTGTTCTATCATTGCGCCATCGATACTGTTTATATTATTATTAACTTGTGCTGCGTATGAACGATGACGGTTTTAAAATTTACTTATTTTCCCAGGGTTGTGACATCAGACTGAACAGCTTGGTAACTATAATTCAAAACGATATAACAAATCAAGAGGATTCGCAATTATCGTTTTTATCTGAGGTAAACTTTGATATTTGAATGATGTGGGCCCGATCTTTGATCCTGAAGTTTCCTTTAAATCATACTTGAACTTCATTTTTCATCGTTCACCTCCATAATTGAATAAATGTAGGAGCGATCATCGATCCTTAAGTCTCCTTTAAACTCCGTTTTTTAACATTCACTTCGATAACTAAATGATTTAGGAGCGATCTTTGGTTCTGAAGTCTCATTTAAATAATACTTGAATTCTTTTTTCATCATTCATCGCAATGATAGCACCATAAAGGCCTTCCTTAAATCCCGGAATACTAGCGTATGTAGAATGTTATGTCTGGAAATTTTTGTGTGTGCTCTGGGCAACTCTCTCTCTCTTCCCTTCGATAAATTTTCGCCCCAATGTTTTGTCTCCTACTTTAAATGTGTCCAGGGAGTTATTGTTTGTGTGCTTTTACTGGCCGAGAGCCGAGTTAATGTTTGTTTAGCGCTTACAAAAAATGACAGGAGATGATGTTCTATGTATGTACGTTGTATTCACTATTCAGTGATCCGTTTCATTTTAAACTAGTACAAATTAAGTAGTACTTAAAAAATACTCGATTACAGAAAGACTGATCGGTAATCTGTCTTTTTTTCTTATCAGACTGTTTTGGCTTCACCTTTTCACTCAAGCCAAAGTTGGCAACCTTCGTCGACATTTGACAACACGAGTGGAAATTCAGGTAGACGTCCTTGAATTCAAGACTCCTAAAATGAAAAAGAAAAACAAACACTTAGCTATCACGAAAGATAATTACAAGCTGATAGGAACTCCGCCATTACATATCATATAAGTTATTAAGATAGGAACTCCGCCATTACATATCATATAAGACAGTTTCGTTCGCAAACAAATTTCGGTCTTTTAGCTAAGCGGTCGCTACGGTAAAGAAAAGTTTCTGTAATCTGTACCAAAACATATAAACGCAAGATAACCGATTTGTGTTTGGAAAGAAATTCAATAATAGAACATTGATTTAACGATGCCGATTTCCATTTTCCACGGAGAAAATTTTGATTGGGAAAATCGAAAGTGCGCGCACGACTGGTGGTTAAAAGTTACTGAAAATTATAGATTTTGAAAGACTTGTTTTAAAGATGTCCTCGTAGTGGCAAAATTTTGGTTAGATCTTCGTGTTTTGATTTGAATAAAACTATGGATTTTTGTTTTGTAGTACTTTTAACGTACGTAAATATAGTCCCCTTTTGCGTTTGGTTTAAAAATGACGATTGTTGGCTGCTAATTTATAGATGGATGTAGTTTACTAAAAAGATGACGTACTATTTATTTAGTAAATACATTGGTAGAAGATTTTAGAAAGCCGTACGTTCTGGAGTTAGGGTTAGGATTAGAGTTAGGGTTAGGGTTACGGTTACGGTTAGAGTTAGGGTTAGGGTTAGGGTTAGATGGATGTAGTTTACTAAAAAGATGACGTACTATTTATTTAGTAAATACATTGGTAGAAGATGTAAGAAAGCCGCATGTTCTAGGGTTAGGGTTAGGGTTAGATGGATGTAGTTTATTAAAAAGATGACGTACTATTTATTTAGTAAATACATTGGTAGAAGATGTAAGAAAGCCGTACGTTCTAGGGTTAGGGTTAGGGTTAGGGTTAGGGTTAGATGGATGTAGTTTACTAAAAAGATGACGTACTATTTATTTAGTAAATACATTGGTAGAAGATGAGAGAAAGCCGTACGTTCTAGGGTTAGGGTTAGGGTTAGGGTTAGGTTAGATGGATGTAGTTTATTAAAAAGATGACGTACTATTTATTTAGTAAATACATTGGTAGAAGATGTAAGAAAGCCGTACGTTCTAGGGTTAGGGTTAGGGTTAGGGTTAGATGGATGTAGTTTACTAAAAAGATGACGTACTATTTATTTAGTAAATACATTGGTAGAAGATGAGAAAGCCGTACGTTCTAGGGTTAGGGTTAGGGTTAGGGTTAGATGGATGTAGTTTATTAAAAAGATGACGTACTATTTATTTAGTAAATACATTGGTAGAAGATGTAAGAAAGCCGTACGTTCTAGGGTTAGGGTTAGGTTAGGTTAGATGGATGTAGTTTACTAAAAAGATGACGTACTATTTATTTAGTAAATACATTGGTAGAAGATGAGAGAAAGCCGTACGTTCTAGAGTTAGGGTTAGGGTTAGGGTTAGATTGATGTAGTTTACTAAAAGATGACGTACTATTTATTTAGTAAATACATTGGTAGAAGATGTAAGAAAGCCGTACGTTCTAGGGTTAGGGTTAGGTTAGGTTAGATTGATGTAGTTTACTAAAAGATGACGTACTATTTATTTAGTAAATACATTGGTAGAAGATGAGAGAAAGCCGTACGTTCTAGGTTAGGGTTAGGGTTAGGGTTAGATTGATGTAGTTTACTAAAAAGATGACGTACTATTTATTTAGTAAATACATTGGTAGAAGATGAGAGAAAGCCGTACGTTCTAGGGTTAGGGTTAGGGTTAGATTGATGTAGTTTACTAAAAAGATGACGTACTATTTATTTAGTAAATACATTGGTAGAAGATGAGAGAAAGCCGTACGTTCTAGGGTTAGGGTTAGATTGATGTAGTTTACTAAAAAGATGACGTACTATTTATTTAGTAAATACATTGGTAGAAGATGAGAGAAAGCCGTACGTTCTAGGGTTAGTGGAAAGTAATGGACATTCAGCGATTTTGGTTCGTATTTGATCAAATTATTGCTTGAGTAGTTTGGTGTAATACTATGAACAATAAAGTTGATTATTTAAATGTTGCTGTTTTTTTATTTGCGTAGAAATGTTGCAGTGGTTTTCATTACAGAATGACTTTACGTCCATTGACTGGAGATGAAACTGGTTAGGATGAACACACTTTATCTTATTTCTTACATATTTTAGATAGTGTAAAGATTGTTCTTGTTCTCTGTTGTTTATTCATCACTACCTATACTGACACATGTTATCTTATTTCTTGTATATTTTAGATAGTGTAAAGATTGTTCTTGTTCTCTGTTGTTCATTCATCACTACCTACACTGACACACGTTTTCTTATTTCTTACATATTTTAGATAGTGTAAAAACTGTTCTTGCTCTCTGTTGTTCATTCATCATTACCTACACTGACACACGTTATCTTATTTCTTACATATTTTAGATAGTGTAAAAACTGTTCTTGTTCTCTGTTTTTTATTCATCACTACTAAGGAATATGTTTTGCTGTGGAATTTGAATTTCTCTTTTATCATAAACAATTTATTTTTATTTGTAGTGTCGTCGTGCCTTACTGGACTACAACAAGTCTTAAACAACGATGTGGCGACTAAATTACTTTTGAAATACTATCAACTATCAAATTGTAGCGAAGATAAGGATCATTTTAACCCTGACGAAGAATGGCAAAACTTTTGCAACATTTTACTGAAACTAATTGGCAAAAGTACCGAAGAAGTGAGCAAATTATAAATTATGTTTATCAGATGGAGGATAAGTGTCATAATTTTTTGAGAACGGAGCTCGTTAGAAGCGCTTTAAACCCTTGTAATTTCTATTGTGTTTTGATTATTTCATACAATGAGGGGTAGATGTGTTCAATTATGGATAGGGTATACACGATAAGGGGAGATTGCACACAGTAGGTATAGATTGGTACAATAAAGGATAACGTACACAATAAGGGATCATTGCTACAATGAAGGTTCATAGCTATGTGCTATAGCGGTTGGCTGTTTAGAATTCTGAACATCGTAACTTTTACATCGTATTTTTTCACATGTGTAATGTGAATTGTTTTCAATATTTTTTAGTCGTTCACCAGCGCTCCTGCAAAGAAATCTCGAACGAATTCTGATGAAGGAGAAGTACATAATCATCTTACTAGAATTTTCTGTTATGTTTAAAGATAGAAATTATAAAATATCGCCAAAAACATACGTATGCGTATAATTTTAGAAAGATTTAAAATCCAGCATTCCACATTGTGGATCTAAAACTCGAGTACAAGATATCTAGAATTTATTCGAGTTGAATTTTCATCATCATTTTCATACATTCACATGCATTTTTTGATATTTTAGGATGCGTGGCGATATTTGTTGAATAACATCACTGATCATAATGAATCATTAATGAAAGCTGGCTTTGATATACCCATCCAATCAGAAACGGTTACAACAGACATCGTCACGAACCAATCATGGGACACGAATGCTTTGCTTTATCAACACATACCAAGCGTCGTTTTTGTTCTCCATCTCATACACGAGGTTTGTGACGTTTTTGTTCTCCATCTCATACACGAGGTTTGCGACGTTTCTGTTGCATAAGTTGTTAAAAAATCATTACAATTTGTTCTCCATTTTCTTCTTGAGGTGTGACATTACTGTTATTAAAGTTGTTTAGAAATCGTTAACTTACTGGCGCAAGCATCCTTGAGCAGTAATAATTGGTTTTGTTTTTAAGGATTTGAAGCTTAGCAGCTTAAAACTGGATGGTGTTCAACGTCTGGGAAGATTTTTGCTCATGTTAACTTGGTCAGTAATTTATAAATCGTACTGAAATAGAATTCATTTAATTTCATTGTTAAATGTTGTAAGCAATACTTATTTCCCAAATGAAGTTTAAGTCAGGGTAAAGCATTGACCTAGAACCCAGTCTACTACATAACTGACTCGGCCGATATTGGATAGTAATGAGTGAGACAAGCCCCCATCTTGAAAGGTGGCAAAACTGACGATATTTACCACTAGTATCTGCTTTTGCTTAGTTGATATAGAGTTGCAAAATTGATAGTCGTGCTTTGATTCTTTAAATGTTTGATATGATGGGTTTTTTAAACTTTGTTTTAACTTATTTTTCATTTTGAGTTTTGCTTTTTGCCACCTTGCTTCACCTTGAGACGGTAGTTAGACATCTAGAAGACTGGGTTCTAGATCATTAGGGTACAGCATTAGGCTTCAATCTACTTTCGAAATTACCGCTGTGCATAATTACAATTTTAGCATGATTGACTGGGAGGAATATGTCACGTTTTACTCAAAAGAATATTCACAAATATACGAAGAGGTTAAGAATTCAACAAGTGCGACAGGTATTACATTATTTTATGCTCATTGTACGTTGTGTTATTTTAAAATACATGGCAGGAAATTACAATCGACTCTGATTGGTTTGTTTCTATACGTTTTACCATAAATAGTAAAGTATGAATTGAAACAACAATATAAAAACCTGTGTTTGCAATTACAAAGAAACAATTCCAACAATTGAGTTGCGAGGATTTTTTTATGTCGTTTATTTTCTTTTTCATCATTGACAAGTAGTAACTTGGATTCTTGTGCATTTTGATGAAAAATAGAGTATGTTTTTCAAGAACTCGAAATTTCTTCTGACTAGCATTGCCTCGAACAATAAAATATTCAATATGCAGACACATTTAATGTGACAATCAAACCCATCCCACAATGCATTGCGGTCATTATTTCTATCATCAACAGTGAAAAGTCTGTTGCTAATCTTGTTTTACTTGATGTTTTAGAACCGCCTTCAAAATATGATTTATTTTTTCCTTCCTTTGTTACAAATGACCCTCCCAACGTTTTTAAATGTTTGATGGCGTGTTTAAAAGGACAGAAGGTTTGTACCTACTCTGTTGTTTATTTTCACTGTTCTAAAAATTGATTCTTGATTTTATCATATTTCTAATTTTAACCTTAATCTAATCCCGACATCAATCTTCATCCTAATTCCAATCTTCGTTATGACCCCAACCTTGATTTTAACCCCAATCTTTGATTAGACCACAACATTAATTATAACTCCAATCTTTGTTTCAGTACTATCTTTAATCCTATCCCCAATCTTTATCGGGTATCCTAATACATTTCTTCTGTTCCTGTATTTAGAATAACCTTTCAATAGCCTGCATCATAAGTGTTTAAAATAAATTATTTTTAGATCGAAAACTTTCCTGTTCTTCCTGCTGTTTGTGAGCAAACGTTTAAAATAATGATGGTAAGATTTCTTTATGTTGTATTTTATTGTGATGTGTTGTATGCCCTCGATCGTGTAGTTAGCTAATCCTAGAACATGTTGGCACGTACAGGATTGTTTAGGTACATTTACGATCATGGAGGTACATCCTATTTTATATAGGTACATTTACGATCTTTATGTTCTCACACACGATTATGTAGGTAGTAGGTACATGCTGAATATTTTTGGTGTATCAATGATCATGCAAGTACATTTACCATCTTTAGGTTCACACACACGCGATTATGTAGGTAGTAGGTACATGCTGTACCATTTGGGTACATCCATGATCATGCAAGTACATTTACCATCTTTAGGTTCACACACACGCGATTATGTAGGTAGTAGGTACATGCTGTACCATTTGGGTACATCCATGATCATGTAGGTATGTTAACGACCTTTAGGTTCACACACGTGAACATCCTTTTATGTAGAACATCCTTAATATTTTAGATATAAGTTAAATGCAAATGTACCGTACAGTAACTAATAATTTGTTATCAGATGTATTCTTTGTGCATTCCTACAAAAGATGGAAGCTTTTGTGAAAGCGCTGATGAAATATTCAACTCGATAGCGTTTAATTGTGGTAAGCTTTGATTTTTCCTGATTCTTCTCAATGTGTACAAGATTAAGTAAAATATAGAAATGAAAAAACCTGAAGACGATACTTTAATGTCGAAAATGATTTGTTTTCATTAAATCTCGTGAAGGAGTGTGTAATCATGGACGAGGCCTCTCGAGATCAATGTGTCGCCGTATTTTGAACTTCTATTTTCTGTGTGTAGATTTATGAGTTATTTTAACTGCTTGATAAAAACTTGATCGAAACATTTTGCATTGTGTAAACGTATCTTGAAACACATAACGACTTTTCGGTTTCATCGCTTCCTTTGATCTTGAACTCATTTATTACGTCATACACAATCGAAAATTTCATGCAGCAATATTCCTCCCCCCCCCGCCTAATATAACAATCTTTGTTTAAATGTATTGAAATGTGCATGTTTATGAACTCTAAATGAATGTGTTCATATGTATTAAAATGCTTGTTTTAACTTTTAGATCAAAATTATAAAGTTTACTTTAACGAAGAATCCAAAAGGTCTGCTAAATGAAATAGATAGATTCGAAATGTTTTCCTTTTGCGGTCTTTTTAAAAGATATAATAAATCAAATGTACCCCCCTGATATCAAAAAGTATCAACTTCACACCCCTGTTGTTATGAAAAATGTTCTCGATAATAAATAGGAATGTTTAGCAAATTATGTGAAGCTCAAGTCACGTTTAATTTGTATTCATACAGAAAAATGTTTCTTGTTACTATTTCATCAACAGCAGTTGCAGGTCTACGATAGCTCTGAATACATTCTAACAGCACATTTTAAATTTAATTAATAGTTTAAAAAACACGAGGGATAGTGTACAGCATAAGATGCACAAGGATAGTGTACAGCATAAGATGCACAAGGATAGTGTACAGCATAAGATGCACAAGGATAGTGTACAGCATAAGATACACAAGGATAGTGTACAGCATAAGATGCACAAGGATAGTGTACAGCATAAGATGCACAAGGATAGTGTACAACATAAGATGCACAAGGATAGTGTACAGCATAAGATGCACAAGGATAGTGTACAGCATAAAATGCACAAGGATAGTGTACAGCATAAGATGCACAAGGATAGTACACAGCATAAGATACACAAGGATAGTGTACAGCATAAGATGCACAAGGATAGTATGCAGATGCACAAGGATAGTGTACAGCATAAGATGCACAAGGATAGTGTACAGCATAAGATGCACAAGGATAAGATGCACAAGATGCAATGCACAAGGATAGTGTACAGCATAAGATGCACAAGGATAGTGACAAGATACAAGAGCATATAGTGTACAGCATAGAGATAAGGATAGATGTACAAGCATAAGATGCACAAGGATAGTGTACAGCATAAGATGCACAAGGATAGTGTACACAAGACACAAGGATGGTGTACAGATACACAAGGATAGTGTACAGCATAAGATGCACAAGGATAGTGTACAGCATAAGATGCACAAGGATAGTGTACAACATAAGATGCACAAGGATAGTGTACAGCATAAGATGCACAAGGATAGTGTACAGCATAAGATGCACAAGGATAGTGCACAAGGATAGTGTACAGCATAAAATGCGCAAGCATAGTGTACAGCATAAGATGCACAAGGATAGTGTACAGCATAAGATGCACAAGGATAGTGTAGATTTGGTTGAGAATCAATAATGAATACGTGGGAACTAAGTTATTAAAGTAAATGGTTTGAACCCGGGAGTATCGTTACATGTTTGTAGATGTAGATCATCCAGGTTGGTATACTCCTGAGAAGGACTGTTGTTGTTGATGTTGACTGACGTTTCGACAACCTTAGCGGTAGTCATCTTCAGAGTCAAGAATTTTTTATTTTATCCTTCTCAGGACTATACCAACCTGGACGATCTACATTTACAAACATGTTACTACGTTATTACTAATAATATATGCTTTAAGGTATTTTGGTCTGTAAATATATTCAGATTAGTGTGTTGTGAGTTATCATGGACTGCTACTGTTCAACAGATGTTGCATTTCCAATAAAGTCGATCGCCTGTTAGTTATTTTTGATAAATGAATCTTCACTGAGTAATAGGGAATTTTATTTCGTTTCTCTGAGCGAGAGCATTTTTAGTCAATTTCAGTATTTTTGTTCCAGATGCGAAACTCCCGCTGACCGTTTAGTTCATTTCATGGCAAAAATCGGTAAGTTTTGTCGAATTCACCATACTATGCATTAACACAATGTTCCCGGCACTGTTTCGCTTCAACTGTAGCTGTGCTCTGCATTTGATAAATTTTGCATGTAGTAAAACAATTCTTGTCTTAGTGCAGTTTCACATGTCGAGCCTGAAGGCATATGAACATAGAAAGCTAAATGGCTCTCTGTATAGATTTGTATGTTCTGGGGTTTTGCTCGCTTCTAAAGTAGTGACGAAGTATTGCGCTATTTAGTACCCAAGCTCTTACGCGGTCGACAACTAAAACGCAAAAGAGAGCGAAAATAAAGTAAACAAAATGTCTAGCAGCAGATTACTTCACCATGAGCCGATGTCTTCAAATGTGCCTTGAAAGAAATATTAGATTTTGCCATTATACTAAGAGTAATTTACGACTTTGTTCAACGCGATCTGCCTCAGCCTTGCTTTGCCGAAACTAAATTAATCTCCTAAATTATTTTTCAAACATTCTCAGTATTTCTAAGCTGCTTATGGGCTATACTTTTTTACTTCATGTTCAGGTTTTACCATCGACGATTTGAATGCGTTACCGTTCGGTGTTTCTTTACCTCTTCGCGAAGCGATACATCAATGTCACAACAAACCATCACATTGTTTGTCAGAAGAAAGCTGTACTCTTATTGGTAGGTTTGATAAGAGCTCTTGTTTCTATTGGCTGGATTCAATGATTGATTTATTAGTGAAATAGTTCTTAAATGTAGATATAGATCTGTAATGGACTGTTGTTGATGTTGACTGACGTTTTGACATCCTTATCGTTAGTCATCTTCAGAGTCTAGTGCGTGTAACAATGTTTCTGTGTTCATACTATTCACTTTATTAAGTTGTTCTGTCGATTATTGATTGGTTTATAAAGTTCTTTAGTATCAATTGGCTGGTTTGTTAACGTTTCATGTACTTATTGATTGGTTTATAAAATTTGATGATGTCTTTTGTTTATAATTTGTGGTTGCAGACGTTTCCTTTCACATCAAGATAAACACGTGAAAAAAATGCGCTTTAAAATTTGGTTGATGCCTTCAAAATGTAAACTTCAGTCACAAAAGGCATAAACTTTTTTTGAAGTGATTAATCCTTTAAAAAAAGTAGCAATGTTTAAATAACAACTTAGCTCTACGTATTTTGACCGTTGCATCGAGAATGTGTTACAATACTTCATGTATATTATACTATACTGTACTTTATTTAAAAGCAATATGCCTCGAACAAATGTTTTGTTTTCATTTAGGACGAGAGGAGTTGGCTGCCCAAGCGAGGATGACTGATGAGTCGATTAATCTTTGCGGCAATGCGGTATGTAGTGTATAATAGTTTTGGGAGTGCTATTTTTTATCAAAACTTCCGGTTGGCGACATATAGCCAGGAGGTTCTTTTCACTAAAGAACTAAATATAACAAGACGGCTACTTCCCGCCAAAATTTGAAGCAAGCACTTTTACTAGTGCCAATCTTTCCTCGCGCGTCACAAAGAAAGTTAACTTATATTTACAGTAAGCTAAAATGCGTCAAATACACGCGCATATCCGTTTCAATGCTTTTCTCGCACGTTGTGTTGATTTAAAGTTTGCTTGCTCTGAAAATCATTAACGATGATTTATTTTGATACAGTCAACATTTTTCCAGTTTGTTCCAATAGATGATGTGTTTATTTGTTTTTTATATTTTGTAGAAAGCCGTCAATAATAGCGATGAAGTTGACGACGGTATGAACTTCGAATGTGAAGTAAATATGAAATCTTTTTGATTGTTGTATATGTTCAAGCGTGAAATTCTTCAATTGTTTTCGTGCGAAATTAAGGTAACAAAACTGCGATTCAGTATTGATCACAGAATTCGTGAAGTGAGACGATTATTACAATCTGCAAGACCAATTCGTGTTTCGTTAGTACAGAATCCAGAAGTTAGGTATTGGACTTCCTGTTTTCACTTATTTAATATATGGCCCACATTGCTTTATTTTGAACGATACACTTAGCCACTGTTTTGACAGATACCATTCTTATTGTCAGGTATTCCCCTTTCTTAATTGGCTCAAAAACAAACCTTTTCAACCAATCAGCGTTCTATCCTCAAGCACACCAAAAAATTTTTTTCTAAAATTGTGTTTCTGTTTTGTCCAGTGACCATGATTTTGTACAAGAGCAAGAAGCGAGACTTTTGTTGATGTCCAAACGAACTTTATCTCTCTCTGTTGGAAGGTACAATATTAGAATAAGATAGTTTGCATGGTTGTTTTTCGTTTATAAGATTTCGAGAAACTTTTCTTGGGTTTTTTTTACCGAAGGGTTTTTCCTTGGGAGTTTTCAAGAGGGGTTTTCCTCGGGGTCTTTTCACGAGACTTTTCCCTTGCGGTCTTTTCACGAGGGTTTTCCCCCGGGGGTCTTTTCACGATGGATTATCCCCCAGGTTCTTTTAACGAGGTTTTTTCCTGGGGGATTTTTCCCTGAGAGTGTTTTCACCAGGGCTTTTTTCCCTGAGAGTCTTTTCACCAGGGCTTTTTTCCTTGAGAGTCTTTTCACCAGGGTTTTTTCCTCGGGGTCTTTTTACTAGGGTTTTTTCCCTGAGAGTCTTCACCAGGGTTTTTTCTTGGGGGTCTTTTCACTTGGTTTTTTTTCCCTGTGAGTCTTCACCAGGGTTTTTTCCTGGGGGTCTTTTTACCAGGGTTTTTCCCTGAGAGTCTTTTTACCTTTTTTTCCCTGAAAGTCTTTTCACAAGATTTTTTCCTGGGCTTTTATACAGCATCAATGACTATTGAGGATCAACAAAACTCACTGCTTTCCAGAAGTACCTGTCAATAATTTTTTTTAGATAAATAATATACTACATGTCAAAGAGAAAACTTAGTTTACAGCCTAAATTTATGAAATATTTACTGTTCCAAATTACTTTACAATCAACACAATACTCAGTATTTGTTTTGAAAAAATCCTATAGCGCTTTTTTGTCGAGTTAGGACCTTGACTAAAAGGTTGCTTTTTATGACGAAGATTACTTTGTTTGCACTCTCACGTGATACACTCTCGACCAATTAAAAAGTACGAAATAAGACTTCTAGCAATTGCTGTGTAACCAACTATTATATTCTTTTTTCTATAGAGGAATGTTTTCACTCGCTACTTGTCGACCAATTGTAACCGAACTTGTCCACGTTCCTCGATTGGAGATAACAGGTCGTGTTTTACCGAGGTACGTGTGAACAAAATGACTTTTCAAAGGTTTCAATTAGGGTTAAATTAAGTACCTGAGGAGAGTTACGGAGATAACAGGTCGTGTTTTACCGAGGTACATGTGAACCAAATGACTTTTCAAAGGTTTCAATTAGGGTTAAATTAAGTACCTGAGGAGAATTACGGAGATAACAGGTCGTGTTTTACCGAGGTACATGTAAACAAAATGACTTTTCAAAGGTTTCAATTAGGGTTAAATTAAGTACCTGAGGAGAATTACGGAGATAACAGGTCGTGTTTTACCGAGGTACATGTAAACAAAATGACTTTCAAAAGCTCCAATTAGCATTGAATTAAGTATCCTAGCAGTTAATCTTCAACTTTGGACTATAGCTTCGGTTAAACTGTTCATCATCAGTTCAGTGGAAGTACGAAAACTAATTATAAGTCGTCCATTTAGTACGTATGCAAAAAAAGATGGAGGGTGTATGCTAAATTGCTACATGTGCGTACATTAAGGAGGGAAGGGATGTGCTAAACTTTTGATTCGTCAGATGACACTTTAGAACATCGTTGGTACAGATTTATGGGATCATGCATGTTAATAGTTCAATCTTTACTGTCTAATCAGTGATCAATAAGTTTAGCATCAATTGAACGTTGGTTTTAAGTACAAGAACTGAGTTTCGACCTCAGTTATTATATGACTGCAAGATATGCTAATTTGAAGCAGGGAAGTCATTTGTGTGTACCCTTTGGGTTAGTGGCGGTGGTACAGAAGACTTCTATTTCGTTGACCAATATCAGTTGCACAGCGTATCTTTTGATGTCCATCTGCGTGGCTGTTGACGTCTGTTGATGCTGCATAGCTGCTTTCTCCTCACTCCATTCATATTTGTAAATTTTCTTCTATGTCAGGAACAATGTTGTTTCGTTGGATCATATCGATGTTCCCACGGATATGATGGTATGGCCTGCATTTCACAATGGTGTTGCTGCCGGATTGAGAATTGTTCCTGGAATTTCACAGGTAAGTACTCAAGTGAGCTGATCACTTTTATTGAGTAAATCTCCATTAACAACATCTCTATAGACAACATTTCTAAAGACAACATTTCTTTAGACAACATCTCTGTATAGACAACATCTCTGTATAGACAACATCTCTGTATAGACAACATCTCTGTATAGACAAAATCTCTGTATAGACAACATCTCTGTATAGACAACATCTCTGTATAGACAACATTTCTACAGACAACATCTCTATAGACAACATTTCTACAGACTACATCTCTATAGGCAACATCTCTTTAGACTACATCTCCATAGACAACATCTCTTTAGACAACATTTCTATAGAAAACATTTCTTTAGACAACATCTCTGTATAGACAACATCTCTATAGACAACATTTCTACAGACAACATCTCTATACACAACATTTCTACAGACAACATCTCTATGGACAACATCTCAACAACCCTTGCATTTGTAGATTGATAGCACCTGGATTGTTTACCATCGACCAAAAGACTGCCAGTTGACCAATGAACATGCTGGATTCCTTATGGCTCTTGGTCTTACTGGCCATTTATCAAATCTTGCGATAATGAACGTTCACAATTATTTATCCAAGGTAAGCGCCTAAAATGCTGATCTTTTAGCGAAGATGGTGTATGTGTGTGTTGTGGTGGGTGGACATTATGTTTACTTAGGTTGCTGTTGATATAAAAAGTAAGTACTTATTGGAACAAAGAGAGATGTTTATTTTTAGGATTGTATTCATAGGGTTATCATGTACTGATGAGAACAATAGAGTGATGTGTATGGGCAGGATCGTATTGATAGGGACATCATGTACTAATGAGAACAATAAAGTGATGTTTATTAGTAGGATTTTATTGATAGGGCACTATGTACTGCTGAGAACAATAGATTAATGTTTATTGGTAAGATTGTGTTGAAAGGGATCCTACGTATGTACGGACGAGAACAAATGACTGTAGTCTGTTGTAGGATTTTAATTATGTGGAATGCTTTTGATGGGTGTTAAGCTCCTAAACATCAACGACTCTCGTATTTTGGTTAACCCCATTGAGTTCTATAATAACTGGAGCGGCTATCTCAAGCGCGGCCTTAGATATCTGATGACGCCAAAAAAATGGCGGATTTCGTCCGTTGCCGCTGAGATTTACCGAAATTGATCGCTTTTCCGAAAATTTCACAATTTCCCACTCTCCTGAGGAAAGAGTGAGGAAAATATATGTGTATTTGATTGGCAAGCAATTTTTTGATGAAAATCAAGGTAAAAACCTTAAATTCATAACAACGAGTCAACTGTGGTTGTCAGTTATGTGCTCCTACGAGGATGCATTTATAACTATAGACGAAAGAGCTATATGTCGGCTACACATGTATGAATGCAGATGTGCGTCGTTTTTTTACCAGCGTCAAACTTGTTTGATCGATTAAACTCTTTAGTCTATACAAAAAAGTATATCACAGTTCATCTCCACGGTTCACGAGAGAGAAGTTAGCTTATTTGTTATCATTGCTATTTTGCTTCTTTTCATGATGCAATGGGCAATGGCTTTTTTCGCTACAATTGTTGGATTTTTACTTGTTTCTTTAAAAAAGTAAATATTAAATCTCTGGATATTTACGGATTTTCTGTAATTGAGTTTCATATTAAATTTCAAAAAGACTCAAGTCTGCATAGGTTTGGTAAATGAAAACAAACAATATTGTATAGAAATTACTTTAAGTAACCTTTTTGTGATGTTCTGAAGTGCAACTGCATCAAATACTTGTAAAGTTGTAGCACATTTTGATTTTGTTGTATTGATATATGAATTGGGCAAAATGCAAATAATCATCAAAACACTTATGCTTCCAATGGTGTTTATAATTCATTTGTAGTTTTAATACTTCTACCTTTCTTTTCACTTTGTTTTGTTTTTCCTATATTTGCAAATAAGTACACAATTTGAATGATTAACACAGTTTTCACCTCTATAATAAATTTCATAAGCAGTTGGTAGTGCATTTTGTTCTCTGAGTATCCACATCTGGTGTTTTGTTCATACAAGAATGATGAAGTGCAAGTAGATATGTCATAAAGGCAATATAACCAAATGAATCAAATACCTATTGTGTACTTTTATGCTAGAAGCTTAAAAGCTTTTAGAAATTATAAAGTTATTTGATTATATTAACCATATATCATCAATCTCATGAAAAGAAATAAGAAGCAAAAAATTTGTAGGAAAGCTTTGAAAAGTGAAAAACTTTTCTTTAAAAAAGTAGCAATAATGCATATGATAAATCTCCATTCTGTACTTTACTAGGTAAATAAGCTCAAACTGTTTCTTAAAGCAAAAACTGTTATAATGAAGAAATATACAGTACAGTAACTTTAAAAGTTTCAGCACTAAATCTTTAATGCCTCAGTGTAGTGCATTACATATTAGTAACATTTATACAACACTCAACTAAAATATTTTGATAAAGATATGACATGATTTAAACATTAAGTTATATAAAACCCAATGGCTTATACAGTTTGATGCTTCACATCTGCATCAAGTCATCAATCTCAGTACAAATGTTTACATAGACACATCCATAGAATTTGACCATGATCAAATTAAATAACTCTGGATAGGGCAGACAATAAATCAATTATCTTTACAGCATTATCATTTTTAAGACTCTGTCTGGTCAATAACATCTTCCAGTCATCTTTACTCCTTGGTCTTCCCTGCATGTTGTCAGCAAATAGAACATAACAAGCTCTGCTCCAAATCATGGGTACTCTTGGGGCTGATCATTTCGTTTTGATACTTACTCACAGAGCAAAATGTGTGCAGGGTCTTTTTTGCTTTAGGGAAACTATTTTGCAAATAGATGGGTAAATTTACGACTTCATGCATTAACAAATGACAGAAAAGTATGCAGAATTTTATAAACAAAAACAGGAAAACATCAGTATATTTGGCGTTCAAGTCAGTCTTAAAAAATACGATCTTTAACATGTATTTTTATGGCTTTTCAAGTGCATGTATAATTGCTTTTCAGTTTTCAATCGTTGACGGACTAAAAAACCAAGAAACTATCTCACCTGTGAGAAGCGATATGTTCCTTTTTGTTGAAAACTACGACATCCAACAATTGAACGATTGAAGTGTTGGCATTATAAAAGAAATGCCAAAAAAGATATCGTCACAGAATATGGAACTAACGATATCCATATTCTGTGATATCGTGTTTGTTTTTGAAAAATTCTTTATAATTTACTATAGACACCAGGGGGAGGTGGAGAATATTATTTTTCTGCAAAGCGATCATTTCAGCGGAAATACGTCCGTTGGCCGCCATTTTTTTGGCGACCTCGCCCCAGTAAAGATAGCCGCTCCAGTTATTATAGAACTCAATGGTTAACCCTCTCAATTTTTTAAACTACGATTAACCATCTCATTTTTTACACTGTATGTATATTCTCATTTTTTACATTGTTATTTGCACTCCTTTTTACGTCTATTATAAGTAAAATAGATTTTACTAAACTGCAAAGGACTTCTTAGCCAAGTAACCATTTACGTAGATGGTTCAAGGTTTTGAAACTTAATTTTTCTGTGCCATATGTTTATCGTAGGGTCATGAACTGACCAGCATTGGACTGCTTATTGGCTTAGCAGCGACCAAGTAAGTTTTACCTTAAATCTTATATCCCAGAATTCAGCGTTTAGTTCTCGTTTGTATTGTAGTAAGTTTTATATTGACGTAAAATATAAAATGAAACTAACTCCGAGTCTGACATTCATCTATAACTTGAGATGTCTTTACGGAAAAATATCCGACCGATGTCTTTTTGTACAGACCGAGCCTGTTTTTGTCGTTGTTTGTCATTTAGACGTGGTACTATGGATGCTGCTACCACTAAGATGTTATGTAAATGTTTGTCATTTAGACGTGGTACTATGGATGCTGCTACCATTAAGATGTTATGTAAATGTTTGTCATTTAGACGTGGTACTATGGATGCTGCTACCACTAAGATGTTATGTAAATGTTTGTCATTTATACGTGGTACTATGGATGCTGCTACCACTAAGATGTTATGTAAATGTTTGTCATTTAGACGTGGTACTATGGATGTCGCTACCACTAAGATGTTATGTAAATGTTTGTCATTTAGACGTGGTACTATGGATGCTGCTACCACTAAGATGTTGTGTATTCATATCGATGCCTTGTTACCACCTACTTCTGCTGAAATTGAAGTTTCAGTCAATGTTAGGAGTGCGGCCATAATAGGGATTGGTTTGGTTTATCAAGAAAGTGGTCATCGTCTTATGACTGAAGTTTTACTGTCTGAAATAGGTGAGCTTTAGAGAATGGTTTCAGATGGGAGGGATCATATGCAAGTGATCTTATTATTCATAAAACTTTAGTTATTGTTTACTCCAGTCATTTGTCTTCATTATAACTCCTATAGGAGTAATCTTATGTTGAAACTTGAGTTCTTATAAACTGCAGTCCAGTGTCTTCATCAGGAGTGATCCGATGTTGAAACTTGAGTTCTTATAAACTCCAGTCTAGTGTCGTCATAGGGAGTGATCTGATGTTGAAACGCAAGTCTTTATACACTCCAGTCTTGGCTTAATCTATAGTTGCATCTTTACAGGTCGCCCTCCTGGCCCGGAGATGGAAAATGCCCTAAACAGAGAATGTTATTCGCTTTGCGCGGGCCTGGCATTAGGATTGATCATGCTGGAGGTTAGCAAGGCATTACTATTCTTACATTTTTTATCTCGGCGCATGAACCAAATCCTTTTGCTTCATTGTATTTTTAGCATGGACGAGAAACAGCTGGTTTGTCTGACTTAAATATCTCTGATCATCTTTATCACTACATGGTTGGAGGTCACAAGAAAACACAGGTGATCATTGATTTAGAACCCAATCCCCTAGATGTCTAACTACCGTGTCAAGGTGGGGCAAGGACGCCATCTTGAAAGGTGGCCAAAATCAAAATTCAAAATGAAAAATAAGTTAAAAGAGGGTTTAAACAACCGATTCTATCAAACATTTTAATAATTAAACCTAGTCCATCAACTTTGCAACTGCAAAAGTTCTGCCACCTTTCAAGATGATGGCTTGCCTCACTCATAACTATAGAATTTTGGCAGAGTCAAATATCTAGAAGATTGGGTTCTAGGTGATTTAGAGTTTACATTTATGTCGTTACAAGTCGCACGCACTCCTTATTTTCTCTGTTCGTAAGTTAAGGGAGGGGGGAGACATATTCATACATGCATGTTTTATAATCCGTACAAAACAATTGATCTCAAAACAATTGATATTAATTAAATTGCATATGTCAATATGCATATATTTATTAATGTGTCCTCTCCCCTCCTTTCTCAATTATGAGGCTTGCTACACCACTGGCAGTTGTATATTAAACTTCCATTCTTATGTTTTGTTTATTCAAGATGGGTGCACAAAGTGAGAAGTTTAGATCTCCAAGCTACTTGATCAAGGTGAGAGCCAATGCCTGTAATTTTTCTGTGACTTTGATCAAGAGATTCTGGTTTGTGGATTGGATTGGATTGGATTGGAAGGCAGACGAATCCGGAATCCTATTCCACATATAAGTTGACTTGAAGAAGCCAAAAGACTGTCGTCATCAAGTGCTCGAAACACGAGTCAAACTTTGTATTTATTTTTGGGATTTAGAAACTTGTCAAACATTCACGCAGTATAGAAACATACACTAGTCTCACTTCGCTATGCAACTTGGTACTGTATATTTAGTTCGATTAATGCCTGCGGCTGGCCACATCAGATCTCCTATTGGTCAGAAAATGCAATTTACTGGCTGCAACTATGCGCCACACAAAAATTTCAATAGAGTGGGAGTTGTTTCTATTCTGTGTGTCTGCCATCTTCTTGCTCACTTGAAAATATTCATAATTTGCCATATATGAAATGACGGCATTAATTGTCGGTTAACTTATGGCAAACCTTTTTGACTCTGATATTTTTTTCTTCAGGAAGGCGACAATGTTGACATAAACGTGACTGCTCCCGGAGCGATACTCGCTTTAGCATTGATTTATCTTAAAAGCAATGACGAGTAAGTGATGATTGTTGGGATTTGCGGGAGTAAAATATGGTTTTATGCAATTATAGCTATGTCTATATAGAGGTAGCATTCCAGTTGTATTTAATTTGATGCTTTGACTGATCCTGGATGGAAAACTGAGCCTGCAGTACGCTTTCTCTTTGTTCATTTTTTAGCTGATGTTATTTAATGACAGTGTTCGAGCACTTGCTTTAAGTTCACAAAAAGTCCTTCAATTTAAAAATCGGTACTTACAAAGTCTTTGAAAACAAAACCGAAAGAAGTGCTTTAAAATGCTTCACAGCCGTTCAAAATTTAAATTAAACAAGGAAGAAGTGCACATGTGGTCGAGCCTGATTTAGGGGTCTGAAAAGCCAGTTTGAGATACTAACAGTGAGGGCAAAGCAGGCTGGTCATTATCTGTTGACCGTAATTCAAGTTCCTCCCTCTCCTTAACGATGAAGACTGTCGTTACGCAACATCCATAAGTCTAAAAGTGGATTTATTCTCTTTGCTAACAGTGTTTTGTTCTTTTTTTATGTTTTAAGAATCGTTGCATCGTGGTTGTCAGCGCCAGAAACCCCCGTCTTGGCTGAGTTTGTCCGACCAGATCTTCTTATGTTAAAAGTAAGCGATGTATAAAGCGCACATAAGCTGCGTTTAGACTACGGACCTAAACCTGGCCTAGGACATACACAGGCCCGACTTGGACCTGACTAAATGCTTTACCCTAGATGAGTGACATTGTTCCTAAGACTTTGTTCGATGCTGGGGCTAAAAAATCGGTGCTAGGTCAGTCATAGGTCAGGCTTGATTGATTTACACTGGAGGCCTAGTCAGTCCTATGTAAGGTACAGGCCTGGAGCCGGTTGCACGAAGCCTGGATAACGTTATCCTTTGGATAGCAAAAACCTTCAAACTTGTATAAAAGGTGTTTATATTTTTCTTGCAACGAAGACATTTCGTAATCTTCGAAACAATATTTTATTTCAGTGATTGTTCTGTTCGAATCTTATATTTTGTGCTTTTTAAAAGGTTTTATAAAAGTTTAAAAACACATGTTATCCAATGGATAACGCTCTCCAGGCTTCTTGCAATCGGCCCATGTGGTGTAAACGTGGCTTTAGAGACCATGCAACCGTCCCCTGTAGTGTAACCGCGGCTTTAGAGACGACGAATAGTATATTTATTGATGAAAAACATCGCGGATCCATCCCTGATTTTCGTGGATAATTCAGATGACTTTAGTAGATCAGTATTATACTAAAATCCTGGACCTTTTTGCTATACTTACTGGAGTTTCTGATGTTTTCTTTTCACGTTATTTTATCTTTGATTTGATTGGTCTATTAAAGATTGAGTACACCGACGTTCTAGATTAGTCGTCTCGACTTACTTTTTTGTTTATATTTTCATTTGTTAAGCTATTGGCCAGAGGTCTTGTTCTTTGGGACAGCGTTTTACCAACGAAGGACTGGGTTCAATCTCACATCCCTAAAGTAAGACGATTTACTCTGCTATGACGTGGGAGCGAGGCTAGACTTTAAATAGAGACTTGAGATTAGTGTTTGAGGAAAGTTTGTCGTTTGACTTGTGAAAGAAGATAAGGTTTTGACACTGAGGGGAGAATACGGGATATTCTTTAAGAAGGAGTTGATGTTACTCTATGAAGAGAAGGTGAGGTAAGACTTTAGGCAGTGGGAAAGTTTATAAATTGGAGAGAAACGTGGAGTTACTTTCTGAGGAGGAGTTATGGTTGGATTTTAGGCAGGGAGGAGTTGAAATTTGAAGTTAGGCTTTGATTAGGGACTGAGATGAAAACTTAGAGGAATCGCTAAGGTTTAACTTTGAAGTGAGAACTTTAAATTGCTCTTGAAAAAGAAGCTGAAATTAAACTCGAGGAAGGTTTTAATTTACTGTTAGAGACAGGAAGTTGACGTAAGACGTTAAGGAAATCTTCACTTGTCGTGTGTTAATGTACTTTTAAAGATATTTCAAGATTATGCTTTCACTGGAAATTCAAAAGACAACAACGACAATGTCAGTGTTGACTTGGAAACTATTACGTATGTAATACTGGCTCTTTAGAAAGCGTTCATCGTTTATATCTTGGGTAAAGGGGTTAATTTTGATTTTTTCAGTGAGATTGTTCACGACTTTCTCTCTTTGTCGTCTGATCTTTTTTTATTCTTTCCTTTCATGTGAGTCATGTGACTTTCTCAACCTGGAGAAAATTGTTTTCATTTCTTTGTAAGACCGAAGCTAAATTTAGAGTGGAAACTAATCTGAGATCTGTCAATTAGAAAGTTTGTTTTGAATTTATCTGTTCCGCATTTTGTTATTTCATATAAAAATAAAACATGTTTTTTGTGTTTGCACTGGCTCATGCAAACCTCGGAGAAGTGTATGAAAACTCTCGAGCAGATGCAACCCTCGACCTTCGGTCTTGGACTAATCTGCTCTCGAGTTCTCCCAAAGGTCTCCTCGGTTTGCATTAAACATCTTTTATCTCCTAAATAAGAATGTCAAAATCTATATTTTAAATCCATGAATTCTTCATAACTTCCAAAACTCCTGGGTTGAACACGATGAACTTCCCCATAAAATCATCTTTCTCTTTTAATTTGAATTTTGAACGCTCTCTTGTCTTATACGTATGTGTATTTACAGATTGTTGTTTCAACGATCGATTTTCCGGCTTTGGGTCCTTTCAACTTTTTTTAACTTTACATTATGACTTTTTTGTAGGCAAACCTATGTAAATATCATCGCTGGTTGCTGTTTTGCTATGGGTATCAAATTTGCTGGATCCTTTAATAAAGAAGCGTATGCTACACTTGTATGTTGTCAAGGTTTATTGTCCGCTTAAATTTTCCACAGCTTCTGTCATTTTATTTTCAAAATCGTCTCGTGAATTTTATTTTTTTTTAATATTACATAAGCACGCGGCTCACTATATCCCATTTTGTTCAGCATCACCCTGATACATCCAACATTGCCCACCATCATCCAACACTTTCCAGCGTCCCCCAACACTTCCAAACATATCCTAATCTTTCCAGCAATCACCCAACACTACATCACAATATCATCCAACGTTGCCTAACGTCATGCCATATTGCCCTACTTCATCCTACGATATGTGACATTATCCAATACTTACTAAATTTATAAACGTAATAAAATCTTATACTTTGTTGGTTTATACTCGATCTGAAACTATATTTCCCAAGATTCAAAGAGTGGAGCAACAGCTACTTTAAACTGACTTTGTAACACTTTAGATGTATTACACCAAGTACTTCAAAGATATTCTCGAAAAACCAGAAGTGGAGCAGGTTTGTATATGTGTGTGTAGTACATGGGAATAAACCATGGAGATATTGGTTCTTTTAAACTTTCACTGTGATTGGAGAATGTCTACTGCAGCTATATTATGCAATGGTAGTTTTCTTTGTAAAGTTTTATAAGCATTGAACTGACTGCAAGTGCTATCTTTTTTAAAGTGTGGTAGGGTCGTTCTGGAGCAATGTATGAACGTCACGTTGCTGTCATTATCCATGGTAAGATCATCAAATCACTTGTAAGTTGCCATTTGAAATAGTGCTCCTTGTTAGCAAAGCTGTTCTTTTTTGCTTAATAGAAAACAACGCGCATGCGCATTCCTGACTATTTAGTGGTTGGCATTTGATTGGTTAAATTAGGCATGAATTTTCCTGAAAACTCCAGGCTAATGGTGTACAGCGTATATCATTTGACAATGTTGTATAATAACGTACGGTGTTTTGTACTTTTAGGTTATGGCGGGTACTGGTAATCTCGACATTCTTCGACTCGCGAGAGAATTTCATAAACGACACTCGGTTGACGTCACGTACGGTAATCACATGGCCATACATATGGCAATTGGATTTCTGTTTCTTAGTAATGGAAGGTATGTTGTTTTGTTTGAGAACTTGTGAACTAAGCGATCTGGAAACCAAATTTCTTGTACATTATTATTCAGTAGGAAACCTTAGTTTTAAAACGTAACCCCAACCCGGCTTAATCTGATCAAGGGTTAATCTAATCAGTGGTAAGCTCCTCCGAATTAAGGGTTGAGGTTAAAGGGTTAAAATTTTTGTAGTCTTTGCCAAGAACTTTGTAATTGTCATCAGCAGTTGATGCTGCATAAGCTATTTTTGGAAGGTGCTCATGTATCATTAATGTTATATGTCAACCTACATTTGTTTGGTGGGTTTTCTTCAACATGAATCTAACATTAAAATTTACGATATTCTTGTTGCTAAATGAACATCAATTTTTAGGAGTACATTGTCCACCTCAGCTCCTGCTGTCGCAGCCCTCATTTGTGCCTTGTTCCCACAGTTTCCATCGACGAGTTCAGATAACAGGTAGAAATTTCCAGCGCATTCGATACCATGATTTTATATTCTCGAAATCGTGGGTATTGCGCGGGGTAGGGGTTCTGCAAGACTTTAAGGAGTACAAACCTACAGATGGCTTTCGAATACTTTACCCTACCCGGGTCTGCGTTTTTTAATATAGAATAAAGGAAATTTGTGTTATTTTAAGTTGTATTTTCCTTCTCACTTCAAAGTTTTATTGTTGCTTCTTTAATACTCGCCGCGCAAAATCGATTTAGATGTCATTTACAAGCCTTACGTCATCTTTATGTCTTGGCTGTGGAACCACGCCTTCTCGTACCAACAGACGTGGATACAAAGGAAGCATGCTACTGCCCAGTCGAAATCAGTTTAAGGGTAAATAATTTGTTGTTGCGTATAAGACCTTGTACAATTGCTTAAAAACACAGTCGTGGAAATATTTTGACTGCGAAGTGTTACGCAGTAAAAAAATGCAAAATTTATGTTTTTAATAATAACATCGTTTTTTCCACGTATTTATATAAGTTTGATTTTGAAACGAACGTATCTTCATTCTCATTTCTTCGCAGGAAACACAATACTATCCTGAGACGGTTATTCGAGAACTCGCCCCATGCCTTTTGCCCGAAGTAAACAACATCAAACAAGTTCGTATTGGCGGGAAAAGATACTGGCCTGTTGTACTTGAAGGAGATGAACTACCAGAAGAGTTAAGGTTGACTTAAGAACTGTCAAATGTACACTTATTTATATCTAAATGCTCGTTGTTTAAGCAGGAACCATTGAGGGAAAGTAGTGCAGGACTGGTGCCAATTTTCATACAAAAAAAAAATCTAACAAACCATAAAGCAACAGAGCAACAACAATTGTGATTAGTTTTTACTAGAGCATACTCCCAATCATTATAAAATGTAGCAGAATTTAAAAAGTCTACGCACCAATATCTAATTCAAACTCGAGCCCATCTATGTTTCATCTCTGCGCTAAAGTGCTTATAAAGTGAAATTTTCATACCCTATTTCATTGTTTTAGTGAAAAATACCTTCTTTCGAAATTATTAATTTTTCATTAATCCGAATTAAAATGAATCTATGAAAGTTTCACGTGACAAGCACATGAACTAGAATGCTTTCTTCAGTATTAGTAGAACTGAACTCATTATGTAACTGGGTGCCTTACATATCTCTAATTACCTTACATAACAGCGCATTTTTGAATATCAGTAAATCACATCTTAACTATATTGACAGGCTGTTGTTGTCAAAAGGTGGAACTGTGTTTGTAAAGAAAAGAATCGGTCAACTTCCGTACAAAGACGATCCAAAGGTGTGCAAGTTTTTACCTCACTTCACTTTACCTCACCTCACCTCATCTCACCTCACCTCACCTCTTCTCACCTCACCTTACCTCACTTTACCTCACCTTACCTCACCTTACCTCACCTTACCTTTCTTTTTCTAGGGTTATCGTAATTTAATGGCTCGAACTTTTACCAAACAAGCCGAAAAGGTATGATTGTTTACTTTTAATGAAGAGGTAAAAGATTTTTACTGCGTTTTTTCTTTGCACAGTTTTATGGAAACCAAGGAGACCTTTGGGAGAACTCGAGAGCAGATCAGTGTAAGCCTGAGACCGAAGGTCGAGGGTTGCACCTGCTCGAGAGCTCTCACAAACGTCTCCGAGGTTTGCATAGCCAGTGCTAACACAGTAAACATCTTTTATGTCTTTTATAAAATAACATTAATGTAAAACTGATACATTTAAAACAACTGATTTATTTTTCCTCTAACATGTGTTCATTTTTGCTTTGCAAATTCTGTTTAATGGATTTAATTGATCGAGCTAGGATCGTTTTGCACAGGCCAATGCAAACTGAGCTATAGACCAATCAGCGCACACGTTTTATTTTTTTTATTTCACAGTCATCAACGTAGCAAAAATTTTGTAGCAATCAGGGAGAGCTTTGTAATGGCATACAATGCCCACGAAGTTAACTGTAGTATCTGTTTATAATACAGTTTACTGTTCCCACGTGCTGACAAATCAAGTCTGTCAGTTTCGTGATGTAGAAAGTTTCGAATGTCGGTTAAGGATTTTGTTTGTGAATTTCAAATGTTCCCACGTGCTGACAGATCATGTCTGTAAATTTTCATGATGTTTACAGTTTCTACTAATGTCGGTTGAGGATTTTGTTTATGAGTCTCAAATAGAAAAACAATTGCTCAACATAAAATTCTAAATATAGCAATTTTTTTATGAACGTATAGTTTAATGACAGCAACGCTTCGTCTTAACACAACACATCATCTACGGTGTGTGTTTGTATTAATACACAAATATTTACATATTACAAGTTACTGTCAATAAACTATTATTTCTTACTAAACGGCTATCGTTTGGAGTTCATGCTGGGCAATTGTTTTTCTAATACGAGTCTGTTTCCCGCCTATCAAGTCTCTCGCTCTTATTCTGATTTTCTAATATTTTGAATTGTTTTCCATACGATACCTCTTTATAAGCAGATGAGCATATTCCATTAAATAAACGTGTTATTAATTCCTGTAAATAGATACATTCTCATTGGATTAGATTATTGTCCAATTTGAAGGTGATGTGTTCACAGGAATTGAAATTTTTTGGAGAGGTTTGTTTACGCGATAGTTTTTAACTCTACGTTTTGTCTAGAAATGGAATACGTGAAATTCCACATTCCATAAGTGGATTTATAGCTTATAGGAAATTGTCTAGAAGCAATAAAGGAAAACTTTCTTTGGTGGCGGCGTGGTAAAAATTTTGATTGATCCAGAAAATTGGTAGTCTTTCAACAACAGATTTTAGCACCATTTAGTACAGTCAAATCTGTATTAAGTGCCCCTGCATTAAGCGGTCTTTCAACAACGGTTTTTAGCACCATTCAATACAGTCAAATCTGTATTAAGCGTCCCTGCATTAAGCGGACACATTGTATTTAGTGGACACTTTGTAAAGTCACGAATTAAATCTCGTATAATTCGTTGTAACGAAACTTCTATCAAGCGGACGAGGACACCAAAATTTGTCAAAGAGTAACACAAAAACTTGTGTTTAACCGACAATATTTTCAAATATTTCATGTTACCTACAGACATAACGTTAGTCACAAAAATATTGTCACAACAATTATGAAGATATTTGTCATAATGCAAGTGTGTTGAAGAATGCTGTACATAAAACATGAAATTGTTTGCAAATTATAAATAAAAATAACTTGTCAAGTCGAATGAAGCTTGTCGTTGTAAAGACTTACACGAGATTACATTACACCAACATCTTCATTAAAACCACTTATTACTTATTATATATTACTAAAAAAAATTATGTTTTGTTTATATTGACTTTGTTAAATGGACTCCTCCATTAAGCGGACACCAGTCTATTCCCCGAGGGTATCGGCTTAATACAGGTTTGACTTAAGTCAGTTTTGTTGATGGAGGTGAGTCCTCCAACCTACATTGTGATTGTCACAGATTATCACAGACATTCCTTAACCAAACCTATTTCCTGTTCCTGTTGGTGATCTGATAAAGTGCTCCCCCCTAATATATGATTGATTTTATTTCTGTCAACGCAGGTTGATATTGTTCGCTCGTTTTCAACTGATCAAGAACTTATCAAATTTACGGAAATATTTTGTCAAAATTCTTCCAATCGTAAAAAGGTATCATTTGTTTTTAAAATTTAGCGTTAAACAGACAAAATTTTTATAAGAACTGTGTGAACAACAGAGAACAAGTACAGTCTTTACACTATCTAAAATATATAAGAAATAAGATAACGTATGTCAGTGTAGGTAGTGTTTAATGAACAACAGAGAACAAGAACAGTCTTTACACTATGAAAGAATGTTATCATATCTTCATTTAATAGTCTTTACACTATCGAAAATATATAAGAAATGAGATAACGTATGTCAGTGTAGGTAGTGTTTAATGAACAACAGAGAACAAGAACAGTCTTTACACTATCGAAAATATATAAGAAATAAGATAACGTATGTCAGTGTAGGTAGTGATAAATGAACAACAGAGAACGAGAACAGTCTTTAAACTATCTAAAATATGTAAGAAATGAGATAACTTATGTCAGTGTAGGTTGTGATAAATGAACAACAGAGAACGAGAACAGTCTTTAAACTATCTAAAATATGTAAGAAATGAGATAACTTATGTCAGTGTAGGTAGTGATAAATGAACAACAGAGAACGAGAACAGTCTTTAAACTATCAGAAAACGAAAACGTTATGCCTACTATATTCCAGGAAGTTCGTTGTGCTGACTTTTTATCTTCCGTACTTCTAAATTGCGTGAGCAAAGAAACAACGTCCATCGTCTACACGTATTTTGCGATAGAGAACGCACTACAAGCTGTTGAAAATTCTAGCAACATATGCATGCTGAGAGAACTCTTAATAGTTTTGACGTATTACGAAAATGCTTTTGAACGTTTGAAGAAGAGAAATTCGGAGTTAGAGGTTTGATTTTGTTGTTTTTTTTATGATCTATTTTCAACAGCAAGAGTTTAGTTTGTATTTTACTTTTTTAGCCCATTATTAATCCCCTTTATATTGTCGAAATTCAAAGTCGCCTGGCTGCTCATTTCAAGTCCTTCACTAACAGAGGTATTGCTCAATCTCTTTCTTTACTGTCTGGGTTAATATTCCTTCTTCCCAGTGTCTCAATTTTATATCCAACCTACATTTGAAATGATGTAATGTTGAATGACCCTCCTTCTCCCCAGTCCCAATTTTATGTCAAACCTTCATTTGAATTGACGTAATGTTGAACGACCCTTCTCCCAGTCCCAATTTTATATCCAACTTACATTTGAAATGACGTAATGTTGAAACACCCTTTTCCCCAGTTCCAATTTTATATTTAACTTACATTTGAATTGACGTAATGTTGAACGACCCTTCTTCCCAATCCCAATTTTATGTCCAACCTACACTTGAATGATGTAATTTTGAATGACCGCTTTAATTAAAGGAGATGTATTCATGAAAGTCATTTGAATATTTACTTGTTTTTCATTTCGTCTTAGTCACGTATGAATTACGAGAACACGTTGGCAACATGGATAGGAAGATAAGCAAAGAGCTGGTGTCTTACATGACGTATCATGCTATGAACGAAGCCAAGACTCTTCCTCGTGTTGTCACGAAACAAAATGGTAAGCACCAGACGATTTTGATCCCAAGATTAGGATTAGATTACATTGAAATATGGATGGATTTAGTTCATACAATTAACGGTAACATGACCGTTAAGTATCTTTAAAGGGCAGTGGATCTTTTTTGTAATTGGGCACCTTGTCATTTGGCAATTTTCATTCCCAGGTGTAGTTTACATAATGACTGATAAATCACGAACTAAAAGCAATTATTCCTTATTAAAAATACCGAGATGTGCAACTGCGACAATTTAAAAAAGTTCACTGTTATTGAATGTTTACTTTCTATGATCTTAACCTAACTCTCCCCCCTGATCCCTAACATAATTCTCCCCCCTCCCTGACCCTTACTGTAGTCCTCCCACGTGATCTATTCTCTAACTCTCACCCTGACGCTTATCTTATCGTTTCCGTTACCCTTAGATAATCCCTCTTAACTTAACCTTCTTCCTTCCTTTAATGTAGAACAACCCCTCCTGAGTCTCTGACCCTTATCCTAACCCTACCACCGTCCCCCCTTACACATTTGGTTGCAAAACATTATAAAATGTAGGAAATATTACGGTGAAATGCTTGAAATTTACAAATTGGCCCGAAAATTCCACAAGACTTACAAAAATATTCACCGTTCTACAATCACCTCCCTCGTAAAAAAATTTTTACGAAAAATATCAACACATTTTTTTTTATCGGAAATGAAACCTCGCTGCGATGGGTTTGTTTCGGTGTGTTTGATAAACATAGCAGAATTGCGAGAACCTGCAACTCAATGACAACAAGAATATCAATAACTGGAAAATCTCTCGCAATAATGCAATAATTTGTGTTAATGTGCAAAGATCTTTCGAAACTAAGCAAAATCTGTAAAGACAGTGAAAATATCTGTATCAACTGTGCGAATTTTGTCACTCAACTGGGAAAAATATGTAAGAAATAATCTGCGGAAATTGCGGATGGATTTATTCTTTCATTTGTTGCTTGACATGATCTTGCTATGTAAATTTCAGAACATTATCCATTATTCATATTATTAGAAATCTGTTGTTTTTATTGCGAGTAAACACAGAAAAACATGCACAGCATGACCAGGTCTGCCAATGCCGCTGACGTCATCATTAAGTAGTAATATAGGATCTTGTGCATTTAGAGTAAGCAAGAAGTGTTATGTTTTGATTTACTCTGAATTACTTTTGAGATTTTTAGGTTTTTGATTTTAGGTTTTGAAAACTTACTAATGTCGTAGTTTCAAAGTAAAATACACTAACAATGTTCCAATAGATGTCTTGTCTTGTTTACGTTTTTTGGCGGGAAAATTTGGTCGAGTGCTTTTAGACAACACCAGCAACAATGGTTAAATTTCGCTTGGGATGAATCTGCCTGGCAAAAAAACGTAAAGAGTCTAACTCATATTTATAACCGTAAGGTCTTTTTTGTTGTCTGTGGCGTAGCCAGCACGCTTATTTAGTCCTGCTATGCGATTTGTTTTGTGAAAAATTTACTAAAAATTTGCACTGTAGGTGTTAAAGTTTGTGCTGTCTTCACAACTGGTAGAAATTGGAGTAGTTTGCTTTTTTTAATTGATTTGCTCTGTTTGTTTTCAAAAAAAAGTGATGGAATAATCGAAGGCGCACAGTATGAAGTAAAATACCATTTAATTAGATGTGCAAACTGCGAGAAATACGCTGTTTCTAGGTAATCTCGGAATGTCTTGACGTCAATCGAAATAATTGCACATCATATTCCATAACAATCGGCAACGGGACAATGCTATCAATTTTCTTGAATTTTCATCGCGAATTAGATTTTGGATGTTTTTGTATCATAAAGGTTTCGAAGCCTATGGGGTTTGACCTTGTTACTTGACTAATTGTGGTTATTAGTATTTCAATTCTACGATTAGTAACCATTTTAAATTCCCAGATGCCAAACATGTATTGTGTTCTACAACGAACTAATGATAAAACATACACAATTGGATTTTCTATGTATGGGATCATATTGGAAATCCTTCAGGCTTAGAAATTAGAAACGTCCAATTCATAACAATTGATGTGATTTCCTGAACTGATGATTGATATGAAAATAATTGAGACTTTTTAACTTACAGCTCCTTTAGAAGTAATGATGAAAAAATGTGAAGAGCTTTGTTTATCTTTTCCTAATCTCTTGAAATTGCGCTCAATTATTCAATCGTGAACAACTGACGTCAGGTATATCAACTAACAACCTCTCAGTTTCCTTTTCGCTTTTTGTAAAGTTTTGCCGTTCATTCATCTCGCTGTTGTCCGACCAGAGGCGTAACTAGAACGTTAATTGGGGGGGGGGGCATATTCATATATTCCGTTGTGCCCTAATGATTTCTTTTGAAAGTGATTTAAAATTTCAAAAGAAATCAGTAAGGCACAACTGAATATATGAATACACACACACACACACCCACCCTCCTCAATTAACGTTCTAATTACGCCTCTGTGTCCGACACTGGAAATATTTCGAGTTGAGACGTTGAGCTGGTTTCTGGTATTTTGCTGCTGTAAGACAGAAGAAATATTTCAACACTTACGCGTGTTTTTTGTATTTCATTGCTGTATTGTCAGACATTGGAAATATTTCGACTTCGGTTTTCTGATATTTATCTATTTTTGGATCGCATGAAAGCTCGCGTTGTGTAAGTTCATGTCGAACACCTGCGGAGTGAGAATAAAGAATAATGTTATCTTCTTCTGATTTTTCTATCATTTATCGTTGTGTGTCTGTGATTTTAGAAGTTCTCTTAAAGTAGAATTGAAGCTCAATTGATTCATGGCTATAAAAACACGCATGAAAGACAGATATATGAGGGGCTGATTACATGAGCCCGTGTAGCCGGGATTCAGTCAGGCGTTAAATGATTTTGGCGAATGTAAAAGATTGTATACTAATCATCAGATAAATGTTCCCGAGCAATTTCACAATATTTTGATTTAATAACTACGCAAAACATTTAAAATTGAAACAACCAGTTTGGCCTAATTTGAGAATTACAACAGGAATGATTCGTGGCGCTTAACAAACAGTTGTAATTTTTAACCTTGAAGTTTTGGCTTCTTTCAATCCCTCGAAATCATTTCACGCTTCACTGAATCTCGGCGAGCCGGAATCATATAAACAGCCTTATAGACTAAAGAGTATCTTTATCCTCTCTTTATTTGTCCTTCTATTATCTTTGTGTTCACTTTTGTTGTGATTTCATCTCTTCTATATGACAAGTTTTCGTCAAGTCCTAGTTGAACACACACGAAGGACAGATAGACTAAATTATTATCTCATTATTTGTCCTTCATTTATCTTTGCGTTCGATTTTTCTTGTGATAACATCAAAATCTCTTTAAAAAGGTATGAAAACATAAGAAGTGGTGCTGGATGAATTTTTATGGGGGAGGAGAGGGGGAGAGTCAAAAACAAAAAAAAATGCTGTTACATATTACACAAAGACGTTATTTTCTCTTCAACGATTGCTTGATTTGAAGTATTTTAACAAAAATCGTAAAATCGATGGAGAAATGACGTTCTCATTGATTTCAGTTGGCAAATTTTGTTTTAGTGTGAGTGAGCTTTTTGAATACGGACGATTGTCTTGAGAATATTATGGGAGGGGAGGGGGGTTGATTTGCATTCTTACCATTCCCTTTTTACCCTCCCTCCTCAGTAGTGCCACTGCCAGGCTTGCGATAAGCCGTCATCTAATCAATATCAAAATGTCACGCATCACGAGTTTTTTGACGATAATGTATGAAAAAGAATTTAATGTAGGACAACAACCTAAATGTGTAATGTCATAAGTGTCTCAGGTCTTTATAACAAAGGCGACAATCAGGATTACAGTCTCATCTACTTAGCTCTCATCAATATAACTTTTCCCCCCGAGGGCCCTGCATTCTTTATTTATCTCTACTTTTTTTTCAGTTTAGGGCTGGTTCAGTGAAGCGTTATCATTTTGGTAAATGGAGAAGATTAATTTCTTCACATCAAAAAACTTATTTGAGCAATTTCTCCATGCTCTGACTTGGCAAATTCACAAAGCCTTTCAAATGAACACAAATAATTTAGCCTGATTTTTTACGACTAAAATGGCTAATGTCGCTTAAGAAAAGGTTGTAACTTCGCTTAAAGTTTTTACTCCTTTCAATTACTTTAAATCATGATGTTATCAGCCTCTTAGAGTTAAGGAACTCATCCCACATTAAGCTGCACTCGATCGCTGGCCATTTTTATAGGGACTCAACTCAGTGGTTGAGGTCATTCAGTTTGATCTTAGCGCTACTGAGGTTCTCCTCGAAGTTGGTCTGTTTGTAATTTGTTTCCCCCGTGAAAATATACGGTTAGCCCATCGAAGTTATTTTGACTATTTTTTGTTTTTTCAAATTTTTTCCCGTAGGTTTTATTTTTACCCATATTTGGTTCCCCCACTTAGCTCTCAATTGTTTTTCAAATTGTTGTTTTTCATCTACTTAGCCGACCTCTACATTTTAATCATCACTATTGTTCTCGTGGAGATAATTTGTAGTTACAAGATTATTTTGCCTTTTGTCATGTTTCCGTCAAAGTGTGCGATTAAAATTTGCGCCATTTTGGAATTTGGCTGTTTTTCTTCTGAAATTTTCACGATTTGAGGCGATTAGTTCGGTATTTTACGTTAATAAAGACTACAGGGCTGTAAGGCCTGTTTCAAACGTCGAATTTTGCATGTGTCGAATACAATAAGCAATTTAATTCGACCGAAATGCAAAATTTGACTGTACATTTCAAACGTAGAATTTTGCATGTGTGGAATGCAATTATTACACGACGTCTTCGCTTTATCTCGTTCCAGACTTTGTTGTGAGTAAAACGCGAGAGCCAAATTGTATTCGACACATGCAAAATTCAGGGTTGAAACATGCGACCCAAACCGGTCGAATTTTAAAGTTAAGGTCAACCTCAATTAAAGCAGTCGAATTTAATTGTTTCGTACGTCGAATTTCGCATGTACTTAATTCAAACTATTTTATTCGACACATGCAAAATACGACGTTTGAAACAGGCCTAAACTCTAATTTTTTAATTTATACATGTTTTTGCATTTTTCTCATTAAGCCATTATGAAGGTCTTTGCATGTGGTGCAAATCGTCCATCAACGGCTTAAATCTCCGCGAGTATTGTCACTAGTCTTAAAAGGTAAAAAAAGTTATTTGTGACACAAGTAAATGGAATATTGTTTAGAGATGAAATTGGATATCTTTAGCACATCAAAGAAATTGGAATGATTGTTTTCAAATTATTTAGAAAACGTTCGCACGATACCGGTACGAAACTCAAGCGGTATGCTTTCATACCGTTTCGAGCTATTCACAATATGCCGTCATAGTTTTGCTCCGTTTTGTTTTGGTGGTGTGTTCACACTTCACATTACCTGGGATTAATACGGTATACCGATTAATACCGGCTTTAAGTCTATTTGAGTTTTATTTATTTGACGTCTAAACATTTTTGCTGACCATATTTATCGCCGTCACGACTGTGTTCGAATATTTTATGGCACAATTTTAACATGAAAAAGGTTTCGCCGAACCTTAATGAAACTCTTAAGTGTTCACACGTAACGGAAACGATATAGTTTTGAACCTTTTTCAAGCTTTCTTTATATGCAATTACGTCACAAAAATAGTTGCGCAATGTTGCCATGGCACCATGTTGGTGGTATAAGTTTCAAGGTGGCTGTGCCTTTTAAAACTTGTAACGGTTTCACACTTTTTCATACCGGCATCGTGTGAACATTACAGCAAACTGTATATGTTTTGCGTTGTTTTCAAACTCTACCGGTGTAGACGGGGTCTTAAGGGCTTGGTTACATGAGCCCGGTAGCTGGGATTCAATAAACGATTTTGGCAAATCGAAACTATTCAATACTTATCAGATAAATCTTCTCGAGCAATTTCACGATATTCTGATTTTATATCAACGCAAAACATTCAAAATTAAAACAATCAATTTGGCCTGATTTGAGAACTACAACAGTAATGACTTGTGGCGTTTGACGAACAGATGTAGTTTTTACACATGAAGTTTTGTCTCCTTTTAATGCCTTGAAACATTTTACGCCTCACTGAATCCCGGTAAGCCAGGATCATCTAAACAGCCCGTTAGAGATAAAATTGGACATCTTTAGTGCATCAAAGAAATTGGAATGACTGTTTTCAAATTATGATGTTATTTTTTTAAAATAAGAACACCAAATAAGCAAATAATAAGATGAAAATATATTCCTTAATCTGTACTTCAAGTGTGTTCTACCAGGACTTGATGAAACCTTCCTAAGTAGGAGGTTCTACCAGGACTTGATGAAACCTTCCTAAGTAGGAGGCTCTACCAGGACTTGATGAAACCTTCCTAAGTAGGAGGTTCTACCAGGACTTGATGAAACCTTCCTAAGTAGGAGGTTCTACCAGTACTTGATGAAACCTTCCTAAGTAGGAGCTTCCATCAGGACTTGATGAAACCTGCCTACGTAGGATGTTCTACCAGGACTTGATGAAACCTGCCTAAGTAAGAGGTTCTACCAGGACTTCATGAAACCTTCCTAAGTAGGAGGATCTACCAGGACTTGATGAAACCTTCCTAAATAGGAGGTTCTACCAAGACTTGATGAAACCTTCCTACGTAGGAGGTTCTACCAGGACTTGATGAAACCTTCCTAAGTAAGAGGTTCTACCAGGACTTCATGAAACCTTCCTAAGTAGGAGGATCTACCAGGACTTGATGAAACCTTCCTAAATAGGAGGTTCTACCAGGACTTGATGAAACCTTCCTACGTAGGAGGTTCTACCAGGACTTGATGAAACCTTCCTAAGTAAGAGGTTCTACCAGCACTTAATGAAACCTTCCTAATTAGGAGGTTCTATCAGGACTTGATGAAACCTTCCTAAGTAGGAGGTTCTACCAGGACTTGATGAAACCTGTCTAGGTAGGAGGGATTTATGTAAACACAAATTATAAAATGTGAAACAAAGACAAATGAAGGGCAAATAATGAGACGATAAAACTTGATGAAACCTTCGTACACACGAAAAGAAAGAAACATAAAGTATATCTCGACGCGGAATTGAAGAAACTCTAGTGCGAGAATGAAAGTCAATACGAGTCAATATTTTACCAAGCAGTAACTGATGTAACCACAGTACAGAAACAAACAGTAGTCTCACTCCATTGTGCAACTTGCTGCAGTATATTTAATTAGATTACTCGCTGGGGCTAGCCATCTTAGCGCTCCCATTGGTCAAAAATAGCAATTTACTGGCTGCCACTATGCTAATCACATGCGTAGTAAGACATGCGCTACACAAAAAATTTCAATAGAGAGGGACTACTGTTTGTTTCTATACTTTTGTGTAATTCCCTCGGTCTCTCCCTACTTTGTGTATTCAAAACATTTCCTATTGTGACATATCACAACAGCAAGCCATCCAGAAATCGTATATCACGCAGCGTAACCCCAGTTCATCTGTTGACTTTAACTCGTATTGACGTTAGATTATATTTCAAAGCGATGATGCATGAAATGGATGGCATCGCTCTCTCGATTTTTAGTCATATGCTTTTGTTTCATTACGTGTTAAATGTAAACAAAATTCATCCATGTTTTCGTGGGTGATTGCTTATCAAACCTATGCAAAAAATCGCCTGTGAAAACATTACAAATAGCACCATATGGGTTTAATTGAATTCATCATTCAACAATAAAATCCTCTTTATTGTTCTTAGCGAAGTACCAAGCATTTCATACAGGGAAACCGATTATTACATTACGTACGCCGTTAATTTGCACGCAGGGGAAATTATTTGCAAAAAAATCATATTTCGTAACATTGTTGAAAGCGAAGTTTTTACACTGCGTCAAGACCGGTTTCTGGTTTGTGAAAATTTTTTTCGAATATATTTCCTTCTCTATTAGCGAAATCATAATCCTGAACCAGAAGTCGTAATGTTTACATGATTAACGCCTTTAATGTGATTGATTTGCATGTAAAGAATAATGGTTTTGATTTATGCAAGCCTATAACTACAAGATCCATTCATTCATACATAGATCATCTACATATGCGTATCTTATAAACATACATGATAAGTGTTCGGTTTTCTAATACATAATTTGATAGTGTTTTATTAAAGTGCGTGTTTAATCCTATTAACTTTCCGCTAAAGCGCTTTTGGTTCTATCTTGACGTCATAGGATGCAAGCTCCGGCTCAAGTGAATTGTTGCTTTTCAAAAGATTCGCGATTGTTTTCTTTATTCATTAGCTTCCACACAGTGGGGATTGATGGGTTTTGTGATGTAGCCATCTACCTTCTTTAGTTTATATTGACTTACACCAACAAACAGAGATATTACAGATAACTATTACGATCACATTTAATGTTCAACTTCAATGTCTATGGTCTACGATCTATCTTACAATGGTTAAACTACTTCTATTTATACAAGATAGTACGTAGGAACTATAAAAAATATTGTGATTATTGCACATAAGTATCTCTTAAAATAATCATTTAGTTAGTTACACTTGACTTAATTATTTACTAATTACAGCAAGAATATGAGAGCATATCTCAACAGGGATAAAGTTATGCGAGGGTCGCAAAGAAGTTAATTAAAACTGTATTTTCGGTTTATTATTTCAATATGATGTTGACATGCTCTTCATGTTGCCATACTTGGTGATGGGTCATGTGCCTATTAAGTGTGCGTGAATTTTGGTAATAAAAAATCATGGGAAACGTTTTAAATTTGTTGTTTTGACTTTTAACAAGGTGTAACAATTATTGTAAATGTTTTGTACAATTAGAATGTTCTAATTTCCATTCGAAGGAATTTTGAAAGAATGACAACGTAGCTCGTTTTACGCCCAATTTTAGAGAAATTTGATATGTTTCCGTAAACAAGACACACGTCAAACAATGTTTTTAAAAGCGTTTTACAATTATCCTTCTCAAAGAAGTTTACAAGATGATTCAACAAGACTATATTGGTTAATCTTCCATAATCAACATTGAAAGGCTTGACTTTATAATTAAGGCATTTTCCCGCCTATAAATAATATTACTATTTACTGTATTTGTAATCTGTAATCCTGTATTGCATCTCTTTCATTTCAGTTATAAGTGGGGATAAACATATTTGCTTTGGAAGAAACTACTGAGAATTTACAAAGAATGAAAGTGTTATAACAAATATTTATTGAAAGAACTCTTTATTTCCGGCAAAGAGAATCAAAAAATTAAACGACTGCATAAAACATTCGAGAACTCTTGGTAAAATAAGCGTGATTTTTTCATAATAATTTATTAAAGAAACGAATGTTTTCCAAGTTAAGTCTACGAAATAGAAAGACGACAAAAGTCCTCGATTTTCAGATATAAATATCTTTCTATTCAATATTTTAAAATAAGCTGAAAATCCTCTTCGATTTTGAAGATTTACATCCAGATTACGATGAGCATGAAAATACTTTCAATTCCTTTATTGTTAGACTTAACATAACATAATTTCTTTAAATAGGAAACAAATGAAAAGTCCTCAAATTTACTGCAAATTTTTCTACCATTTATAGTGTATATTAATTATCAATGGCATGAACTTTCTCTTAAAGATATGTACAATCCAATTCAACATTACTAACGTGAACAAGTATTTAACCTCGAGGACGTCGGTGTTAAAGAGAATTCACAGCAAATAGTTTCTAGTACAATAGGGTAATTAATTAACATAAATATCTTTCAGTGATACAAAAACAAGATTTGAAAAACCCGAATACAATGTCACAAACATATTAACCATGATCTCATAGTTAGCTCAGTGCAAACGATTTGTCACATCATAGCCTGTTGTGCTTTATTTAACAATAGCAAGCTTGTCCTTTTGCGAAACTCATGATTTTTGTGTCCAAACATGTTATGACTATATTTATTCATAAGATTATATTTCAACCTCTCTTCGACTTATTGTCTTTCTTACGCAATGTTAAGGATACTATTTTCGACAGCTTCGTTTTTCCTAGAGACAATGCCAGAAACGAGAAGAAGGCACATAATTTTTGCACTAACTATTTCGTTTATGCTGATTGGGCGGTCATGTTGCAACCGGCCCATCCCAGCACACGTATAAAATGCCTTTGGGTTCTTTCGTAGCAGCGCTTTTGTGATAAGTGGCAATATGAATTAATCTCTAATTTAAGCAATAAATGTTTTGCATCGATAAAATACATCTGCACAGCTATTCTGCTGTGAGCAGTTTCATAGATGAAGACCGTTCGCGTGCAAGCTGACTAAAATCGTCTTCTTCCTCAAATGTATCGAAGCCCTCTTCGCAATCATTGTTTATTGTTGGAGGGGATATCGGTAAACTTTGACTTCGGTTTCTGCCATTTTTTGACAGCAACATCTTCGCAAATGAGAAACCCTTTCCGTTTAAAGGGAACGACTTCTGTCCGGAATATTCGATTAAATTGTCCGTTTCGTTATAGCGTGATTTGTCAACTTTATTTATTTTGGTGTTGTCACCGACATTAGTTTCGCACGGTAACAAAACAGCGCACGCGAACTCACCAAAATTGCTCATCGAATCGTATTTCTTGACATTGTCAACACCATTTACATTCGTTTCTTGATGTAGGCGATGCTCGCCATCGGTTTCATTTTCGTCGCCGCTCTCCTCACTATGTGTGAACTTTTGGTGAAGATCCTTTTGATGGAGATCGTTCTCCCATCCAGCACGATCGACGCGCTTCGCGTTGTACAATGCTGAACGCACTTTAAAGGCTTCGTGCATCGCCTCGCAAATGGCATTTGCCTGCGCAGGATTCTCACAATGTACAACGTGTACTCGAATTGCGCCGTTCTGCGGTTCTCGAACAACAAACGCAAAAGCGTTTCGGTTTTCGTAGCTTGTGTTGCAGAATGTGACGTTGATGGTTTTGTATCGGTATATTACAACGTTCTCTGTTGGTGCGTACAATGATACGCAGTTTGCGCTGATAAAGAGCTCTCGTTTCGCTAGGCTTTTGTAGCTGTTTTTTGTGCTGTACCGGTGATATATTTCTCGAGTCGCTTCGTCTGTACAACCTTTACCATTGCTATCTTGAGATATATATCTCTCGAACCTAAGTAGCGCACTCGAAAACTCTTGCCCGCTATAATTTTATCTTTTTCGTCGCATTCCTCTCCCGTCAATCGAATGTGGCCATTGTTTCTTGGCATCTTGTCGCTTCACGTAGATGTATGCCTTGTGCATCGACTAAATTCGTCTAACAGCCACGCGCTTCACCGCCGCAATTTATGCAAATTGATGTAAACATGAAGCGGAAGTTGAAGTAAATATTTACCCGTGTGGGCGGGTAAAATGGCACGTATCCGCGATAAAATAATTGGAGTCATATGTCTTCTTCAGAGTGAGGCAAAGCTTGCGTAAAGTAAACACAACCTGTAATTTATTACCTTGTACGTGCTTGACACAATTAGTAAACGGTGACCTTGGATACTTTCCTATTCAACATCATACAACTTGTAAGTATTGTGAAGAAAAAAAGAGTTTTCCCAACTTATTCATAGTTAAGACGATTAGTTTCATATTTCAATTACAACAATCGTAAAATCTTAAATTTATATTGTCATAACTATTTTTGTCATTTGCTTTAATAAAATGTATTTTACAACATAATTGACATTCCTGTTCATTGACAGGTCACTATTTTTGTTATTTGAAATGGAAAAAAAGCAAACTTCAGCAGATATCCCACGAATCCAAGTTTATGTTTAAAAACATTTCCTGTTCATGTTCCTAAAATATCTGGTTATTTTCCAAGTATTTCTAGCATCATTGCACTTTTTAAAAAACTTCCATTTTACATAAGAGGGTCATCTTTGTGTAAACGACTCAATTTTATGTTACTCTAAAACTGTTGAATTATGAATATGTACTTCATCTTATTAAAATGTCAATGATTTCGATTTTATTTTCATATAAATATCCTTCTTACGGTCGGTTATAAGTAACTACATCAATTGTTTGGTTGACGCAGAGACGACAACGAAACTGTTTGTACATATTTTATAGTCGATGTGTTTCTTTCATGACTAGTTGTTATTCAAGAAGATAATTTATATCGATTTATTCAAAGATGTTAGTTACATAAAATATATAAAATCGTCAGACGTTTCGATTACCGTTATCAAAGGCAAACCTCAAGGGAAACTTCGTACGATTTCAAATACTTTATGTAAATATAACAATGTAGAAGATCTTTGAATGAGTTAGAATCAATTGTGAGGAAACAAAATTGACAGGAAATAATGAAACGGTTTGATTATGACAATAGTTATGATATTTAATCGGATTTAGTCTTTCCAGACTTGATCGCAAAACGCCCATATTTCTTGGCACATGTCTGTTGGCGGGAAAAATCACGTCAATGTGATTGTCGCATGTGATGCCGATTTAAATCTTTGTGCACGATGCCATATTTTTGACGTTCTGTGTAGGATGTTTCACACGTTAAAATAGCTTTTAATCCGTTCTCATGAAATGCACTGTTAACACTTAAGAAGAATAAGCTTGTTATGACGTAATCAACTGTCGTATGGGAAAAGATGGAAGCCGCACCTTTCTTACAAAACCAAACGTATCGTGGTGTTTTATGCGTAAATTTCTTTCGTAGATTGTTGTCAATAATTGGATTTTTAAAAATCGTGATTTCCGAGCGTTAAGGCGTCATACATCAACTGCGTGCCATGTAAATCAAAGACAATAGTAATGATTGTTTCTGCAATCCGGCGCTTCAAGATAATTTGAGTCTTTGGGACGTTCCGTAAGTTGTTTGCATCAAATTGTTACTGCATATCAATCATACAGTCAATCAATCATCCTGCCTCTTTAGTCTTTCTATCTCTATATATCGTTATGATACACAGTCACAGCACAGACAATGACATGTATTCTGAAATGTAAAATTTGCCTTTTCAAGAGGCCTATTTCGGATAATTATGTTTTACACTACGAAGGTAAACTGTCTGAAATGTTTGAAGATTCCCGCGCTTCACTGCATGGTGTGAGAAGGAAGGGCTGAGGAGAGTAGCACAAGATTCATACTATAAGATGGCATACTTACTACCCTTTTACAGCGATGTGTGAATACTATAATACGCCAAGAATTTCATTTTTCTCCGCGAGTTAGAACTGAACCATAGCCCAAAGGTACGCATTTTCTGTCGGCAGTCGAATTTATTAAAAAAAAGTTGTAGTAGATGAATATCTCGATTTTCTCTCCAGGTAAAGACGCAAATAAGTTTACGACAAAGTTTGGTTTATGGCATTTGAAAGCATATGGATTGCACTAAAATTTGTTCGTGTTTGGTGAGTGAATACTACTCCAATGTTTGAACACTGACTTAAATTATTTTTATTTCCAGTGTTAGAATTAATTCATTGTCTAAAATTGTTTACAAAAAGAGTTCACGTGCAAGTTTGTTCGGTTGTTAAAATTACAGAATCCATTATAAAACATATCGTTGACTATTTCCAAATGCCTTTTTTGAAGTTCTCTGCGAAGTACTTTAATCTTAAATCAAGCATAAATGCGATTACCTAACTTGAATCGATCCGAATCGACCTCAGAATCAGACATTTGATCTATACTCATAATAAATTACTTTTAATCTTAAATCAGGCTCAGAAGCGGCTCCGTAAGTTAACCTATCATTAAGAAGTGCAATCTTAACACAAGCTCAATGTAAACAACTATCTAACTATGCTCTGCTTAGCTTAATTCAAATTTCCATTCCGGAGATTAAACTTTTGGTGTCCAACCATCAAGATACTTCTTTAATTTCATACAGTGTAGTTTATTCATACCAAAATCTGCCATGAGTATATCGTCATCCAAGCACAGCAGCATTTCACCATCAATCATCTCTGATTGAAATTTAACGATGTACCTATCCATTCCAAGCTCTTTCAAAATTTCACTCACTTGTTTTACTGTGTACGCAGACACATTCGAGCGTTTTGAAGTCTTTTCATCTTCCTTAGGATCATCGGTTGTTGGCAAGGCTACACTTTCATTTTGAGATTTAGCACTGCCCTGATTGTCTTTTGGATCTGGATCTCTTTTAGGCTTTGGAGAATCTGAAAAAATGTACTTTTTAGTAGTGTTAGTGTTAATAGGTTTCAAAGGTTGACTATTACAAACTATAAATTGCAACATGATATTTCTATATATGACATTATATTGCAACAATCCTTGGATGGATGTGTTAATTTATATATAAGGCTTTGTGGATTTGGATTCAGAGTACGACTACGACAGCGAGTACGAAGTTTGACCGTGAAAGAGAATGGCACGAGGAGGTTTGTTGTCGTTGTCGCTTCGTCAAAATTTAGTTTTAGTTGTATAAACAACAGAACGAGCCTTTTTGTTGTGTAAAACACAGATGTTTGCGAAGCAGCTACGGCTCTATTTGTCAATAATGATATCAACAAATCGGTAATACTGATTTTGCAAGAATATAGGACTCTTTACACTGAAAAATCTTCACTATTTTAAGTTTTATGTACGATATATTTGTACTATTTTATTTTTTTTACCTTTCACTTTGCGTACAAAATACATGAAAGTTTTGCAGGTCATATTTTCCTTTTTAAAGTACATCTGCGCTCAAAAAAGGTTCTAAATTAAAGACTGGATGCTCGAAAATAGTGCTGTAAAACTAATTTCTTACAGAATGAAGAAATATAGCTACTTTCTTTGCTTAAAAAGACATCGTAGTCGCGACTACGAATTTTTTACAAAACATCGTACTCAGATTGATGACGGCTACGTGTTGTTGTTGTCGCAACAATGTTTTCGCGCCAGAATGACGTAAATCGTACTCGTAGTCTTACTCGTAGTCTTTGCTAAAGCTCCCTATTGTTGCGTTGACGGTTCGCAATGGTAGTTGATAGATCGTGATGGTCTTGGAATTAAAATGCTTACCGTTTGTATTCAGATTTAAAGGGGGTGGGGCGTTTTTTGGTTACCACTGACAAAGCATCTTTAATGACAATTTTTCGAAAAGTGATGGGTGTCAAACAGACGCCCACCCAGTCACCCACATGGCAACCACAAGGTGGATAAGCTCCGCCAGATGGTACCCGTATTATTACGATACCATTCATTGTGCTATTTACACACACATTATTTGCTGACAATACAAAACCTGGCAATGAAAATTTTTTACCTTCAAAACTCGTATCTTTCTCAGTTACGGCAGGAGTTGTAGAATTGTCCGTTAGGGATTTTTTAGTTGCGACGGGTGGGCTGGATTTCTCAGGAGGGAATTTTTTAGTAGCATTAACTATTTCCGGTTTTGGTGGAATTTCGTCAACTTGTTTGGTGCATTTTTCTGTTGTTTCTTTATGTTCGTCATTCGCTGAGGTTTTCGCGTTATCTGTCACTGCAACCTGACTCGCTTGGTCGACCGGTGCTATTTTTGTTGAAGATTGTACTACCTCATCGTAGAGGTTATTAGTGACCTCTGAGCTTGAATGAATTCCATGGGTTTGAGGATAGGATGGTATATCAACCAAATCCTTGTATAAGAATTCCCTGACGGAATTCCTTGGTTGAAAAGCACTCATGGCATCGATTAGTGCCAGGCTCTTTAGATCCATTCCATTATCCATCATTTGACACAACTCGGCGTACGCAACACTGTTTTGCAACATTCCTTCACAAACGGACAGTCTTATGTCAAGCTGCCTTGGAAATGTCACAACTGTCCTTTCGCCATCTTGGCTAATGGTGGAAGCAATGATAAGATTCTCCGCGAAGGAACTTTCAATGTAAATAGCACCGAGGTTTGAGTTGAAAAAGTTGGCATTTGATGAAGCGTTTCGTTTCTCCATAGTCGGCGGATCTATAAACTGTATGTAGAATGGCATCTCTAACTTTTTCACGATTTCTGCCAGGAAGTATTCCTTGCCATCAAGAAGGGGTTGAAAGCCGGCAACGCAGTCTTTCGGTAGCTCAACGACTTGTCCATTTTGGTTTACGCATATCAATCTCTCCTGGCCTTTCTTGCTCTTATCAATACGTTTCAGCTCCAACTTGTCGCCAACATTGAGAACTTCTTCATCCGTTGACATGTTGTAATAACCTGCGATAGTATGAAAAATTTTAAGAATATATGAATTATATAAAATTCTCAACTGAAATTCTTAAAGTGCCCGATATCATGTTTTGCATTTGTGTCATCTATATAGTTCAGGAACTTGGAAAATTTTTGCAAAATATTTTATAGTTAGTAGCTAAGTATGATTTTCCTCGATTTTTTTGCATTCAAAGTTGAAAAATTGACCATTTTCATTGTTTAACCGTCACTATAAAAAAGATGGTTATCATAATGTTATTTTTGACGTTACATCGGGAACTCGTCTGTTGTATTTTGTTTAAATTGAATGTTTTTAAACATCCGCGACACAAGAGGGCACACGCTTGTGCTATGCGACAAAACAGCTATGGTTTTATGGAAATTAATTAAGTGTGAAATACAGTGTTTGCTCGAAGCTTGTTCCCGATATGGCGTCAGATCTGAGCCATCGCCCTAGTTTTTTATAAGTCACGTTCAAGCAAGTAATCACCGCTTCACAAAATGGACGAAGTCTAAATTTTGGAATCATAAAATGTACTGCCGATATGTTTAAAATCCCTCTACACGATCTAAACACTCCAATTGCAAAAATTGATAAAAAGAAACTTTAAAAAGCTAGTATATTTTGGAGATGAGCTTCTTTCCAACCCACCCCACTTCCACACATCCGACCTGCCCTCGCCCCCCAATGATTCCACCTTGATACTCAAAACATAACTGACATCTTGCTTTCAGAAGTTATTCGAACAATGATAAGGGTGCAGTATATTTTATGGCTTAACATAATGCAATTGCAGGTGCTCATTATGTACATTTGTGGGTTTATGCGAATTAGGGATTGCGAAAACTGATTTCAGATTCTGCGATTGGTGCAATGTTAAATTAATCTGGTTGGAATTCGGCGATGACGGAAGATATTGAATTGTTCTATTAAATTGTTGTAATATCTACGTATGGAGACTATGGTGTAAGTTCAAGCGTAGTTCCGGCGATTTTAAAGAGTCTTTTTAAAGACTGTGGTATGTTTACATAGTTTGCGTGCCAGCACTCTGGCGAAAATTATTAACTTATAAGTTATAACGGAAATTGAGCCGTATTTATTTTATTCTTTCATTTTAGCGTTTTCGATTCACGAACCGAGCAGTAACTATTCCAGAATTTGAAATTTAAAATTGACTTTAGAAAAAGTTGAATATAGCGCAATGCACTTCTAAGTGCTGTAAGTAAATATCTCAACACATAATGTACATACAAATACCAAGGATATTGTCTTTTAAGAGCGATCGAATATAAAATACCTTACATTGCTAGACAATACACTACGTTTAATGGAAATTGCCTCTCTAGTGAAAAATCTCGGGAATTATTTGATAGTTATGAGAATACTGTACCCTGCGAGATGCGAACAAAACGAGGAAAAGCTGTGCACAGTTCTTCGACATTATCGTAAACATCTTTCATGTTCGATGGTCTGACTTCCACCTTGTTTTGACAGTGTAAGGGAATATTGATCTCTTTCCCACGATAATCCTTTCCCAGCAATTTATCTGTGGACTTCATGCAGTGTAAAGATAATATTTGGTCTGCTCCCAGACTAGTTTCCTCATTCTCTCCGTAGAAACCTTCGATCACCTTTACGACTTGTGGCAACGTGAACTTTTGTAGGAAATCAGAAATCTTAAAGGATTTCGGACTCCATTCCAGTTTATTCAAGTGAAGTTGTTTCAAATTCTTCAGGCTATCCATGAGTTAACTTTCTTCCTTAAATCGACGTTCGCCTTGAGACTGTAAAGATGTGAAAGTTCTCAGATGCATGCGGTTCCGGTTTCGTGAGCTTCCAACCAGGGTATCGATTACAATGAAAAGCACTTTCGTATGCATTTTTATATTCAAACAATAGTTTTGATCATGATGGCACAAATTAAACATCTTTTGACAATCAAGCTTTGATTTTTCGCTTTTTCTGTTATCATGCTTGATCTAATGTTAAAACTCGACTCCTTATATACTCCAGTCTACTGCTTTGTCAGGAGTGATCTGATGTTGAAACTCGAGTCCTTATTATATACGCCAGCCTAGTTGATGTTCAAACTTGAGTTCAAACTACAGTCTTGTGTTTTCATCAGGAGTGATTTAAGGTTAAAACTTAAGTACTTGTAAACTCCAGTGTCTTCATCAGAAGTGATCTGATGTTGAAATTCGAGTTCTTATTTACTCCAGTCTAGTATCTCCATTAGGAGTGATCTGATGTTAAACCTTGAGTTCTTATTTACTACAGTTTAATATCTTCATGTGGAGTGATCTGATATTGAAACTTGAGCTCTAAAATAAATACTCCAGTCTAGTTTCTTCGACTCTATCAGGCATGATTTCATTTACAATCCATATGTACTCCAGATGGATGGAAATCAGTATCATTTGTAAACAATTCATAATGAAGAGATGAGAATGTTATCGAAAAACCTGGTTTTTCTCCGGCAAATATGCCCACGTTTAACTTTGACAAAATTTATCCATGCAAATGGTTTTGGTAGGTTTTAAAAACTGTCAATTTTCAAGTTGTTTTAATTGAAAGCAAGCTCTTTCGTCAAGAAATTGAGTCGCGCTACCGCCACTCGACAGGAAAGATGCACAGCTGCAATGACTTTTCCAAGAGGCGGCACAGATTGTATTTATGACTGAAGATATAAACGTATAAGTCAAAGTCTTGTGTAACAGTATTTTTGAATAAAGCTATTGCGAATTTATTTACGCTATAAACGTATTTTTCATTCGTCCTTAGAAAATACAAAACATCAGAGCACTGTCGATGATGATGAAGTTACAATGTTCAACGAGCTTAGCAAGGAATTCTGGGATATCAACGGTCCATTTCAAGCTTTGCATACAATGAACAGAGTAAGAGTGCCTATCATTCGTGATGCAGTTGTTCAACAAAAAAACCTGGGCTCAAAACCACTAGAAAGCAAAACAATTTTAGATATTGGTTGTGGAGGTGGAATTCTGTCTGAGGTATGTTAGAAAGACTGAGTGATGGTAAAGATTGGTAAAATCCGGGGAGGGTATAATCTTCTTAGCATTTGTTGGAAGTGCAGGAGGGGTGCCAAATCACCTGCTAAATACAACTATACCAAACAATTAAGAAAAGCAATCATGATTTGTGTTTAATGGAGCATAATTCCAAATAAAATGTCTCTCATTCTGGATGTAAATGCAACCAAATTTTTGCAAAAGATATGTACATGGTGATATGCACCTAGTGGCTGCAAAATTCTAGTACAAAATAGATTGTCCCCCTTTTGATACATCCCTTGGTGAAATGGTTTAAAGAGTTCTCAATTAACTTCTTTTTATATCAGCCACTTGCACGTCTTGGTGCCAAGGTGACAGGAATAGATGCATCAGAAGAAGTGATAAAAAGTTGCTAGAAATCATGCAAAACATGATCCTGAAGTGAAAGAAAATGTGAATTATGAGTGTACGAGTGTGGAAGATCTTGTTGATCAATCTTTTGATGTTGTTGTGGCTTCAGAAGTGATTGAACATGTTGCAGATCAGGTGATGTTCGTCAAGAAGTGTTCTCAGTTGACCAAGGTGATGATAAACTACATGTTTACAACAGTGGGACTGTCCTTGATTTGGGGGGGGGGTTATACTCATGTGCATATTATAATCCCTAAAAAGGAACTTAACTTAGCAAAACATGCATATGTGGAATTAGCTACCAATTATAAAGCTGGCAACACCACTGGCTTATATGACATTAACTTGAACAAAAACAGAAAGAAAGTTACAAACAGCTCCTATATTTGCCTTGTGTCTTTTACTAGCTTGGTGGTGCTTTGATTATAACAACAATCAACAGAACTCCGCTGTCGTATTTACTGGCCATTTTTGGTGCAGAGTATGTCCTCAATATTGTAGAACCTGGAACTCATGATTGGAAGAAGTTTATTGCAGATGATGAACTTGCATCTTTAGTAATACAAAGTGAGTGTCTGTTTTTGACTGTTGTGATCTCTTCTTGTCTTTACCCAATCTTGTTCACTCTCTTTCTTTTTGTCTTTTCCCAATTTCTGACCAGTCTCTACTTGTCTTCACCTAATCTTGTAACCAGTCCCTCCTTATTTTAACCTAAACTCATACGGAGTCTCTCCTTATCTTTACCCAATTTCATACCCAGTCTCTCCTTATATTTACCCAATACCATACCCAGTCTCTCCTTATCTTTACCCATTCTCATACCCAGTCTCTCCTTATCTTTAACCATTCTCATACCCAGTCTCTCAATTTATTTACCCATTCTCATACCCAGTCTTGCCTTATCTTTACCCCATCTCTTACACAGTCTCTCTTTATGTTAAGAACAGAATAGAGTAGAACTGTAGAATAAAGTAAAACATGAAATAATGTCTTGTGTTACAAATATTCACGTGTTATCAAAACAAAATATCATGTTTTTGTGGGAGCATACCATTTGTCTCATTCCCAAGCTGTATTTTGTATGACAACTGACTTCATTTAGGCCACTTCACTTTGCCCACCATTATCATGGGATTGGACTTCTCCTCAAATGCTCCAAATTCCAAAAATTTGTATGATTAATAATGATGTTAACAGGTACTTTAATGATGTCAACAGGTACTTTAATGAGGACATTTTGTGCCAGCTTGATGTTTCCTCTGTTGTCAAACTAATTTCTTTTTACACAATTTTTTATATTTTTTCTAGCAGCATACTAATGTGAATAGTTTCATCAATGAATCAGAACAAAAAGTCATGAATTAATTGAAATAATTGTCATCTTCTAGGTGGTTATACTGTTTCTGCAATGCAAGGACTTTGTTACAACCCTTTTACAAGAACATGGTCTAAAAACAGAGACACAAGTATAAATTATGCATTGATTGCTTATAAAGAATCCTGAAAGATATGTTTAATCATCAGTGATTGGTGAGTTGAACATGTTACTAAATTATTTAGTTTTGTAAACTGTTTATATAAGATCATGCTACAGCATTCCGTCATTATGGCTTGCCTTAAAGTTCTTTACTATCAATTTATTAAACATAAAGTCTTTTTTATCTTTTGTCATGCTTTGCTCTCGTCTGCTATCTCTAATTTAAGAAATAAAAGGTGTTTACTGTGTTTGCACAGGCTTATGCAAACCAAGGAGGGAGAACTCGAAAGCAGATCAGTGCAAGCTCCAGACTGAAGGTCGAGGTTTTGCACCTGCTCGAGAGTGTCGACCTGCTCGGGAGTTTCGACCTGCGCGAGAGTTTCGACCTGCTCGAGAGTTTCGACCTGCGCGAGAGTTTCGACCTGCGCGAGAGTTTCGACCTGCTCGAGAGTTTCGACCTGCGCAAGAGTTTTGACCTGCGCGAGAGTTTCGACCTGCGAGAGAGTTTCGACCTGCGCGAGAGTTTTGACCTGCTCGAGAGTTTTGACCTGCGCGAGTTTCGACCTGCTCGAGAGTTTTGATCTGCTCGAGAGTTTCGACCTGCGCAAGAGTTTCGACCTGCTCGAGAGTTTTGACCTGCTCGAGAGTTCTCACAAACGCCTTTTTCCGGCATGACGATATCATATCGTTATGTGGACGATCAACATTACAAACATGTAGTGCAGACCTCTCAAGTTTCCCTGTTTTACCGGGAGACTCTCTGTTTTCAATAAGGTCTCCCCGTCGTGGACCATGTTATTCTCCTTATGAAGAATGAATAAACAGCTCAATGTAATCATTGTTAAACTTTTGGCGAGCTAAAGTAGTGTATGACCATCGTACATCTTAGTTAAGTCTTTTAAAAAAGACAAAAATTCGGATCCTGAACGAGGTTACTCAGATTAAAATCCCGAATTCCATAAATGATAGCAGACGTTAATTTCACAACGCAGAATGGCGTAAAAACGAAGCCGACGATGACCGCAAAAACAAAATACTTCCAGCTTTCATTAAGTCTTTTTGCCATGAATATCCAGTGGTTTTCAAAACTCCAGATTTTTTTATGTTTCTTTGTAAAAAAATCCCAAGGTTTTTTGTTCCTGCTGGTTGAGAGGTCTGTAGTCATACTACCGTGCTCGAACCATTATCCTTAGTATGTAATATTATCTATCAAGTATTTCATTCATCATTAATAATTATAAAATAAACACAATGAAACGCGTGCGCTGATTTGTCTAGAGCCGTGTTTGCATTAGCCTGTGCAAAACACATCTGAGCACAACCAACCAAATCAATCAAAACAATAATCAGTCAAAGAGAATATGCAAATCGATCATGAATACATTTTAGAGGAAAAATTAAAATGTTTGGTTTTTTTGGCATTATTGTTATTTTATAAAAGAAATAAAAGACTTTTTTTTTGTGTTTGCACTGGCTTATGCAAACCTCGGAGACGTTTGTGAGAACTCTCGAGCTTGTGCAACCCGATACCGAAGGTCTCGGGCTTGCACTGATCCGCTCCCGAGTTCTCCCAAAGGTCTACTTGGTTTGCTTAAGACTGTGTAAACACAGTAAAGATCTTTTATTTCTTAAGTGAAATGTTATCGATTAAAGACACCGCCCCGCCGGCATTGTCTTACAATGTATGACAACGAATGTTGTAATGTTCGTTGTACTTGCATTTAGGATTGGTTGGCCAATTTACAGTCAGTCTTTTTTGAATCAAAACAAATTTTGGAACGCTTTTCCGACATCAGATGAAAAGCTACGAATTTAAGGCAGTTTTTACAAGTAACAGGCTTTTTTGTTGACGCATATTTTTTGAACCTAGCGTTATACTTTTCCTTTTTGACTTTAAACTTTTTATTTTTGAGTTCCAAATTTTAATTTTTCTTAGTAAAAATATTTATAATTTTTTTCTTCGGAAAGCTTAAACTATTTTTGGTGAGATTAGACCGTGATGCCTAGCGAGTGACGATAGGTCAGTGAATGCTGCAGGTGGCAACTTTTTCGCGGGTTACAATTGACCTAAAACTTGAACTTGGCTCGTTCTGGGTGGTGATATTGGTCTTTGTTTCAAAGTGTCATATAATCATATGTTGAGTGGTTAAAATGGTACTTAAGCATGTTTTTGTCAGACGATACTCTATCAGGGTTCTGAGTTGTCTGTCAGTATCACATTTCTGAGGTAAAAATTACAAATTTCTTAATACTAAATGCATTAAGGTAGCTACCTCGAACCAGAATCTAATACTCCATCAAACAAAGAACTTTTTTCTTCTTTCTATCGTATGTCTGTGTACAGATAGGTTTTGCGATCGACGTGTCTGATTTTTAGGTCTTCGTCCATCTGACTTTACTTTTGAACTGCCAGCAAAATTTTATTCGAGATTTTTTCTTTTAAAATATGAACATCAAGCGAAAGCACAAATTTGCATATAAGCATTACAGAATTGCATGAATAATTATACATCTCACATGTCATATGTGGATATTGGCGCTTGTCATCTTTGTATCTATACTTGTTGTTTTGCTCAACAATAAATCATTATTACATTTACAATCCAAATGTTATTGCAAATAATTTAACACTTTTTTGTGCAAGCTACATGTGAATGTACCAATATGTGAAAACTGTGGCGTACAAGTGGGGATCATTACGTCATGCAGTTGCCATGATGAACGTGTTAAGTGCGTACTAAACTCGTGCCATTTCTAACCTTGTATGGCATAATTACTTTACTCGTTACACGTTCAGCCAATTTATCCACGAGACGGAAGTTAATATTATTGAATTTTGTTAATGCAACTGCAACGCCGCTCTTCTGATTTTGTTGTTGAAGTAGGAACATTGAAGTGCAAACCATGACTGTGGAACTGGTTTGGAGTGAGTTAGACATGCCTTTGTCATCGTTCGTCGAAAGATTTCCTCTTCCTCAAATTGTGCAGGTATGATATCGTTATTTATGTAGGAAATACACATGTTTTTAACACTATAATCAAAATTAGTCGCAGAGGCATGTGAGTAATACATTATAGAGACAAGCTTAAATTTTCTGCTTTATTGTTCGGTTCTTCCTGTAATTATACAGTCTTAACTGGCTAACTTTCGTTTCTTATTGACGAACGTAGAGGCCATGATGTCTATAAAATGCCACATTGTAATCACATTTCTCAATAAAAAACAATCACAAATAGCTTCGCATCGTGTACATATATAATAATCTCATAACATGCGCCAAACGAGATCTAGAAATTTTGGAAGTTTTCCTGAAATATTGAGACCACGCGATGACAATATCAAGTTTCAACATCTGTCAGTTTATGGATTTTAATTTAATTCTCGCGTCGAAAAGGGCCATTTTCATGGTTAGCCTTCGATTGGTATATTTGAGATTACGAGCTACTTAGAAACTTACAGAAGTAAAGAATTGACGCAAGAAAAGCATTTGACCGTGTCTTGTGATCACTGTTTGTGTAAACTTACGTTGCCCTCCTTGTACTCAAGCAAATTATACTTTTACAAAAATGCAGACCGTATTATTATTTTGAATTGGGTCTCAAGTCGAGTGTACATGCGAGCGGAAAACATTCCCCTCCCCCTCACTCAACATTGAACTTTGTCTTAGAAAATTCTTTTTAGCTTCATATGCAACACACTTGCAACGAAAATGTTGAATCACACGAGTTTTAGGTTGTTGCGTTTTGGTCTTTCTGTTTCCAGTGTTTTTGCAAATATAAATGAAAACATGAAGAATTTAAGAAGCTTTTATTTCTACATGTCGTTAACTATTTTAGCGTTTCCGTAATAACGACGGAAACACGTTTTTAGATAGTAATCTATACTTCAGGCATTTGTAATTTGTTTGCATGGTTTCTGTTAATCGTTCTATTAAAGTGTTAGTTTATCATGTAGTGTGTTAAATTTTTACTGCGTACCATGCAAGTCACACTATATTAAGTATCTCAGAGGTGCCCTCGAACACAAAGGTCTTTCGTAAACAGAAAGATGATACCATGTTTCGTTTACTTTCAAGAAAATATTTGAACAAGATGAATAAATAATGCCCTGTTTAACTTGTCATTGACGTTGACTTACACCGGCATTTTAAGTCTATTTTGTGCGCAAACTTTAATTTGGCAAGTCACTGCATGTTGATACATCGGAAGTCGAATGAAAATCATTTTAGTCACATGTATATTATTCTTGGCACCAATACCTTTCATTTATTGCATTTCTGCAATATAATGAATTCGTCTTTCGAGTACTCAAGCATTCCGTCTGAGACATTTCTCATTTGAATACACTGCAATAATTTTATAGTTAACAATATACATATTTGATACTGGTTTTACTCGTGTAAAATGGAACGGTTAAGTTTCGATACGTCATATCATTAACACTACAGCAATTGTCTATGTTACAATAAGATATTTGAAGATGGTTTTGTTCTGATAAAATGGTACACTTAACTTAATTACGATGTATTAACACTACAGAAAATGTATAGTTGACAATATAGACATTCGAGGATGGTTTTGCTTGTATTAAATGAAGCATCTAATTTTAAATGCCTGAAAGAAGTTTCCTTTCTATGGTTTTCGAAATAATACCAGGCTGCGTCTCTTTCCATTAAGCTGTTTGTCTTGCTCATTCAACCATTGAATATAATGTCCTTACCCGCCGCCAAATTTTTTTTCTGCTCAGGTAGCGGACGGTTACTATGGAGAAGATGACGAAACGACTCTATCAAGTGGCGAGGAGCTTAATCTACATTTGCTAAAGGATATGCAATGTTACCGTGGCGTCACAAGTACTGGCGATGACATCCTTATACCACTCAATTTTCCTCATAAGGTCAATGTATACCACGAGAAACCCTTTGATTGTAATATCAAGCCTGAAGCTCTGAGCCAGGTGTTTCCAAAGAAGTATATAAAAGTTCGCCTTTGTGACGTACTTTGTTCGAGCGCCACACCGGACGAGGTGTTAGATGTGTTATTTTTCGAGTCGAGTTCAGAACAGTTGATATGCCTTGATAGTCAAGGATGCGAGGTGACTTTGAGCCTATCTCAGTTGGCCGATGTCATGATCACTGAGGTTCACAAGGATCTATTTTTGGCAGAAGTACCCGAAACTGTAGGATTACCATTTCAGGTGGAATTCAAACCCTCCGAAGTGCATTCGTCGTCGCCTCTTGTTCGAGGAATGATTACTTTGCAAGAAGCGATTTCTAAGAAAACAATATTAGCCACGTCCAGGGATAAGAAAGACGCTCCATTGTTGACGTTTCCTTCCACTCTGGATGTCACCGTGTTCGCTCCAATACAGGCCATTGAGGAGAATGAGCTATATAGGAGCTTGTGTAATCGTTTGAGTAGGGCGATAAACGCGGATATGGTTATGGCGGATTTCGAAAAGATGGAAGAGGTTTGTGCTAATTGTGAAGTATGTTTTTGACCTGAACTTTTGATGTTTTTCACAGTACTTTCTGTGGTGAATAACATTGAAGAAATTTAGTAATTGAAAATTCTGTATTAATTGAACAGTCTTTATATACTCCAGTCTAGTATCTTCATCAGGAGTGATCTGAATTTGAAACTTGAGTTCTTATATACTTCAGTCTAGTGTCTTCATCAGGAGTGATCTGATGTTGAAACTTGAGTCCTTGTATACTACAGTCTAGTGCCTTCATCAGGAGTGATCTGATGTTGAAACTTGAGTTCTTATATACTCCAGTCTAGTGCCTTCATCAGGAGTGATCTGATGTTAAAACTTGAGTTCTTATATACTCAAGTCTAGTGTCTTCATCAGGAGTGATGTTTTGGTTTTGCTTGAAAAAATTTGCTTTATCAAGACTGTCAGGATTTCATTCTAGACACAAGGTTTTCAATTGTCGTTTTAGATTTACGATGATGTAAAAGCCAACGTAATAAACGTTGTACCATATGCGAAGCTTGTTTTTGGCCACCCCAAAGTTGAAGCCACCATCAGCTCAACCAGTCAACTAGATCCAGAAACCGCTGACTTAGATTTAGATTCTGATGGTTATGTTGACATGGATGACCTTCAAATGGTTGGATTTCCTGTACAATCTGAACATTCGTGCCCCGTGACGCCTTCCTCGATAAAGTCTCCTTCCCCAAATACACCGCCATCATCTCCCACGGCAATGACCAATCATAACAATGGATTGATAAGGAAGCTGACGAAGCGTATAACGAAGGCCATGACTCCAGGTATGTTTGCCACTGATCTTCATGTATAAATTGACCAACATTGTTAATACAAGCTTAGGGGCTGTTCACATGAGCCAGGTATACGGGATTCAACAAAGTGTTAAATAATTTTGGTAAATGGAAAAGATTAAATACTTCACAGCAAAAAATATTTTGAGCAATTTCTCTATGCTTTGAATTTGCAAATTCATGAAACCTGTAAAATGAAAACAAATAATTTAGCTTGATTTGAAATTTACGACTACAATGACTTATGACGCTTAAGAAAGGGTTGTAAGTTTTGCACGTAAAGTTTTTACTCCTTTCAATTACTCAAAATCATTTTACGCCTCGTTGAATCCCGGTTACCGGGCTCATGTGAAAAGCCCCTAATTAACGTAAGTCGTTGTCTGTACTCAGTGCTGTATGTAAGGCATTTTGCCGAGTTCCGGCTATGTAGCTGGTTTAGTCTTGTTTTTCTACAGCTTGTTTGTCTTCAGTGAGTGGTATTTTTAAGTTCCCGTCAGCTTCAATATTGTATAAATGCCCTTGCAGTCGGATCAGTTTATTTTGTGAATTGCACTTTGTCCATTGGTCCTATGTCTGGTTGTTTCTTGTCCTTGATGTTCTTCATTGTATGTTACACTTTGGCCATTGGTCCTATGTCTAGTTGTTTCTTGTCCTTGATGTTCCTCATTGTATGTTACACTTTGTCCATTGGTCCTATGTCTGGTTATTTGCTGTCCTTGATGTTCCTCATTGTATGTTACACTTTGTCCATTGGTCCTATGTCTGGTTATTTGCTGTCCTTGATGTTCCTCATTGTATGTTACACTTTGTCCATTGGTCCTATTTCTGGTTGTTTCTTGTCCTTGATGTTCGTCATTGTATGTTACACTTTGTCCATTGGTCCTGTGTCTGGTTGTTTCTTGTCCTTGATGTTCTTCATTGCATGTTATAACGTTTTATTTCAAATTTCCTAAACAAAGCGTTAAGTATCTTAACATAATTGTAGAAATTGATCCTCCGGGTTAGAAATTCTGAACATTGTGTAGAACTCCGTTCATTTAAACAGACAATCCTAAGTCTGCGTTCTAGTTTTTCTACATAGTTAAGTTAATATACACATTGCTTGCTTTATTTAAACCGACAATCCAAAGTCTGTGTTCTAGTTTTTTTCTACATAGTTCAGTTTCTATACAAATTGCTCGCTTTGTTTAAACCGACAATCCAAAGTCTGCGTTCTAGATTTTTCTACATAGCTTAGTTTCTATACACATTGCTCGCTTCATTTCAACCGACAATCCTAAGTCTGCGTTCTACTTTTTGTCAACATTTTGATATTTTTTCATTTCACAGGCTCAAATCCAACACGGATATTTAAAGGGTCGGAATATTTAAACAAAATACGTTCGAACGTAAGTATTTTCAATTCGTACTCATTAGTTATAGTATATTCCAAGTTTCCAACTTGTGTTAAATTTTATTTGATCCAGTTATTACGCATTTCACTTGCGTTTTCTATACCTCTGTATTTCCTCGCGAGTTTCTCATTACAAAAAGTTTAAAAACAGTCATGATGAAATGGTGACTTTTTTTAAAAATCAAAAGGTGACATTGAAACGATACAATGGTGTCATCACTGGCCATTTAAGACGGTGCGCAACATTCGAGCTTTTAGGAAACGCGTCTTTTTTTTTAATTTCAATTTCGCTATTATAGTCTACGTTGTTGTAAAGACATTTCGTAGTAGTTCAGGTCAATATCATAATAAAAGCGATAGGCTAGTTACAATGAGATTACGTAGTAATCCAGGTCAATATCTTAGAAAGGGGTGCTTGGACTTAGAACAAGGAGCATACATCGCATGCTGCTCATACTGGCTTATCACCAAGTTTTTTTGTCCACAAGTTGAATTGGAGAGCAGAGAGTTTGTTTGCTCATCCACTGAATTAAACTCAGTTTGATATGTTGCAGACACTTGGGTTTGCACTTTTGATAATCTGTGTCACTTTACGAATCTTAACTCCTAGGTAAATTGTGAATAGAGCTTAACCAGCGTCACGGCAGGCGAAGGATAGGTATTGAAAGTGAAAGTTGATATTAAATACCTTTTCTAATGCATGTGAAGTCATATTTTTAAATTCCCTTGCAATCTGATTGGCTGCAGCAGCGAACAGCTTCTTACGACATCTCGACTGTGGTCCAAAAGTTATATTTTTTGCAATGTATATTTGTTTACAAAGTGAAACTTGAATTTTTAAAATTAATTTGAAAGCGATGTAAATTGCTCAAGATAAAGCGAAGTGTATTCAGATGGTAGTTATCACAGCGAGAGTGAATTTTACTATCCAGACGAGGTGAAATAGATAGAAAACAATGCAATTTTAGTCTCAACATCAAGCCTTATCGGCCAATTTACAACGCAAATTTCTTCATTATAAAAACAAAAAAATGAATAGGGTTTAAGACGTTTCGAAACTATTTTCCGTACGGATCTCTCTTCTGTTAAATAACTTAATATTTCATTTTGCTTGTTTGCTTTTTCTATGAAACTCATTAATTGTATAAGGGTTTTGCTTTTTTTTTGTCGTCTACACGTCAGACAGAGCCCACGGTATTATTTTTATTTGAGTTTAGTGTTTTTACTCATGCAAATTTTAGGAAGATGTTCACGTTAGATCCCCAAAACATCGTACGGTCGACTCTGATGGATACGAAATACCGAAGGAACAAAGGAGAACAGAGTTACTTTTTAAAAAAATGGAAGATTTTACAGTGAGCGATGTCTGCAATCTTCTAAAAGATTTGAATCTCTCGCAATACTGCGAACTCTTTAAAAAAGAACTGGTCGACGGAAGCATCCTCGGAGAAATGGACAATGAAATGTTAAAATCACACTTTCAAATGAGCACTTTTCATGTACACAAATTAAAGAAGGCTGTGAACGAGAATTGGAGACCTTCCGTTGATGAATAAAGGAGGTGTGAGGGTGGAAAGAGCGATATAATGTGTTTGCGGGTTGTTTTTGCCCGCGTCTCCGAGATATGTTTTTTCCTGGGATTTCCCATTTCTAAAATGATCTCAATTTGGAGCATTTACTAATTCAATTCAAATTTACTGCTATGTCTTCAGCTTTCTCGATCTTTGTATGTACTGTGTTTACGATACTATATAGCTAGTTGGGAGTCAATTTTGTAACGCATAAGCTATATATGTTGATATATACTTAAGAATGTCGTTTCATTTTTGTAAAATATAGATTTGGTTTTGTTCAGAGACTTAAATACTGCTTTGAAGAGCGTATTTTCCACGGTAAATGACAACATGTCAGTTCCATAAAGAACTGTTAGAAATCAAAACAAAGATAAATTAAATAACGCGATGAGTTTCGGCAGACTTCCCATCAGGTGCCTCGCCAGCTTTACTGAATTGTGAAAACCATCTTGATGTATAAAAGAAAGAATGGCTTTGCCCCCAAACGGAGAGGTGACATTCTCAAATGGAATAAGATAAAGACGCAATCCTTTTGAATGAAGACCAAGGGACTTGTGAATTCAATGACACTGCATGCTTTTGTAACGATAAAAATTATTATTTTCAATCAGTTTTTCTTCTTTTTCGAGCAAACATTACAAAAATCCTCCGAAATCTCTTTATTGTCAAACAAATAACTTTTAATTTCGTCAATTTTTAAACCATTTAAAATTTCCTTGCTCTTGGTGCCTGTTGAATAATTTAAAAATTTTGTTGAAGTAATAAAAGATGTTTGCTGTGTTTCCACAGGCTTCTGCAAACCGGAGACCTTTGAGAGAACTCGAAAGCAGATCAGTGCAAGCCCGAGACCGAAGGTCGAGGGTTGCACAAGCTTGAGAGTTCTCACAAACGTCTCCGAGGTTTGCATAAGCCAGTGCTAAAAAACATCTTTTATTTCTTTTATAAAATAACAATAATGCGAAACAGACAAATATTTTAATTTTTCCTCTAAAATGTATTCATGATCGATTTGCAAATTCTTCTTGACTGATTGATTGTTATGATTGACTTGATTGGTTGAGCTCGGATGTGTTTTGCACAGGTTAATGCAAACACAGCTCTAAACCAATCAGCGCACGCGTTTCATTGTGATTATTTTATAAACACCTATCATAAACGTTCAAGTAAGAAGCTAAGTTTGTGGATGTCCTTACTGTAATGTTATTACATCCAGACATCATCCACGGCTGTAACTCTGCGATTGGGAAACATCTTTCGACTAATACTCATTGTGCTAGCTTTTACTCAGATTATTATTTAAAAATTGTAAATAAATGTCATCCATTAAGGGCCTGTTCATATGGGGTGGGATAGCCCACCTAGCCGGGATAATGACGATGCAGCGAGATCCGACCTTGTAGAGTATTTTATAGGTTTTGCATCTTGTGTTCATATGGAAAGTGAGCCAGCCCGGTTAGGTGAGATCTCGGTATGAGCAAGCCGGGATCTCTGTCAATGGGATGAAAATATTCAATCTCAACACAAATTAGTCAGCGTAGCCCAGTGAGCCTGTATAAAAACAACACTTTGGAACACACGTGACACGAGCACGAGTCCCATAAACAAAAATGGCGGAAAATAGTGAGCTTGCTGTCAGTAAACAGACGAAGAAAAGAGCATTTCGTTGGAATTCTGAAATGATTCACAACTTGATAACATGCTTAACTGCTTACAAATCGCGAATGGAATATCAAGCGATTGATTTTGACGCGGACAGACCGGCTCAATATAAAGAATTAAGGAAAGAAATGGCTAAATTGTACGAGGTCGAAGACATTTCGTTGTTTGGTCCAGTGTCGTTAACCTCTCCAATTAATCCATCTGAACACAATGAAAAGAATAGAAAGGAGTTTTTAGCGATGCAAAAGAAAGAGAATTCTAAAATACAAAAGGCTCATCGAAGGACCCAAGAGAAAGTTAAAGAAATTTGACAAAACTTCGCAAAAGCTGTAACTGCTGGCACGAAGAATGGAAGCGGAAAAATTGTATTTGAGTTTTACGATAAATTGGTTCGTATTTGGGGAGGATATCCCTCCACAGAACCTCTTCCTTTTGGTATCGATGCCGAAAGTTTTGTTGACGAGGAAACATCAGAAAATGTAACCTTGTCAGAACCATTAAAGAATTTAACCAGTCCATCTACCCAAGATATTTGCTTAGAAAATGAAAATAACGGAGACAAAGAACCCCTAAATACTTTGAAAAGAAAAGCAGGGACTCATGTTCCAAAATTAATCGACAACAAGCGGAAACATCTTGAAAAGACATTGTCTGCAGCCCAACGTGACAAGATGTTATTAGATGAGGCCAGAGAAAATATGAAATTCCGCAAAGATCTGGCAGCTAGTATGGAGCGTTCCACTGAATCTTTCGCCAATGCTTTGGAAGGAATAAGCTCTATGATGTTGCAACTTGGCAAGAGTATATCTCAGTCAGTTGAAATGTTAGCACAAGCAATGGTACAACAGCAGTATGTGCCACAACAACAGCAATATGTGCCACAACAACAGCCTGGTGGTGTTAATCACAACATATTTTACCAAAACCAAAGTATGTACCAAACAATGAGGATTCCCCAACCTGTATTTCTACCAAACAACAAGACACAAAATGGAGAAGGAAATCCACAAATTCAAATGAACAACAAAGGTTTTAATAATTTATATGCACTTATTTAATATTTTACAGGTCTGGTATTAAACATAAAGTTTTTTTTCTGTTTTTTAAATGTCAGACTTTTGTACCAGGTAGAATGGCATGTATATAATTAGTCAATAAACGTCTGACAATTTCACCTTCTCCATTATTGCAAGAATACACTGGGTCTGGGATATTGATATTTTCTTCTTCATTTCTTTTTGCATGATCAATTTGCATGGTTACTAGGTTCTCATTTATATAAGCTGAGTGTTTCTCACAATAGTTATGCAACACAAAGCAAGCATAAACTAATATTGGTAGCTTTTCTAATTTAAGGTCAACCTTTTTTGTTAAAACTGCCCATCGTGCTTTCAGGCCAAAAGCACATTCAATAGGATTCCTAGCTGATCTTAACAAATTGTTGAAAATGACTTGCTCATTATTTTCACATGAATCATATTCCTTCATACAAAAGGGGCTAGTGGGTAGGCTGGGTCACCAATTAGATAATTCGAACTTTCGTACCCTTGCAAAACTGATTGAAAGACTGCTGGCAATTTTCCTTTTCGTAGTTTGTCGCTTATTGATGAATTGGCAAACACTTGGCATCATGAACACTGCCTGGCCAGCAACATTCAACATCCATGTATGTTCCTCTGTAGTCACATACTGCTTGGACGTTCAAAGAATGAAAACCTTTGTAATTATAAAAGTCTTGTGGATTGTTTGATGGGCAAATGATTGCTATGTGTGTGCCATCAATGCAACCAAATGCTTGTTGCATGCCAAATTTACACTCAAACTCTGCTACTTTCATTCTTATCTCATCTATGTTTTTTGAAAGATATACATAACTAGGGCCTAGCAATGTTACAATAGCTTTGCATGTTTCAAATACCATGTTTGATGTTGTATTTATTCCAATACCAAAAGCATTCGCCGTCATACATAGAGAACCGCTGTCTTTCAAGAAGTATAACGTAACTGCTAATTTCTTTTCGTCGCTTATAGCTCTTGTTTGGACCATTTAGATTTGGAGCGATTGATTGATGCAACACTTCGGTTAGTTCTGTAAAGGCTTCCTTGGACATTCGAAAGTTCTTTTTCCATGTCTCCTGGGGGGCTATACCATATAGCATGTTTTGCCACCATCGATCAGTACGGCCAGCCTTGAACCAGCAGCTTCGCTTGGCACGTCTTATTCTTTCTTTTAATCTCTTCAGTCTCTTAAGGAAATAGCTCTGCCTTTGAAGATTAGCTCGACAAGTTGCTTCATGTTGCCGCTTTTCGTTCAATTTGTGAAGCAAAATCAAACAGCACAATTCAATAAACAAAGCTGTGAGAGATATCAATTGAGTGCAAAGGAAGAGCAATAGCTTGTTTTTGTTCGTCATTTTGAATTATTTGCGCGTTTTAGCGGTTTGGTCCCAGTCTTCAACGAGTGCTTCCTCAGTAAAAAATGGGCTTGTAGGTGGGATTATGAGCGGGCTTGTTAGCGGGATAGTTTTTTGGGATGGTCTCATATGAAACGAATTTAACACTCGACTCAGCAGGCATAGCCATTCCGGCTAGGTGGGCTATCCCACCCCATATGAACAGGCCCTTAGATCGTGGAATCCGTATTAGATAAATTCACTGGTCAAACTTCAAAAGGATCGCGTCTTTACTTATTCCTGTTTTAACGTAACCTCCTCATTTGGAAATGATGTAATTTTTCCTTAAAGTAAATGGTTTGAACCCGGGAGTATCGTTACATGTTTGTAAATGTAGATCGTCCAGGTTAGTATAGTCCTGAGAAGGACTGTTTTTGTTGTTGTTGACTGACGTTTCGACAACTGATGAAATGACTCTGAAGATGACTACCGCTAAGGTTATCGAAACGTCAGTCAACAACAACAAAACAGTCCTTCTCAGGACTATACTAAATGGACGATCTACATCTAAACACGTAATTTTCTATGTTTCATTTTTCTTGTCTTTACATTATAAATGCAAGTAGATTTTACATTAGTTTGTTTACAAGAAGCCTTTCTAATGATCGCGCAGGTGTATTGTCACATGGAAATTGCGACTTTAAAATAACTTTAGTTCGTCAAATCATGCGAAAGTTGAAATGAGCTTTCGGGGCATACATTTCTTGCATACATATATATATTTTGCAAATGAATTCCTTGGCGCTGCGTGAAATAATCAGTGAAACGTTAAAATTGCGTGGCATTTAATGCTATGACTTTAAATACATTCTGTTCTGTGAAAACAATGAATGCCATCAACTTTGGCTTCAATACATTTGACATGTATATTAATTTGGTGTCATGAACCGACAGTGTCAGTGACATTACAAATAAAGGATTATCGAACGAAATAAAAGTTTCGTAAATATGGCTAATGATCGAGATTTGGAAATGGCTTGGAGCGATTCCATATTTCCCCTCAAGGATTTTATTGAATTGTATCGACTTCCTCAAATGGTTCAGGTATTTATTACTTTGAGTTTTCTTTCACTATATACATCTTTTTTACAATATATTTTAACTATAGTTATTCACTTCATTGACTTTACTTGTAAATATCTTATTCTGCGTTGTTTAATTTGCAAGCTATTCAATGTTTCTGCTGACGGATGCTTTTAAAAAGTCGCTTCTAAATAGGTTTGCGATGGTTGGTATGGCGAGGCTGAGGAAGCCATAGAGGTATCACAAGGTGACGTACTTCTACTCCATACCTATAAAGAAACTTCTTGTTTTGTGGCCTCGACTGAATATGGTAAAAAAGTAAATATTCCTTTGAACTTAACAAAGAAAGTTTATGTATATTACGAGAAGTCATTAAAGGATGTCAAGTCCAAGAACATATCACCCGAACGTCTTCGCGATGTATTTCCTCATAAATACTCAAGTGTTCGCCTTCAATGCGATCTTAAAACTGTCTGGATAAGAAAGATATTTATCAAGCTGGCGATACTTTACAGGTTGTAAAATTTGACGTCTCGCGGAAGCAGTTAGTTTGCTTGAATAAGAAGAATTTCTACGTCAATTTCAAGATGAGCAAAATTTGCCATTTAATGGTAACAGATGCCACTATCGATCCCATTTTACTCGCTGATGTACCTAAACAATTCAAATTACCCCTAACGGTACGGTTTGTGCAACACGATAAGTTGCCAGGTTTGATTCATTTGAAAGAAATTGTTACCACGAAAATTGTAGTTGCAACTTTGGGAAACGAAGAATACCAATCACTGCTGACATTTCCATCAACTCTGGATATTACAATGAGCCCTCCTGCGAAAGAGACCATGCTTCATCCTGAGTACTGCGAGTTCGTTAATGGAATTAACAAAGGAATTCACATGGAAGGCGTTGATGAGGAACTCAAGGGCTGTGAGGTAAATTTTGGGCTTTCCGGTTCTTTCGTTTCTTACTGTCCCGTCTTACCTTATTGGTCCAACACATGTCACATGACGCCGCTGTACATTTCGTCATCATGATTTTCAACCTAGATCGCGAGTCTTAACTTTAAGGGTGGGAAGGATGTTTTAGTTTCTTCTAGGATTGTCACATGTTTAAAGATGGAGATGGTGTAGGTTAGTGCTGTCCTGTCAATTACGTCTTAAGATGACTATCGCTATGGATGTCAAAGCGTCAGTCAACACCTACATCAACAGTTGTTCTCATGACTTTACTAACCCGGACCATCTTCATCTACGAAGATGTAGCGATACACCAGTTTCAGTCTATTCACTCTAGGAATGTGTTACTTTTAAATTAGAATTGTATTAGCATTGAACAATTCCAGCAATGTATGGTCAAACCGTTATCTTTGTTTATATGTCTTGTTTCTTCTGTTCAAAACAGTGGTGTTGGGTCATGATTCATAAGGTGTTCGAGATATTATGGGGGTGTCATGATTCATAGGGTGTTTGAGATACTATAGGGGTGGGTCATGATTCATAAGGTGTTTGAAATACTATAGGGGTGGGTCATGATTCATAAGGTGTTTGAGATACTATAGGGGTGGGTCATGATTCATAAGGTGTTTGAAATACTATAGATGTGGGTCATGATCAGTGAACTCTACAACAACTGGAAGGCTAACTCACAATATACATGCCTAGACTTGTGTGAAGCCACTTAGAAGCTGATTTGCCGCTTCGCGTGTATCTCGAGTAGACTGTTTTATTGGTGTGACGGATTGTTTTGCAATAACTGCTAACTTGGAAATAGAATGCTAGCCAAAATGTTTTTCAAAACCGTTATCAAAATTTGGTTATTAATGTGTAAGTTGCTTTGTGGACGTACCAAGACATGATTTATATACCTATCAATGTATTATGTAAAACATAAAAGTGAGAATTTGCTTCGAAATATGTATTTCTCATTTGTCGTCAAAAGACCAAAAATTTAAGATAAAACTGATAACACGTAGTCTGTATCTTTGAATGCTGTGCAAAATACGCACAGTCTACTTAATATAACATGTTTCAAAAGAATTTTATTGCTTTTAAAGTTAGACTTGCTTTGTAAGATATTCACATGCTCTTGTAATGTGTGAAAGTGATGATTTGAAATTTTGAAATGTGGGCGATTGTTGGTTCTTGTCATTTACTTCTCCCACTTCTTAAGAACTGTGGAAGATTTGACATGCATCCATATTTGTGTATTGAGCATTTTATCAGAAAGTCCATGCTTATAAATAAACTATGTGTACACTATGACACTATGACAAGTATTGCTAATATAACCTGCTCTACATAAATGCCAAAAAGCAACCCTCATCCTCAGTGGTTTGAACCAGGGTTTTAAAATGATTATAAAGCAAGCAAAGCTATATCATGTATCAAAACTTTATAGTATATCATATTGATTGTAAAATTAGATTTTTTCTTGTAATACAGATAATGATAAATGTATATGTAATATATTAAATTTAGGATGTGTGTTTAAAATCTTTGGTCATATTTGTGAAAATATATGATGATTCTATAATATCAGACTAATAATCTTTTTCATACTTGTATTACATTACAATTTTTACTTAAGTGTTTCAAAAGTTATGAATATGGAGTGTCATTTGTGTTTTGTCTTTTTTAAGTGGGTATTGAACCTTTTGACTCTTTAATGGTGCAATTAATAATAACACGATAATATGGCATAACAGTTTTTTTAAAACGAACTCAAAATATTTTTTTGCTAACTTTTTGAAATATTTTGCAAAGTGATTTTCTTTTTGTTTACGCTCTGAACTTTCAAAAAGGACTGAGGCGAGCTAATTTTCCTCGAAAACACAAAAATTACCGAAAAACAGCGTTTTTTACCTGACAGCTTCATTTTCAAAGATTCAAACAATACTATAAGGATAGACAAGTGCATTTTACATCCTTTTAATGAAAAAAAACGAGGGTGTCAGCTTTGTATACAAGTTATAAGGCATGTTTTCACGTGCCAAAACGTATTTGTATTCAAGTTCGCTTTTCATCCTTCTAAAAAGAAGCTTAAACATGCACAAATGTCGTTCAAACTTGTTTTATATTAAAGTCAATACATTGTTTAAGGTTTTTAGACATTAAGCTGGCTCGAAGACCACTGTTTTTTTGCAAAAAATCCGGCAAAGTCGAAGTGATGTATTTCGCCTCCGTACCCTCAATGGCGGCGATCATGCAGGCTTCAAAGATGGCGTCCAAGTTAGCCTTCCAGCTGTCATGGAGTTCATTGGTCATGATTCGTAAAGTGTTTGAAATACTATATGGGTGGGTCATGATTCATAAGGTGTTTGAAGTACTGTAGGGGTGGGTCATGATTCATAAAGTGTTTGAAATACTTTATGGGTGGGTCATGATTCATAAAGTGAATAAGATACTTTAACATTCTCTGGGTTTCTATTGGATTTCACATCAAGACCAAAAATTTTAAATTTTCTTTTTGTAGATGTACGAGACTGTCGAAGAGTTAAACATTAAGGCCGTTCCATATTCTGTATTCAATTTTAAAAAGCTAAATATTGAAACAGACAACATCGATGATAATGATTATGAAGTAATACCTGATGACACTTTGCGTCCTATCAATAAAAAAAAACTCTCTGATGTACCTCATGGATCTTGGCGATCAAAAGATTCTCAGATAGAAAACAATAAAACTTACCCTGAAGTACCTTATAAGTCTTGGCCATCAAACGATTCCTTCAAAGGAAACGATAATGCAAATAAAACTTACCCTGAAGTACCTCATAAATCTTGGCAATCAAAGGATTCCTACAAAGGAAACGATGATGCAAATGAAATTTACGCTGAAGTACCTCATAAATCTTGGCAATCAAAGGATTCCTACAAAGGAAACGATGATGCAAATGAAACGTACCCTGAAGTACCTCATAAATCTTTGCAACCAAAGGATTCCTACAAAGGAAACGATGATGCAAATGAAACTTACCCTGAAATACCTCATAAATCTTGGCCATCAAAAGATTCCTACAAAGGAAACGATGATGCAAATGAAATTTACACTGAAGTACCTCATAAATCTTGGCAATCAAAGGATTTCTACAAAGGAAACGATGATGCAATTGAAACGTACCCTGAAGTACCTCATAAATCTTGGCAATCAAAGGATTCCTACAAAGGAAACGATGATGCAAATGAAACTTACCCTGAAGTACCTCATAAATCTTGGCAATCAAAGCATTCTTCCAAAGATATAGACGACACCCATGACTATGAAGAAATGTCCAATAAAACCTTGCCCCCGATATCCAAGAAACGAAAACCTCCCGATATTCCTCATTATCATTCCCCTTGTCAATCAAAGGAAACAGGTACCTTGTAACTAAAGCCTGTCTTACCGTAGCGATTATAAATAGTACTAGAGGTAGCACTGATGACGAATTGGAGAATCCGAGAGTTTTGGGGCAAATTCAGGTCCCGGATGTATCGCTATCTAGCTTCGTGGGGCGCTTAACTATGCGTTATATGTTTTGATTCAACTATAAGCGATGAAAGTTTACGCTGTTCTTGCTTGTTTTTCTGTTTTTACAACCCGCATATTCACATGTTTTTACCATTTTCAACAATTTTCCGGTATAGATAACAAATATATGTTTTTTTGAAGTCTCTCAGCAGTTGAATTAAGGACGAAAAAAGTCTTTTTATCAAGCAATGACTTACGGACTTGTAATTTACTGAATAAGTATAAAAACAAACATGTTTTGCAAAATATGAGTGTTTTAAACCATCTGAAATTACGATAAAAGGAAAAACAATGTTAAAGAAATTGATTGTGATAGTATTTACGCATAAAATATACAAAAAAGTAAAAAAAAATCATAGTCTTCTGCTGTAGCTTAAGATCCGGGAATCGATTTTGCCCACCAAAAACGCATACCATTATTTGAACTATAGATTATATTACGATGCCATATTATTTTTAATCTCTGTGGTCATGATTTGTAAAATGAGAAAGTATTTTCTCCTATAAGTTTTCAATCTTCTCTTCTAGGCGATTTCTATAATCATGCACCGTCTGAAGGAAAGCATGCAGCAATGGATAGATCTACATTGCAAGATAAAGATCGACAATCACGCTCAAAATTTCCATCATATTCAGCCAAAAGACATCATGAAAATATCATGAAGAAACTTAGAAAAGAAATTGGTAAACTTGATTGTCTTTAGGGATTCTTTCACATTTGAACAATCTTTCTCTGAAAGACACTAAGCTGTCGTATGTAAGGACTCAATTTCAACATCAGATCACTCCTGATGAAGACACTAGAATGGAGTATATAAGAACTCAAGTTTTAACATCAGATCACTCTGATGAAGACACTAGACTGGAGTATATAAGGACTCGAGTTTCAACATCAGGTCACTCCTGATGAAGGCACTAGACTGGAGTATATAAGCACTCAAATTTTAACATCAGATCACCCTGATGAAGACACTAGACTGGAGTATATAAGGACTCAAATTTTAACATCAGATCACCCTGATGAAGGCACTTGACTGGAGTATATAAGGACTCAAATTTTAACATCAGATCACCCTGATGAAGACACTAGACTGGAGTATATCAGGACTCAAATTTTAACATCAGATCACCCTGATGAAGACACTAGACTGGAGTATATAAGAACACAAATTTTAACATCTGATCACTCCTGATGAAGGCACTAGACTGGAGTATATAAGGACTCAAATTTTAACATCAGATCACCCTGATGAAAACACTAGACTGTAGTATATAAGGACTCAAATTTTAACATCAGATCACTGATCTTGACTGGAGTATATAAGGACTCAAATTTTAACATCAGATCACTGATGAAGACACTAGACACTAGACTGTAGTATATAAGGACTCAAGTTTCAACATCAGATCACTCCTGATGAAGACACTAGACTGGAGTATATAAGGACTCAAGTTTCAACATCAGATCACTCCTGATGAAAACACTAGACTGGTATAAATAAGGACTCACGTTTCAACATCAGATCACTATATTAGATTAATATTACATTAAAATCGATACATATAAGTAAATGTTATCATTTTTTTATAGAAACGTTCTCGAGGAGACAATCTGTAAGTATTTTGTGATATGAAAAAACAATTTTGCATTGTGCACTAGTCATACTTCCAACTGTAGTCTAAAGCACTTCAACAATCATTTTATCTCTGTTTTTATTACATTTCAAAACTTCCTCGCTTTCTTTCCTAAATCCTCCTCTCCTACTCAACTACTAGATTCAGCCTTGATGAAAACTTTTATGTTTTATCAACCCTTGTACAAACTTTGATCCTGCGATTTTCACCCGTTTTTAGGAGGATGACGAGGAAATGGATTCTGAGGAGTACATGATACCAAAGGGGGAAAGGAGAACGAAGCCACTTGTCAAAAAAGTAGAAGACTTCACAGTCAACGAAATCTGCAATTTTTTAAAAGATTTAAATCTCTCGCAATACTGCGACCGTTTTAGAAAAGAACAGGTCGACGGAAAGATGCTTCGTGATTTGGACGAGGAAACATTGAAATCCCACTTTAAAATGAGCTCTTTTCACACACAGAAATTAAAGAAGGCTGTGAACGAGAATTGGAGACCTTCCGTCGGTGAATAGAGGAGGAGACTGCAACACGCTAAAAGCAATAAAATGTGTTTGCAGCTGTATTCACTCAAGAATCTAACAAATATGTAAAAGTGTCTAGAATTTTCAAGTTCAGGAATGCTAACAAAATTGGAGCTTTTATCACTAGATTGCTTCTTTTATCACAAGCTTCTTGATGCGCTGTTTGTTTTCAAGCAAGTCTTTCATCGTAATAAACCTACATGTAGTTAAGGGCATAGATGAGTTTTCTGTAACTCAAACTGTATGTATTTGTAACTGTACAGTATTTTGTATATTAAAAACGTTTACCGGGTAGAGAGAAACTATTGACTTTAAACACGAACCTTTGACATTCTTTCTTATTATGTAAAAATATCTAGTTTGCATATCAGTCGTATTGTTGCTGGTTGATATTGAATAACACTCTTCTAGACTTGTCGTTGCGTGAAATAGTCACGCGTACATCTCGATGGCGTTCATTCAATTTTTATAATACTTCCGCATTCTATTCTATAAACGCAACAAATTTAGTCATATTTGACTTCCCTAGTTTCTAAGTACATACTTAACATTAATGCCTTGGACTGTAAAGTGTTAAAGTGATCTTTACCAAGGAAGATAAAGTGATCGTCAAGATATTTTTGTAAATATGGATAATAATCAAGAGCCGGTCTCTGATGCAATTTTCAATTTGGATATGGCTTGGAGCGATTGCATATTTTCTCTAAAGGATTTTATTGAATTGTATCCTCTTCCTCAAATGGTTCAGGTACTTATTACTTTAGGCTTTCTTTTACCATCTTCATTTGTTGTACAATGTATTTTAACTACAATTATTCACTTCATTGACTTTACTTGTAAATATCTTATTCTGCGTTGTTTAATTTGCAAGCTAGTCAATATTTCTGCTAATGGATGCTTTTAAAGACTCGCTTCTAAATAGGTTTCCGATGGTTGGTATGGCGAGGGTGAGGAAGCTATAGAGTTATCACAAGGAGACGTTCTTATACTTCATTTGTATAAGGAAACTCCATGCTTTACCGCTTCAACTGAATACGGTAAAGAAGTAAATATTCCTTTGAATTTATCAAAGAAAGTTTATGTTTATTACGAGAAATCATTAAAGGATGTTAAGTCACTCGAACGTCTTGGCGAACTATTTCCTCATAAATACTCAAGTGTTCGCCTTCAACGCGACCTTAAAAATTGTCTGGATAAGAAAGATATTTATCGCGCAGGCGATACTTTACAGGTAATGAGATTTGACGTTTCACGGAAGCAATTGGTTTGCTTGAATAAGAAAAATTTCTACGTCCGATTCAGTATGAGCCAAATTTCTCATTTGACGGTAACAGATGTAACCATTGATTCCTTTGTACTTGCTGATGTACATCACCAATTCAAATTACCCCTAACGGTACGATTTGTGCAATACAATAAGTTGCCAGGTTTGATTCATTTTAAAGAAATCGTAAGCAGAAAAACTGTAGTGGCGTCTCTAGGAAACAAAGAATACGAATCATTGCTGACATTTCCGTCGACCTTGAATATTACAGTGTGCCCCCCTACACTGAATATATTGCATCACCCTGAGTACCAAAAGCACGTCCATGGAGTTAGCAAGGAAGTTCACGTAGAAAGCGTTCATGAAGAACTAAAGGACAGTGAGGTACAATTTTAGGCTTCTCTACTTCTCTCAGCTTGTACTGCTTCTTATCACCATATGAGTTCTGTCCATATTGGGGGGAGGGGGTAGGGGTGCTAGAGTCTAGTCAGGGCTTGCTGTGGGCAATGAACCACAGTGATTTATTTCCTCAGAGGGTTTAGTGTATGATATGGTTTTTGAGATACATAATCGTTCCCTAAGCTTGTATTGGGTTGTAGGTGCAGAGAAAGAAGTGTTTAACATTCTAAATTTTCGTTTTTAGATGTACGAGACTATTGAAGAATTAAACACCAAAGCCGTTCCTTATTCCGTGTTTCATTTCAAAAAGCCAAACCAGACAGTGACGTCCAGCAACATTGAGAAACACAAAGATGGCCATGAACCCAAGCAAAGGGAAGATACCGAAGGGACGTACGAAACAATGTCGTATAAACCTTTTCTGTCAGCGAGGACACGACAAAACCATTACGTAGAAGATCCATTTAGCCAATCAAAGGATGCATGTGAATTGATATTACCATCAGTCAACGTGAAATCATTAATCACGTCTATTGAAAATAAAAATGTTGCTCCTAATGGTCAAGTTAAATCTGCGGTAAATGATCAAGAAACATCACACACTACAAACTTATCAAAATCTACATCCAAATCTTTACCTTCCAACATCAGCGAGTCAAGAGAAGATAGAAAATGTCCTTCACCCACAGGACCTCGTAGACAGTCACCATTCAGCTGCAAGAAAGATCGCTTTAGCACTAAAACATCGTCAAATAAAGAAAAATTTCCTAATGAAAATGTTAAATCGTCGAATGAAGAGATGTATGATGAAGTACGTCCTGTTTTTAAGGTAAAAACCATGAATAAAGCTGGAACTTTCTTGCTTAGTAATGATCGACCCTGTCGCTCAGCTTCACCGAAATACCATGACAAAAGAAACGATGAAAATGTCAAAGAGACTGGGGGATATAAAAATGGTATGTTTCATCGTATGTGTAATTTTAATGATGAAATATTTATGGTAATTGAGTGATCATTTCACAATTTTCCATTCACGATGAAGACACTAGACTGGAGTATATAAGGACGCAAGTTTCAACATCAGATTACTCCTGATGAAGACACTAAACTTGAGTATATAAGAACTCAAGTTTAAACATCAGATCACTCCTGATAAAGACACTAAACTTGAGTATATAAGGACTGAAGTTTAAACATCAGATCACTCCAGATGAAGACACTAGACTGGGGTATATAAGAACTCAAGTTTCAACATCAGATCACTCCAGATGAAGACACTAAACTGGAGTACATAAGAGCTCAGATTTCAACATCAAATCACTCCAGACGAAGACACTAAACTTGGGTGTATAAGGACTAAACTTTAAACATAAGATCACTGCCTTTGATTCTTATTGCATTAAAATCATATATATAAGTATACATTATCATATTTTTTACAGAAAAGGTCCTTGGGAGACAATCTGAATCTGTGAGTATTTTGAAACATGAAGAATATTTTGCGTTGTGTGTTGAGTCTGATTTTCAACGCTACAGGACTTTAACGCCATTTTATTTTTGTTTTTATTTTTGTTATACATTTTAAATCTCTTTTACTCCCTAAAACACTTCCTGTGTTCCTTTTTGGAATGTTGATGGGATCTTTCTTCAGTTTTGTGTTTCTTACTTTAATGTCGACATTTTGATCATGCTATTTTTACACCTTTTTAGGAGGAAATTGACTCTGATGGTTACCAAATACCTAAGGTTGAAGGGAGAAACAAGCCACTATTTACAGTCAACGATGTCTGTAATCTTTTAAAAGATATAAATCTCTCACAATACTGTGACCTCTTTAAAAAAGAACAGGTTGATGGAAATATTCTAAGAGATATGGACGAGGAAATGTTAAAATCACACTTTAAAATGAGTGCTTTTCATGTGTTAAAGTTACAGAAAGCCGTGAACGAAAATTGGAGACCCGAACCCAAAGAATCATGATTGAAAGATATTGTGTGTTCTGGTACATTCGATATTCTGAAACTTTCAATATCAAGAATTCTGAGTCCTAACGACGTTAGGATATTGTACTAAATTTTAAATGCATTACCTCATAGTCGACACTAAATTGTTGATAGCGGAGATAGTAGTTATGTTCTTGCTTGAGTGTTGAGTCTCGTAGCTTTTTATAGTGCAGGAAACCAACATTCAAATGAGACGGCATGTACAAAATAGTTTTTTACCTTTTATTGTGATTAAAGCTGGATGCATCTTTGTGATATCTGACAAATTGCTAACGTGCGAAAAAGGATTTGTAAAAAAAACATCTCAGATTTTATGACAATCATGCAGTTTGATTTGTTCGATTTCACTAAGAATTTTCCAATATAACGTTCTAATTCATAAACATGCGATCTATAAATATGTAAAAAATATGGCATTTTTATATTTATAAAATTTCAAAAGTAAACCTTGCGTTAGTTTTTCAAAATACTATTAACTTTGAAGAATATTAGTAAAACTTGCAGAATGTCAAAAAAATGGCCAAAACTTATAGTATTGCTGGAAAATGTTAAAGCTTTTTCTGCGTTTTCGAAAGTTCCAAGCATATCTAAACTTTCAATCCACCAATATATTGTAATTCCATGCTAAATACAAAATCCTACCAAGTTTCGTAAAAATTGAGCAGTTTTCCTAGTGGAAAAATGTGTTTCTAAGAGCATTTCTCTTACCGTGAAAATATACACATCTGCAAATATATGTGTAGTGGTGTTGAGAAAAAAAACAAAACTACAGATTCATCCCGACACACCTGTTTCGTGATTGCTCACTCTTCAGGGGATTTAATGAGTAAATACTTAAATGCTTAAAATATATATACAAGATGACGGAAGTTAGTGTATTAATTAATGTGTATAGTTGCAAATTACATAGGAATGTTTTGGATCTATGGTGACAAGAGAAAACAAGTTCGTTGCGTTTATTGAGGGATGATTTGGATGGTTGGTAGAGGATGAAAAATTTTTCTTTGAGGCAAAGGTTGACTTTAATGACTTTAATGACTAACAATAGGTATTCCCTATAGGGCTTTTCAGTAACTATTTACAAAATTAAATACATATACATATTTGTCTTATAAATGTATGTAAAAAAGATTATTATTAAAAGGATTTTTACATACGAATAAAAATCGTATTTGGTATAAGGTTTGCTGTGTGTGATGATGTTCTATGAGACGTCGTGGTCAATGTTGCTATCTTTAAGGGTCCAAGTGTGCTTACTAAGCTCGGTCGAGTTTCGTAGTTTTTCGTGGGGAAAGAGGCAGTGTGATCTGCAAATATATATATACAGCTCAGTGTCATAAAGAAAAGTGCAAGATCTTCGCAAAAGGATTCTTAAAAAACAATTTTCTCGATTTAAATATGTAAAAATCAAGTTTATTTTTTAAATACATAACACCCTATTCTTTTGCTGTCCGTGTAAAGCATACAAAGAGAGAAAAGAAATGATCACATTGCATATAACAAGCCGACAAACTTGGTATAATGTATTGTTAAAAACAATCGTCCACAATTCTTGCCGATTATGTTTCTCTTCGAAATATCTTGCTGAGGCGTACGCTAAGTATGGTAGATTCAATCTTAAAGCACAAATCGTGTCAAAAAAACGAAAACAAATAATCTTTTTACTGTTTTCTACTGCCAACAAGCCAAAACAAACGTCGGTTGCTAAGAAACACGCATTGATTCAGGGGGCTTGGCTTTAAACAATCATGGCAAAAACTATAGGAGTTATCATTTCAGTTGATATTATAGTTCACTGCGCGCGGCCCGTGGTCAAACACATGGCAGATTTTTGTGTTCAAAGTCAGCGGAAAGACGTGGGCTCACGAACTAAAAGTTTTGTCGCCCACCCTGATTTGACCACCACGATTGCGAGTATAGAAAATATAAAAATTATTTATATTCCTACCACAAACACTTTTTGAAAATTTTATTTATTAATCAATCTGCCAACTTGTGTGGTTTGCGGATGCCAAAATAGCGACAGAAAAGGAAACATTTCATGACTCCGGTAAGTAGCACAGTATTAGTTTTGCTATTTGGTTTTTAACACGATACTTGAAGAGAGTTTCTACTACAAAGTTTTAATTTTAAGTTGTTTTGGTCCAGTCTTGTTTCTTCTTCATTTTTTATCGCTTCAATTTTTGTCGAGTTTTGTATTCATCTTTCATCATGATCAAGCTAAACTTTCTTCATTTGAATTGCGCTTGCCTCCTTTACCTCCTTTACCTCCTTTACGACATCAACATCACGAGGTAATTAAAGTGCTTTTATCATATTTTGGCCATTGGGTTATGTAGATAGTTTTTTAGTAGATAGTAAATAGAAATTATTTGTACATTTTGACCATATTGACAACATACTTTACAATTCCAAAAGTTGATCTTCACGCATTTTTGGGAGCTCAGAGTCAATGTTTATTCGCTTGAACGTGACATTAAAAAAACTAGTGCGAGAGCCTAGATGTGACGTCACATCGGAAACACGCTGTAAAGAAAACACTGTATTTTACACATAATCACATTACAACCGTAGCTATTTTCGGCGCAACACACGCTTGTGTGGCATCTTGTGTCGTGAATGTTCGAAAACATTCAATTTTAAACAAAATTCAACAGACGAATTCCCGCTGTGACGTCAAAAACAACTTTAGTTACCAGGTTTTTTATACTCGCAATCAAACAATGAAAATTGTAAAGTTTTCAACTTTGAGTGCTAAATGATCTAGCAAAATCATACTTTTGAACTGTAAAATGTTTCACAACAGTTTTTGGGGAATCTAAGAAATGGACTAAAAATTAATCAAAACTATCTAAATGGCACAAATGCAAAAACGCGATATATTAGCTCTTTAAGGCAATGTTGTCCAATCAAAGAAATGAAAGGATTACACCGGCATTGAAGATGAGAATCAGATATCTTTAACCACGAATCAAGAATCGCTTAACATCTTAAGATATCATTCTTATAAAAGACTTCTCAATTCAAGACGTTGGTTCATTGCTCAGGGAGTTAAAACTCGAGAAATACGAAGATATGTTTAAAGAAGAGCAAATCGATGGTAGATTATTGGAAGATTTGAACGTGTTGATAAATGATTTGTAAATGCCATTGTTTCATGCTATGAAGTTGAGAAAGGCAGTCATTGATAATTGGAGACCTAATCATAGTAATGTATCTCCATGATAATGCAGGTCATCTCATCATAATGTTGCTCATCTCATGAGCTACTCTGGCAATCTATTACTACGAAAAACAAAGTCTTCGTTGCACTATCCACTGGTTATGTGACACTTGATTGTTTCAGTGATATATTTTGTTCAGAAAGCTTCGATATAATCCATAAAATCAATAGAATAACATGTCAATTCAAAGTTATCAAATTTTTATTTTCCCAGAAAAACCCCTTTGAAATAGGTTAAAAACATCTATCCAGTGGACAGCACATCCAGCTTCATGCAACCGCCCCCTGATGGTCTGATTCTCTCCCTCTCTTTCCCTTTGCTCTGATATGCAGCACGCATAATGGCAATATAATACATGTATTTTAACAGGATTTGTGTAGAGTAATGAATGGTTTTAACCCTGCAGTATCATTCTATGTATAGATGAGGATTGTGTGGCTCAGTCAAGTCCTTAGAAGGACTGTCGGTGTTGATGTTGACTGATGTTTTGACAATCTTAGCGGACGTCATCTTGAAAGTAAGTTAGTGAACTAGAACTTAGCTATGAAGATCACTATCCCTAGAGATTTTTATACCTAAGTCAACACCAACCAACACCTGCATTAACCTGAAATGCTACATGTAATTTATCACTATGCCGATATCGTTTATTTAATTTTTTGTCCTTCAGTAAATACTATCATCTTTTCTATAGAAACGTTGTCGAGAAGACAATCTGTAAGTATTTTGTGATATGAAAAAACAATTTTGCATTGAGCACTAGTCATACTTTCAACTGTAGCCTAAAGAACTTCAACAATCATTTTATCTTTGTTTTTATTACATTTCAAAACTTCCTCGCTTTCTTTCCCAAATCCTCCTCTCCTACTCAACTGCTAGATTCAACCTTGAGGAAAACTTTTATGTTTTATGAACGCTTTTAGAAATTTTGATCTTACCATTTTGACCCATTTTTAGGAGGATGACGAGGAAATGGATTTTGAGGAGTACATCATACCCAAGGGGGAAAGGAGAACGGAGCCATATTTCAAAAAACTTGAAGACTTCACCGTCAACGAAATCTGCAGTTTTTAAAAGATTTAAATCTCTCGCAATACTGCGACCGTTTTACAAAAGAGCAGGTCGACGGAAAGATGCTTCGTGATTTGGACGAGAAAATATTGAAATCACACTTTAAAATGAGCTCTTTTCACACACAGAAATTAAAGAAGGCTGTGAACGAGAATTGGAGACCTTCCGTCGGTAAAAAGAGGAGGAGATTGCAGCACGCAAAAAGCAATAAAATGTGTTTGCAGCTGTGTTTACTCAAGAATCAAACAAATATGTAAAAATTTCTAGAATTTTCAAGTTCAGGAATGCTGACGAAATTGGAGCTTTTATCACTAGATTGCAAACTTCCTGATGCGCTGTTTGTTTTCAAGCAAGTCTTTCATCGTAATAAACCTAAGGGCATAAGTGAGTTTTCTTTAACTCAAACTGTATGTATTTGTAACTGTACAGTATTTTTCATATTAAAAACGTTTACCGGGTAGAGAGAAATTATTGACATTAAACACGAACCTTTGACATTTTTTCTTATTATGTAAAAATATCTAGTTTGCATATCAGTCGTATTGTTGCTGGTTGATATTGAATAACACTCTTTTAGAGTTGTCACTGCGTGAAATAGTCACACGAACATCTCCATGGCGTTCGCGAATGCGTTATAATACTTCCGCATTCTATTCTATAAACGCAACAAATTTTGTCAAATTTGACTTCACTAGTTTCCAAGTACATACTAAACATTAATGCCTTGGACTGTGAAGTGCTTAATTGATCTTTTCAAACGAACATAAAGCGATCGTCAAGATATTTTTGTAAATATGGATGTTAATCAAGAGCCGGTCTCTGATGCAATTTCCACTTTGGATATGACTTGGAGCAATTGCATATTTCCTCTCATGGATTTTATTGAATTGTATCCTCTTCCTCAAATGGTTCAGGTACTTATTACTTTAGGCTTTCTTTCACCATCTTCATTTGTTGTACAATGCATTTTAACTATAATTATTCACTTCATTGACTTTACTTGTAAATATTTTATTCTGCGTTGTTTAATTTGCAAGCTAGTCAATATTTCTGCTAATGGATGCTTTTAAAGACTCGCTTCTAAATAGGTTTGCGATGGTTGGTATGGCGAGGGTGAAGAAGATATAGAGTTATCACAAGGAGACGTTCTTATACTTCATACGTATAAGGAAACTCCATGCTTTACCGCTTCAACTGAATACGGTAAAGAAGTAAATATTCCTTTGAATTTATCAAAGAAAGTTTATGTTTATTACGAGAAATCATTAAAGGATGTTAAGTCACCCGAACGTCTTGGCGAGCTATTTCCTCATAAATACTCAAGTGTTCGCCTTCAACGCGACCTTAAAAATTGTCTGGATAAGAAAGATATATATCTTGCAGGCGATACTTTACAGGTAATGAGATTTGACGTTTCACGGAAGCAATTGGTTTGCTTGAATAAGAAAAATTTCTACGTCCGGTTCAGTATGAGCCAAATTTCTCATTTGACGGTAACAGATGTAACCACTGATTCCTTTGTGCTTGCTGATGTACATCAGCAATTCAAGTTACCCATAACGGTACGATTTGTAAAACACGATAAGTTGCCAGGTTTGATTCATTTTAAAGAAATTGTAAGCAGAAAAACTGTAGTGGCGTCTCTAGGAAACGAGGAATACGAATCACTGCTGACATTTCCATCGACCCTGGATATTACAGTGTGCCCCCCTACACAGAATATATTGCATCACCCTGAGTATCAAAAGCACGTCAATGGAGTTAGCAAGGAAGTTCACGTAGAAAGTGTTCATGAAGAACTAAAGGACAGCGAGGTACAATTTTAGGCTTCTCTGCTTCTCTCAGCTTGTATTCCTTCTTATCACCTTATGAGTTCTGTCCATATAGGAGATGCTAGAGTCTTGCCAGGGCTTGCTGTGGACTATGAACCACAGTGATTTATCTCCCTGAGGGGCTTAGTGTATGATATGGTTTTTGAGATACATAATCGTTCTCTAAGCTTGTATTGGGTTCTAGGTGTATAGAAAGATATGTTAAGCATTCTAAATTTTCGTTTTTAGATGTACGAGACCATCGAAGAATTGAACATCAAAGCCGTTCCTTACTCCGTGTTTCATTTCAAAAAGCCCAACCAGACAGGGACGTCCAGCAACATTGAGCAACACAAAGATGTCCATGAACCCAAGCAAAGGGAAGATATTGAAGGGACGTACGAAACAATGTCGGATAAACCTTTTCTGTCAGCGACGACACGACAAAACCATTACGTAGAAGATCCATTTAGCCAATCAAAGGATGCATCTGAATTGATCTTACCATCAGTCAACGTGAAATCATTAATCACGTCGATTGAAAATAAAGATGTTGCTCCTAATAATCAAGTTAAATCTGCAGTAAATGAGCAAGAAACATCACAAACTACAAACTTATCAAAATCTACATCCAAATCTTTACCTTCCAACATCAGCGAGTCAAAAGAAGATAGAAATTGTCCTTCACCCACAGGACCTCGTAGACAATCCCCATTCACCTGCAAGAAAGATTGCTTTAGCACTAAAACATGGTCGAATAAAGAAGAATTTCCTAATGAAAATGTTAAATTGTCAAATGAAGACAACTTGTATGATGAAGTACGTCCTGTTTTTAAGGCTAATACCATGAATGAAGCTGGAACTCTCTTGCTTAGTAATGATCGACCCTGTCGCTCAGCGTCACCATCATACCATGATAAAAGAAACGATAAAATTATCAAAGAGTCTGGGGGACATAAAAATGGTATGTTTCATTGTATGCGTAATTTTAGTGATGAAATATCTGTGGTAATTGAGTGATCATTTCACAATTTTCCATTCACGATGACGACACTAGACTGGAGTATATAAGGACGCAAGTTTCAACATCAGATTACTCCTGATGAAGACACTAAACTTGAGTATATAAGAACTCAAGTTTAAACATCAGATCACTCCTGATAAAGACACTAAACTTGAGTATATAAGAACTCAAGTTTGAACATCAGATCACTCCAGATAAAGACACTAAACTTGAGTATATAAGAACTCAAGTTTCAACATCAGATCACTCCAGATGAAGATACTAGACTTGAGGATGAAAGAACTAAAGTTTCAACATTAGATCGCTCCTGACGAAGACACTAGACTGGAGTACATAAGAGCTTAGATTTCAACATCAAATCGCTCCAGGCGAAGACACCAAACTTGGGTGTATAAGGACTAAACCTTAAACATAAGATCACTGCCTTTGATTCTTATTGCATTAAAATCCTATATATAAGTATACATTATCATATTTTTTACAGAAAAGGTCCTTTGGAGACAAACTGAATCTGTGAGTATTTTGAAACATGAAGAATATTTTGCGTTGTGTGTTGAGTCTGATTTTCAACGCTACACGACTTTAACGCCATTTTATTATTTTTTATTTTTTTTTATACATTTCAAATCTCTTTTACACTCTAAAATACTTCTTATGTTCCTTTTTGGAATATTGGTGGGGTCTTTCTTCAGTTTTGTGTTTCTTACATTTATGTCAACATTTTGATCTAGTTATTTTTACACCTTTTTAGGAGGAAATTGACTCTGATGGTTACCAAATACCTAAGGTTGAAGGGAGAAACAAGCCATTATTAACAGTCAACGATGTCTGAAATCTTTTAAAAGATTTAAAGCTCTCGCAATTCTGCGATCCCTTTAAAAAGGAGCAAGTTGACGGGAAGATCATTAGAGATATGGACAAAGAAATGTTTAATTCACACTTTAAAATGAGTGCTTTTCATGTGTTAAAGTTACAGAAGGCCGTGAACGAAAATTGGAGACCCGAACCAAAGGAATCGTGATTGAAAGATATTGTGTGTTCTGGTACATACGATGTTCTGAAACTTTCAATATCAAGAATTCTGAGTCCTAACGACGTTAGTATATTGTACTAAATTTTAAATGCATTACCTCATAGTCGACACCAAATTTTGATAGCGGAGATAGTAGTTATATTCTTGCTTGGGTATTGATTCTCGTAGCATTTTTCAGTGTAGGAAACCAACATTCAAATGAGACGGCATGTACAAAGTAGTTTTTTACCTTTTATTGTGATTAAATTTGGATGCATCTTTGCAAAATCTGACAAATTGCGAACGTGCAAAAAATGGATTTGTAAAAAAAAACATCTCAGATTTCTTTGATTTGTTCGAATTCATTAAGAATTTTCCAATATAACGTTCTAATTCATCAATATGCGTTCTATAAATATGCAAAAAATATGGTATTTTTATATTTATAAAATTTCAAAAGTAAACCTTGCGTTAGTTTTTCAAAATACTATTAACTTTATTGAATATTAGTCAAACTTGCAGAATGTCAAAAAAATAGTCAAAACTTATAGTATTGCTGGAAAATGTTGAAGGTTTTTCTACGTTTTCGAAAGTTGCAAGCATATCTAAACTTTCAATCCACCAATATGTTGTAGTTCCATGTTAAATAAAAATCCTACCAAGTTTCGTAAAAATTGAGCAGTTTTCCAAGTAGAAAAAAGTGTTTCTAAGAGCATTTCTCTTACCGTGAAAATATACACATCTGCAAATATATGTGTAGTGGTGTTGAGAAAAAAAACAAAACTACAGATTCATCCCGACAAGCCTGTTTTGTGATTGCTCACTCTTCAGGGGATTTAATGAATAAATACTTAAATGCTTAAAATATACATACAGGATGACAGAAGTTAGTGTATTAATTAAGTTGTATAGTTACAAATTACATAGGAGTGTTTTGGATCTATGGCGACAAGAGAAACAAGTTCGTTGCGTATATTGAGGGATGATTTGGATGGTTGGTAGAGGATGAAAAATTTTCTTTGAGGCAAAGGTTTACTGTGTGTGATGATGTTCTATGAGATGTCGTGGTCAATGTTGCTATCTTTAAGGGTCCAAATGTGCTTACTAAGCTCGGTCGAGTTTCATAGTTTTTGTGGGGAAAGAGGCAGTGTGATCTGCAAATATATATATACAGCTCAGTGTCATAAAGAAAACATGTCAATTCAAAGTTATCAAATTTTTATTTTCCAGAAAAACCCCTTTGATATAAGTTAAAAAATCATCTATCCAGTGAACAGCACATCCAGCTTCATGCAACCGCCCCCCGATAGTCTGATTCTCTCCCCCCCTTTCCCTTTGCCCAAATATGCAGCACGCATAGTGGCAACATCATACATGTATTTTAACAGGATTTGTGTTGAGCAATGACTGGTTTTAACCCTGCAGTATCCTTCAATGTGCAGATGAGGATTGTGTGACTCAGTCAAGTCCTTAGAAGGACTGTTGGTGTTGATGTTGACTGATGTTTTGACAGTCTTAGCGGAAGTCATCTTAAAGTTAGTTAGTGAACTAGAACTTGACTATGAAGATCACTATCGCTAGAGATCCTTATACCTAAGTCAACACCAACCAACACCTGCACTAACCTGAAATACTACATGTAATTTTTATTACTATGCCGATATCGCTTATATAATTTTTTTTTCCTGATAACTTTTTTACCATCTGATGTACAGATGGCAAAGTTTATGTGAGAGTTTGGCATGAAAGTAAAATTTGATTGGAAAGTTCGTCACATGAAGCAACACCCAAACCGATTCTGGGTCCATGCGAAAACTCTGCGAAGAATCCATACAATTTCTTGTCTCTCTTCCCTATATTTTGAAACTTCAAATTGTTATCAAAGCAATGCTTTTGTTTAATCATTGTCACATAACTTGTTTAACAACCTGTAATTTACTCATTATTCATTGTAAACACTCCATACTTCTGTGATAAGATTCATCACTTAAAACAATGAACATGAATTACTATTTATGGTTATCTTGTGGAAAACAGATAGTTTGCAAATTCATTACAAATTTACATCATGAAAATATCATGAAGAAACTTAGAAAAGAAATCGGAAAACTTGATTATCTTTAGAGATTCTTTCACATTTGTACGATCACTCTCTGAAAAAATAATAGTATATAAGGACTCAAGTATATAAGGACTTTAGTATTTAAGGACTCAACTTTCAACATCAGATTACTTCTAATTAAGACATTCTACTGGAGTACATAAGAGCTCAGATTTCAACATCAAATCACTCCAGACGAATACACTAAACTTGGGTGTATAAGGACTCAACTTTAAACATAAGATCACTACCTTTGATTCTTATTGCATTAAAATCGATACGTATCAGTAAATATTATCACCTTTTCTACAGAAACGTTCTTGAAAAGACAAATCTGTAAGTATTTTGTGATATGAAAAAACAATTTTACATTGTGCACTAGTCATACTTTCAACTGTAGCCTAAAGAACTTTAACAATCAATTTATTTCTGTTTTTATTACATTTCAAAACTTCTTCGCTTTCTTTCCCAAATTTTCCTCTCCTACTTAACTACTAGATTCAACCTTGATGAAAACTTTTATCTTTTATCAACGCTTGTAGAAATTTTGATCTTACCATTCTCCCCCCCCCCCCTATTTTTGGGAGGATGACGAGGAAATGGAATCTAAGGAGTACATGATACCCAAGGGGGAAAGGAGAACAGAGCCACTTGTCAAAAAACTTGAAGACTTCACCGTCAGCGAAATCTGCAGTTTTTAAAAAGATTTAAATTTCTCGCAATACTGCGACCGTTTTACAAAAGAGCAGGTCGACGGAAAGAGGCTTCGTGATTTGGACGACGAAATATTGAAATCACACTTTAAAATGAGCTCTTTTCACACACAGAAATTAAAGAAGGCTGTTAACGAGAATTGGAGACCTTCCGTCAGTGAATAGAGGAGGAGACTGCAACACGCTAAAAGCAATAAAATGTGTTTGCAGCTGTGTTTACTCAAGAATCTAACAAATATGTAAAAATTTCTAGATTTTTCAAGTTCAAGTATGCTGACGAAATTAAAGCTTTTATCACTAGATTGCAAGCTTCTTGATGCGCTGTTTGTTTTCAAGCAAGTCTTTCGTCGTAATAAACCTACTTGTAGTTAAGGGCATATGTGAGTTTTCTGTAACTCAAACTGTATGTATTTGTAACTGTACAGTATTTTGTATATTAAAAACGTTTACCGTGTAGAGAGAAACTGTTGACATTAAACACGAACCTTTGACATTCTTTTTTATTATGTAAAAATATTTAGTTTGCATATCAGTCGCATTGTTTCTGGTTGATAATTGAATAACACTCTTCTAGACTTGTCACTGCGTGAAATAGTCACACGAACATCTCCATGGCGTTCATTCCATTTTTATAATACTTCCGCGTTCTATTCTATAAACGCAACAAATTTTATCAAATTTGACTTCCCTAGTTTCCAAGAACATACTTAACATTAATGCTTTGGACTGTGAAGTGTTTAATTGATCTTTACAAAAGAAGATAAAGTGATCGTCAAGATATTTTTGTAAATATGGAAGATAATCAAGAGCCAGTCTCTGATGCAAGTTCCAATTTGGATATGGCTTGGAGCGATTGCATATTTCCTCTCAAGGATTTTATTGAATTGTATCCTCTTCCTCAAATGGTTCAGGTACTTATTAGCTACTTTAGGCTTTCCTTAACCATCTTCATTTGTTGTACAATATATTTTAAAATAGTTCTAAAGATAGCAAATACCATAGTGAATGGTAAAAGTAATATAATAAGTTGATAGTTCTTAAAAGAACTGTTTTAAGTATAATTATTCACTTCATTGGTTTTACTTGTAAATATCTTATTCTGCGTTGTTTAATTTGCAAGCTATTCAATATTTCTGCTAATGGATGCTTTTAATGACTCGCTTCTAAATAGGTTTGCGAAGGTTGGTATGGCAAGGGTGAAGAAGCCATAGAGTTATCACAAGGAGACGTTCTCATACTTCATACTTATAAGGAAACTCCATGCTTTACCGCTTCAACTGAATACGGTAAAGAAGTAAATATTCCTTTGAATTTATCAAAGAAAGTTTATGTTTATTACGAGAAATCATTAAAGGATGTTAAGTCACCCGGACGTCTTGGCGAACTATTTCCTCATAAATACTCAAGTGTTCGCCTTCAACGCGACCTTAAAAATTGTCTGGATAAGAAAGATATATATCTTGCAGGCGACACTTTACAGGTAATGGAATTTGACGTTTCACGGAAGCAATTGGTTTGCTTGAATAAGAAAAATTTCTACGTCCGGTTCAGTATGGGCCAAATTTCTCATTTGACGGTAACAGATGTAACCATTGATTCCTTTGTGCTCGCTGATGTACATCACCAATTCAAGTTACCCCTAACGGTACGATTTTTGCGACACGAGAAGCTGCCAGGTTTGATTCATTTTAAAGAAATTGTAAGCATAAAAACTGTAGTGGCGTCTCTAGGAAACGAAGAATACGAATCACTGCTGACTTTCCCATCGACCCTGGATATCACAGTGTGCCCCCCAACACAAGATATATTTTATCACCATGAGTACCAAAAGCACGTTAATGGAATTACCAAAGAAGTTCACATGGAAAGCGTTCATAAAGAACTAAAGGACAGCGAGGTACAATTTTAGACTTCTCCGCTTCTCTCAGCTTGTACTGCTTCTTATTACCTTATTAGTTCTGTCCATATTGGGGGGGAAGGTTTGTGGTGCTAGAGTCTTGCCAGGGCTTGCTGTGGACTATGAATCACAGTGATTTATCTCCCTGAGAGGTGTAGTGTATGATGATGAGTTTTTTGAGATACATAATCGTTCCTAAGCTTGTATTGGGTTGTATGTGTAGAGAAGGATATGCTTAACATTCCTCTAAATTTTTTTTTGGTAGATGTACGAGACCATCGAAGAGTTAAACACCAAAGCCGTTCCTTATTCCGTGTTTCATTTCAAAAATCCTAACCAGACAGTTACGTCGAGCAGCATTGAGCAACACAAAGATGACAATGAACCCAAGCAAAGCGAAGATACTGAAGGGACGTACGAAACAATGTCGGATAAATCTTTTTTGTCAGCGTTGACACCACAAAACCATTACGTAGCAGATCCATCTAGCCAATCAAAAGATGTATGTGAACTGATGTTACCATCAGTCAACGGGAAATCATTAAACACATTGAATAAAAAAAAAGATGTTGCTGCTAATGATCAAGTTAGATCTGCAGTATATGAGCAAAAAACATTACACACTTCAAACTTATCAAAATCTACATCCAAATCTTTACCTTCCAACATCAGCGAGTTAAGAAAAGACAGAAAATGTCCTTCACCCACAAGACCTCATGAACAGTCGCCGTTCAGCTGCAAGAAAGATCGCTTTAGCACTGAAACATTGTCAAATAAGGGAGAATTTCCTTATAAAAACGTTAAATCGTCTAATGAAGAGGAGATGTATGATGAAGTACGTCCTGTTTCTAAGGTAAAAACCATAGAAATCTCTATGGAGATTGTCTGATTTTCAACGCTACACGACTTTAACAGTCATTTTTTTGTTACACATTTCAAATCTCTTTTACACTCTAAAACACTCCCCCTGTTCCTTATTCGAATGTTGATGAGTTCTTTCTTCCGTTTTGTATTTCTTACTTTAATGTCGACATTTTGGTCTTGTTATTTTCACACATTTTTAGAAGGAAGTTGACTCTGATGGTTACCAAATACTTAATGTTGTAAGAAGAAACAAGCCACTAGTTACAGTCAACGATGTCTGTAATCTTTTAGAAGATTTAAATCTCTCGCAATTCTGTGACCTCTTTAAAAAAGAACAGGTTGATGGAAAGATCCTTAGAGATATGGACGAGGAAATGTTAAAGTCATATTTTAAAATGACTTCTGCTCATGTGTTGGAATTACAGAAGGCCGTGAAAGAAAATTTCTGACGTGAACGATTCAAAGATAGTGAAGGACTGAGACAGCGAAGTTACATGTACACGAGTGTATTCTGGTACATACGATATTCTGAAACTTTTAACATCAAGAATTCTGACTCCTGACCACGTTTGAACATTGTACTAAATTTTAAACGCTTTACCTCATAGTCGACATCAAATTGTTGATAGCGGAGATAGTAGTTTTGTCGTCTCTTAAGTATTGAGTTTTATACGTTTTTTTAGTTAAAGGAAGCAACAGTTTTAAACGAGACAGCTTACACAAAGTATTTTTTTTACCTTTTATTGTGATTAAAGTTGGATACATCATTGAAAATCTGACAAATTGCGAACGTGCGAAAAATTATTCGTAAAATAAGACATCTCAGATTTCAGTGACAACCATGCAATTTGATTTGTTCGAATTCACTAAGAATTCTTCAATATAACGTTCTAATTCATAAATATGCGTTCTAATGTACTAACTACGCATTCAAGCTTACTGAGTCTGAGAAGGAGTTTGATTTACCAATATGGCTTTCGAATCACTAATATGGCGTTCGAATTCGATAAGATTTTAACAAAATTCTAAATATGAAATCGTTCCAAGTTTTCAGTTTTTGAAAAAACGTAATTTTAAATTTTAGCTTCGTGCCATACAAACATTTGTCGTCATGACATTTTTGTGGTACATTTTGATGTCGGAATGAAGAAAATTTTCATAAATTATAAAAGCACGACATGACGTCGTCACACTGTACGATTGCCAATAGAGCAATTATGGAGTTTATAAAATATCTCTGTGTTGCACTTTAAGAAAGTATTTATTTCCTGCTCATTTATATGTCGGTGGAAGTCAGAAGATGCACATTAAATCTGATAAACGACTTCCTCAAAACACCATAGTTCATTTCGCAGAGAAACTTAAAGTTTTGGATTTTGTAACATGAATATTTACGAAGGTCTGAATTCCTTTTCATCCTATAAATTTGTTTGGAATAAGTGCGAATTTCCTCTCATCGATTTTGTTAAATTTTATCCATTTCCTCAAATAGTTCAGGTAAGTCGTCTTTAAGTTTTCGATGATGTATAGTATATAGCATGACTATTTTTAATCTGAATTCGCTTGCCATTTCTATTAATCATTTATCATGAATTAAATTTATTGATTTATTGATGATGATGTGTTCAACAGGAATTGAGTGATGTTAACACTTAGCGACACTATTCAATGTACGTTACTTCTTCATCAGGAGCTATCGAATGCTAAAACTTGAGTCCTTACATACTCCAGTCTAGTGTCTTCATCAGGAATGATATAATGTTGAAACTTGAGTTCTTATATACTCCAGTCTTGTGTCTTCATCAAAAGTGATCTGATGTTGAAACTTAAGTTCTTATATACTCCAGTCTTGTATCTCCATCAGGAGTGATATGATGTTAAAACCTTATTGTCCTTTTATACTCCACTCTAGTGTCTTCATCAAGAATGATCTGTTGTTGAAACTTGAGTCTTTATATACTCCAGTCTAGTTTCTTCATCAGGAGCGATCTGATGTTGAAACTTGAGTTCTTATATACTCCAGTCTTGTGTCTTCATCAGGAGTGACTGATGTCGAAACATGAGTCCTGATATACTCTTGTGTAGTGTCTTCATCAGGAGTGATCTGATGTTGAAACTTGAGTCTTTTTATACTCCAATCTATTGTCTTCATCAGGGTTGATTTTATGTTGAAACTTTATAGTCCATTTATACTCCAGTCTAGTATCTTCATGAAGAATGATCTGATGTTGAAACTTGAGTTCTTATATACTTCTCTCAAGTGTCTTCATCAGTAGTGATCTTATGTCGAAACTTGAGTTGTTATATACTCTAGTCACCAGACTTTATCAGGAGTGATCCAATGTTTTATTTGGAGTCCTTATATACTCCAGTCTAGTGTCTTCATCAGTAGTGATCTGATGTTGAAACGTATGTTCTTTTGCATATTTGTAGATGATATTATAGTTAAAGGATAATGTATATTGTTTGTATATTACATACATAGTGAATGAACTGTAATGTAACAGCGTCCATATCCTCGTAAACTGACTAAACGTTTGTCTGAAGCGTTCTGTACGTAATTTCTTAACTATTTTTCTTTTCAAACGCAGATTAAGGACGGTTTTTGTGGGAGCAGCGAAGAAACGTCGTTATCTGAAGGAGATATTCTTCATCTACACGTCCTCAAAGAAACTCAATGTTTTTTGGCGCAAACAGAATGTGTCAAGGATGTTCAAATTCCATTAAACCTCTCACAAAAAGTCAATGTGTGTTACGAAAAATCTTTTAAAGAAGTGAGATCGCCAAAGATCTTGAAAAATTTGTTCCCTGACAAGTATAAAAAAGTTCATCTACAAAGTAACCTGAAAAATTATCTGGACAATGACGATGTTTATTTCGCTGGCGATACTTTAGATGTTGTTGAATTTGATATTTCAAAAAAGCAATTGGTTTGTTTGAACAAGGAAAACCTTTATGTAAGGTTTAGTATGCGTCAACTGGTTCATATGAAAGTCACAGATATCACAACAGCTTCGTTTTTCCTTGCCGAAATATATAAAAGATTCAACTTACCTGTGGTTGTTTTGTTTGGACAACAGGCGAAATTTAAAGGTTTAGTCACTTTACAAAAAGTTATAACTTTGCAAACTGTTATAGCCTCCAGCTGGCACGAAGATGGTAGGAAAATTTTGACTTTTCCCGCTGACCTCGAGATTTCATTGGTGCCACCTTCCCAGGAAACGATATACGATCTTACGTATCGTAGGCTCTTGGATGGAGTGCACAAGCGCTTAAATGTTGATAAAATTGAAGGAACAATTGGGCCTTGCGAGGTATATATTTTTGTTTTGTTTTGCACTTAAATGTTTTGTTGGTGTAAAAAATGGTAGATCTGAATTGTCTTGACACGAACTTTTGTATAGCTATTCTAGAACTGTCTTACATCACGTTTCACTTTTATGCCTTTTCTTTCTTTACCATTACGAGAAAGAAACAGAAAAGGCTTGGGAACGAGATGTTACTTGACAATAGTCGTAATATTAAAAATATACATCACCTTTGCATACTGTTCTTCCTATAAAAACTAAATGAATTTTTTCTCATTAAAATGGCAATATTGCGCTGCACAGCGCTGAATGTAAAAGCAAATTTAAAGAAATTTGTTTTTATTTCATTATTTTAACAGATATGCGATGTCAGCCAACCTTGTGCTGTTAAGGCAATACCTGTCGGAGCTTTTCTGTTGGATAGGCCAACAGACAAGGGAAATAAAAGCGAAAATGACAGCGAGAGGATCGATTCGTTTGAAGAGAACAACAATTCGTTTCAATCACGTGATGAACAATCTGCGTATAGAAATTTTTCGGAAGAATTTCCGTCTGATGCTAGTGGCTACTTATGCCCGAAGGATGTCCTTGAAAAGTTGGAAAATTATCGACAGGGCTCCGATAGTTCCTCGAGGTCTCACGAGGCTATGTGGACCAATCAGGATAGGGACAATCGATGTACCGATGCGTCACCTCACATGAGTACCAATTTTCTTAAGGAAAAATTTCCTGATTTTTCTGAACCTACAGAAAATGTCTACGAGTCCATCAGGAGAAATGCAAGCATACCACATTATCACCACGTACCAATGACAGCTATGAACGAGCAAGAAGTCTCAAATATCGATGTTTTCCAGGCAGAATTAGTAAATCCTACGGAGAGAGAAACTTCCTGTCCATTATCTTCAACAATTTATGAGCAACTTCATCCTGACAATGTGGTTCAGGTAATAATGTAGAATCGTAAATACAAAAGTATTTCAAAGCGGTTGAGTGTGAATTAGTATTTTTCATTGTTGATTAAAATAATACCAATTCATCACGAATGGAATAGTTATCATTTTAATTGATGCTTTTAAGAGTTGAAATTTTATCGTCACTTGATTTGTCTAGGATTGCATTGACATTCCAGATATGAATGAGACATCTTTAACCACGAAGCAAGAATCACCTGACGTTAAACGACATCATACCTGTCGAAGTATAAAAGACTTCTCAAATGAGGACGTCTGTTCACTGCTAAGGGAGTTAAACCTCGAGCAATACGAAGATATGTTTAAAAGAGAGCAAATCGATGGTAGATTGCTGGTAGATATGAACGAGAACATGTTGATAAATGATTTTAAAATGCCCTCGTTTCATGCTATGAAGTTAAGAAAAGCTGTCATGAACAATTGGAGACCTTTAATATTTCCATCATGACAATATAAAGTTAAAAACATGAGCTACATTTTGGCCAATGGATTACTACGTAGTGGACTGTTGTGAGAGGTTTTGTGGCCTTATCTACTTGATCATAATATTTTCAAACGCTTCAATGTTTTCTTTAAGGCAAAAAGCCACAATTTAAACTGTAAAATCAATGGAGTAAGATATCGATTCAAAGTTATCGAAGCTTCATTTCCTTAAGAAAATACGAGCACCTTTTTAACAGGTTAAAAATCCGCCATTTAGTGGATAGTTCTATCCCGGGCTTTATGCACGCCTTGATATCCATAATATCCCCCTGCCCCAAAATGCAACATACATAATGATAACGTCAAATTTGCATTTTAAGACGTTTTGTGTTAATGTGAACTGTTTTAACACGGCAGTATCATTACATGTATATAGATGTAGATATTCTATGTCATTACATGTATGTAGATGTAGATATTCTAGGTCATTACATGTATATAGATGTAGATATTCTAGGTCATTACATGTATATAGATGTAGATATTCTAGGTCATTACATGTATGTAGATGTAGATATTCTAGGTTATTACATGTATATAGATGTAGATATTCTAGGTCATTACATGTATATAGATGTAGATATTCTAGGTCATTACATGTATGTAGATGTAGATATTCTATGTCATTACATGTATATAGATGTAGATATTCTATGTCATTACATGTATATAGATGTAGATATTCTAGGTTATTACATGTATATAGATGTAGATATTCTAGGTCATTACATGTATATAGATGTAGATATTCTAGGTCATTACATGTATATAGATGTAGATATTCTATGTCATTACATGTATATAGATGTAGATATTCTAGGTTATTACATGTATATAGATGTAGATATTCTATGTCATTACATGTATATAGATGTAGATATTCTAGGTTATTACATGTATATAGATGTAGATATTCTAGGTCATTACATGTATATAGATGTAGATATTCTATGTCATTACATGTATATAGATGTAGATATTCTATGTCATTTCATGTTTGTAGATGTAGATATTCTATGTCATTACATGTATATAGATGTAGATATTCTATGTCATTTCATGTTTGTAGATGTAGATATTCTATGTCATTACATGTATATAGATGTAGATATTCTAGGTTATTACATGTATATAGATGTAGATATTCTAGGTCATTACATGTATATAGATGTAGATATTCTATGTCATTACATGTATATAGATGTAGATATTCTAGGTTATTACATGTATATAGATGTAGATATTCTATGTCATTACATGTATATAGATGTAGATATTCTAGGTTATTGCATGTATATAGATGTAGATATTCTATGACATTACATGTATATAGATGTAGATATTCTAGGTTATTACATGTATATAGATGTAGATATTCTATGACATTACATGTATATAGATGTAGATATTCTAGGTTATTACATGTATATAGATGTAGATATTCTAGGTTAGTGGGTGTCCTGAGAACAAATGTTGATGTTGATTCTAATGTGAACTGTAATTTGAACTTTTAACAAAGAACAGGCTTTATTTCATTTTTCAGGATTTATGGCGTTTGATTTTAATAAAACAAAAAGATAGGCCTTATCAAAAAAGGGGAGCCATGAAATTTTTGTAATTTGTAGTATGTAGATATCTGACGTCATGACCTGAACATTATTTTGGTGATACAAATACATTTTAATGTCGGAATGAAAAAAATTTTCATAAAATACAAAAACTCCACATGATGTCGTAACGCAAGCAATTTTTTAAAAGGGAAATACAAAGAATCCATTTTTGTGTTTCACTTACAAAAAGTGTTTGTTTCTTGAGAATAAATGTCTGTAGAAAGACATGGTAAATAATTCAAACGGATTACTCAAAGCACCAAAAGTTTTGGATCATATATACCATGAATAGTCACGAAAGCCTGAACATCTCATCCTACAAAATTGTTTGGAGTGATCACGAATATTCTCTTATCGATTTTGTTCATCAATTTTATCCGCTTCCTCAAATGGTTCAGGTATTTCGTCTTCAAGTTTTTAATTATGTAAACCATTTGGCTGTTCAAGAGCTGCATGCTATTCCTGTATTATATCGTAATGTTAACTGTTTATTTCGTGAACTGTATTAATCATATTTTAATCATAATTTATAGCAATTGTAGTTAATATAAGGCAGACTGAGTACTTGTTATGTCTGCCATGATTTATGATTAGTCGCTCTATGTATAAATATATGTCTTCAAATAAGTATTTTCAGGACATTCACATGGCAAACGAAGCGGTGTGAAAAATTGTGTTTAAAATTTTAGCAGCAAGCTCTTTGCTTAAAATGGCACGCCAAAATAATGGTTTATTCAGCACACTATTTTATTCGCTCTATGGTGCATAGAGTGTTCGGCTTATGCACTTGACCAGTTGCGCATCTATTCTCACTGGCTTTTAGCTTTAAGTAAATCAATGGTACTATTTGAATGATTTTTCAAAATGTTCTAACGAAAGGATAACTGAAAACCATGACCAGCCGACAATTGAAAGAAGTATAATATAAAACAAATTCCGAAGAAGCAAGATCTTGCTTCTTCGAAAGGATGACTGCATTTCATACATACATAGGCAGCAATTGTAAACATTTAGGTATACTAGTTTAAATATAATACATACATAGTATGAACACAATATCTAACCACTAGCTCGTGAACTGAAAAAACTTTTTCTTGAGTATTCATGTATACCAAATACGCAAAAGTTGATTTCTTTTAAACTACTTTTTTTCAAACGCAGATTAAGCGCGGTTTTTGTGGGAGCTGCAAAGAAACGTCGTTATCCAAAGGAGATGTTCTCCAAATGCATGTTCTTAAAGAAACTCAATGTTTTTTGGCGCAAACAGAAGATGGAAAAGATGTTCAAATTCCATTAAACCTCTCGGAACAAGTTATCGAGTGTCAAAAACAAAGAAGTATTTTGAAATATGAAAAATTTTTAGATGACGCGACATTACCACAGGTCTTAAAAAATATGTTCCCTGACAAATATGACAAAGTTTACGTTCAATCCAACCTTAAAAACTGTCTGAACAACAACGAAATTTATCGCGCCGGAGATAGTTTAGACGTTGTTGAATTTGATATTTCAAGAAAGCATTTGGTTTGTTTGAACAAGGAAAAATATTATGTGAGGTTTGATATGCATCAACTGATCCATTTAAAAGTAGCAGATGTCACCATGGATTTAATGTTTCTTGCTGAAGTACAGGAAAGATTCAAGTTACCTGTTTTGGTTCGCTTTGAGCCACAGACCAAATTTAAAAGTTTCGTTACACTAAAGAAGGTCGTCACATTGCAAACTGTTATAGCCTCCAGGTGGCAGGAAGATAGCAGAATAATTTTGACTTTTCCTGCTAACCTCGACATTTCCTTGGTCCCACCCTCCGAGACCACAATAAATGATCCAACGTACCTTCAGTTCTTGGATGGAGTCCATGGACGCTTGAATGTTGATAAAATTAAAGGAATAATTGGACCTTGCGAGGTATATTTTTGCCTTAATATGTTTCTTTTATGTGTAAAATGGTAGAACTAAAGCATCAAAGTCATGAATTTGTTTGGCTACTTGGCATTGTTACTGTCTTACACTACGTTTTTATGTATGCCTTTACTGTAAAAACTGATTGGTTAAAATAACCATGAAAATTGTTTACCTCAGATGCATTTAACCACTTTAACCAATATTTTTATGGTTTCTTTAACTATTCATATGGTTATTCATTGGTTAAAACCAATCAGTTTTTACACTGTTGTTATCCTTCACCATAAATGAGGTACACAAAAAACCCTGGGAACGAGTTTATGTATTACAATAGTTAAAAATGTTTAAACATGCATGATCTTTCTGGCGTTTTAATATAGATGATGCATGATTTTAGCTTTTTGATAAAAGTTAAAGGAGCTCTTTTCTTCAAGCTAAATCGTGATGTTGCCATACATACGGTGCAAATGTATAAACGATTTTTGAAGCAATTGTGTTTCATTATTTTCACAGATATTTGATGCTGGCAAAACGTGTGCTGTTAGAGCAATACCTGTCGGAGAGTTTCTCCTGAAGAGGTCGAAAAAGAACAAAAATGGAAGCGATGATGTTGGAGAATCCTTGGAAGATGTTTGAAATTCAGTGGCGTAGCCAGCCCGCAAATTTGTCGTGCTATGTTAATTTTTCTATGTTCACTCACTGTAAAAACAAAAGATTTCTAAAGAAATGAATAATGATAATGATCTAAAATTTACATAGTAGGACCAAAACTTGAGAGCTGGTTTCCCCACTGTTGAAATTTTCTATGTATATTTCCAACGATGTCATTTTTTAAAGATTTTATTATAATGTCTCTTTCATTATTGTCATAAATGACAAATTGACAAAGCTCCATGGTGGCCAGCTTGGTGTATACAGAGCGCAAATCTCGGTTTTGGCTCATTTTATATTAGTTTGGCAACAAAAAATCTTGTTTGCAACCTTTCTATTTTTGGGTCATTTTTGCTTCTATTTGAGTGAAACACATAAATTGATGACAAAATAAATTCACAGACAAAATTTTTCATTCATTGCTAAATATGACGAGCAAAGACTGGGGAGGAGAACACCAGAAATAATATGACTCAAATTTGACGTTATACAAGTGAACTCTCTAAAAAACCGGTACGATAACTTCGCCGCCGTATATTATATTGCGGTTTGTGGAAGACTTTTTCCGGAAATGTTGTTCGAAACCGGCAGCCCTCCATATTGTTATTAGAATTCAAGCAAAATAATTCAATTATTAAATATTTCCATAGAAAATACAAAATAAAATGAGATCCGTCCCAAAAAATGCTTCACCCTGTCTTCAAGCCAATCTCGAGTCTGGCTTCTTTTTGGCCAAATTGGCTACTTTTTATCTACTTTTTCTGGGTTATCTCGTGCCCAGACCACCTGGTAATTCTGCCAAGCTCTCAAATTTGTTTATCACGTGTATTGTAGCAATTGTACTGTTCACGTGTGCTGTTCACGAGTACTAAGTTCTATTTTATTTTTATAACATAATATCTCCGACACGCTTTGCCATGAATGTTCATGTCAAAGATATACGTTCACTTCTCAGACAGACATCCTGTATAACTTCGGTCAACTGTAACTCAAATGTAACACTTTACGTTCACAAGCATAACTGTCTCAACTTAGCTATTGCCTTTGATCATTGGTTTTTCAACTCTGAATGTTTTAGTTGTTCCTGTTTGATTGTCAGTGGCGTAGCCAGCCCCGCAAATTTTGGTCCACTTATATGTAAATTTTAAATAATTAACATTATTCATTTCTGTAGAAATCTGTTGTTTCTGCATTGAGCGAGCACAGAAAAATTAATATAGCAGGACCAAATTTGCGGGCTGGTACGTCATTGCCACTGATATGTATAAAACGGGATAACACACTTAGTGCTTGACTTGAAGTCGAGTGGCGGCCATATTGAACTATCCATTTCTAGTATATATTTTATAATCAATTTTCATCCTATTTCTTATTTTTGTTATTTTCTCTTTTAGATATCATGCCAAATCCTTTATTATGATTTCTGAAAGAGAAAATAACAAAAATATAAAATATGATAAAAATTTATTATAAAATATATACTAGAAGTGGATAGTTCAATATGGCCGCCGCTCTCAAAGTTGGCTTCAAAATTTTCTTGGCACCAGAATTAGATTGCGTTATCCAGTCTTTATATATATCAGTGGCCACTGCTGACTGTTCCTTTTCAGCAATTTCTCCACCCGCAATTTTTGCAACTTTTGCCTCTATGCTTTTGGGTTGAACTCCATTGTATCAGGGTTCAATTGTGGTTTATTTATATTATTTTATCGAAAGTGAAATAAATTTCTATAAAAGGAAAATAATCAAATTTGGAAGGTTTTCGTGTAGTGCAAAAAAGTTTAAAGCAAAGAACATAAATTTTTCAATACTGGGACTATGCCAAGATTTCACTTCTGTGTGATGAGGATAAAAAAACCAAAAATTTACGGCCGCCGAGAAGGACAACGTTAATTATATAAATGTGACAATTTGTGGTGGAATGAACGAAATATTAAAGCCAAAGTTTTCAAATTCGATGATTGCTCTTTATAGCTGTTGGCACTCATTACTATTCCATCTGTCTTCTGTGACAAAAAATCTTTGTGAATAGAGAGTAATCAGAAATAAACTTTCACGTGAAAGGTTTTCCTGTATTGTGAGAATTAAAGACACTCAATGAGCATAAATTTTTCAATACTGGGACTATGCCAAGAATTCCATTTTATACGACAAGGAATATTAACCATAAAATAGCCCTTTCTTTCATTCTAGAAGACTTGAAGTTTCAATTTAGTGATCGGAAAATCAAATTAATCATTATAATGTAACATTCCTATCACCATGGAAACGCTTATAATTATTCATATTTGGCATTCGCTGTTTTGATTTGGATCGATGACCAAGATCCTGTACGCGACTTTAAATGAATGGATTTCCTTGTAAAGTTAGTTATCCTGCGAGCAAAACCTTGGTAGAGAAACTTTGGCAAATGGCTTAACAAACTTTGACGCTGTTATTAATTAGTGAAATATCAGGCAAATATATTTTATTGACGATTCAAAGATTTATATTTATTTAACATGCAAGATGTCTATGCATGATTAAATTCCCAAATGCTTTAAACGCTTTCACTCAAACGAGCAAAACTGTTCTGTTCTTCTAAAATTTTGTTTCCTCTCAAAAAAGTTCACTTTTTTTTGTATTTGTAAGTGAGATTTTACAAAATATGAAATTTTTGAACAACCTGTTCAGCAGAGAGTTTATATTTTCTTTCAGCGCTCTGTAGCATTCCGTGTTGCCTAGTGTTGCGTAGGAAGTAAAGTAACTATTATTTTTTAGTGTCATCACTTTTGCGAAAGCGATGATTTGAATCGAGTCCTAAGCAGAGAAGGAAACTGACATCGATAATCTTAGTGAAAGCAACGGTCGAAGAATTCTTTAAACAACGGCAGATAGAATACATCAAAATAGAAACGTCATCAAAAATGGAAGACGAAATGCTAAATACGTTACAATGGACTGAAGATTCATACTCCTTAAGAAATTTTGTTAACGTTTTTTCACTTCCACAAGTCGTGAAAGTTATCCGTGGTTATAATGGCGGTGAACACAGCGCTACCTGCATGTATGTTGTCCACAGTCATCGTGGCAAATCATGCAGGCGTTGTGGCCACAAACAAAACATTTAATTCTAGAATGCTCATCAATATCTTATTCTTTAATCGACCCCCTGACAAGGTTTCATTTTGGTCCGTCTACTTCCTTTCTTCCCTAATTCCCTAAAGTTAACTTCATTCACTGAATATATAACTGGGAAAATAACTGTTCTGTTTTCCGAGTGTGTGATGCGATTTATGTTAATATGGCGCATGGTAAGCAGATTGATGCTTCTAAAATTGTTGTTGACGAAGGACGTTTAGCTATGATTTCTTTAGTGCTTGGGGAATCGTGGCCGTTGTATGGCAGCGAAATCCTACATTCCTGCAAATATATTTCAATGGACAAAAAATCTGTGGCCATAAGGCGCCATACTATTATTTACTTTATCATAAACAAATGTTTGGGGCTTTTCAGTTTATGATCATTGATCATTCAATCATTGGACAGTTATACTACATATTGTTTAAGATTTGCGAAAACTAACATTGATTACATGAGAAGCTGTTTACTATAACCTGTGATTTTGAGTTGTCATATCCATGAAGCTTTTTATTTGGACAATTTGACTGGAATGGTATTAAACCTGAGTATTTCACATACATGAAATGTTGTCCCATGTCACACATTGTCCCCTTTTCTAACTGAGCACCTCATGTAGAAATGTAAAGGTGTGTTAATCTACGGCTCATACCAGATTGCTTGCCATAAATTCCAAAGGGCTATTGATGTATGAAAAGCATTTTCTATAAAGTAAAAATGTCTTTCTATGTATGCAGATAAACCTTGAAATTTGGCAAAACAGCAAAGTATTTTTCATGATCGCTAAGTAATTTCTCTGATGATCATTATAATTTCTAAACTAAATTATTTCAGATTTACATTTAAACGAGCTTTGATCCTATGAAAAGATATTTATCATAACCAGTAAGCATGACACATGAACCAATTTTAACATTCGTGTAATTATATAATTAAAGACATGTTGGTTACATTCTGTTTGTATTTGCAAATACAATGCTACTAGTGATTGCTATATAGCACACCTTGCATATATTTACAGAAGATAATAGTCTAGTGAAATGCCTAATAAACATTTATGGCATAAAGCTGTCCTTAACTGCAAATTTTCACTCTGATAGTTTTTGCTTAATCTTTGGCAGAAAAAAATTTTGAGTGTTTTCTCAGAAAGTGAATTTGCGGCACTGATGTGGAGATGGGTAAAGGGTTACAATAAACTTGCATGGTTGAAGTCTGAGCTTTTCTATATCTATGAACTGTCACTTGTAGTACCAAATTTCTAACTTAAATCATCACATAGAGGTTTGAATGCGGATCTCTAGGGGGGTCTATGCCTGACAACTTGGTAGAAATTTTTAAAGACTATATCTGTTTTTGAATAGCATGATTGTAAAATAAATTTTACGTTCCTAGACATGCTAATGAGCCTAAATATTTGGCAAAACATTCAAGTATTGTTCACTTCATTTTTTTTTGAAAAAAACGTTGTCAAAATGTGTTGTTTTTACGCAAAAACCATGCCCACAAAACCCATTTTGTATTGCTCTAAAACGCTGAAAATGGCATTTTTAAGGCTCTGAAATACAAAGTTTCTCAGGGGAGAATGCCTCAGACCCTCCCAGGTGTGGAGCGCCTCCGACGTTTTATGACTAATGTTTGAAAAATCCTAGATCCGTCTCTGGCAAGAACGTAAGCACAAACATTGGCTACAAATTCATTTCACTAATCGACAAGCACTCTCTCATAGACCACAAACTCAGAAAACTATCTAACCGCAACAAAATTAAATTGAGTTACAGCTGCATGAACAATATGGAACATATTATCAATAACCATAACAAACGCATATTGAGAGAACCTGACAGTACTAATGACACCATAAATGACAAAAATACACAAACTAAAACATGCAACTGCCGACAGAAACAAAATCTGCCCACTTAACGGAAACTGCCTACAATCATTTGTCATCTATCAAGCAACTGTTTAACGTTTGGACACTAACACAACTAAGACCTACATCGGACTTACAGAAAACGAATTTAAGACTCAACACAGGAATCACACTGCCTCTTTCCGCCACAAAGAACTAAGAAACTCTACGGAACTCAGTAAACACATATGGACACTTAAAGACAACAACATCGCTCACGATATCTGATGGAACATTATTACTCACAGCAAACCGTACAACAGCGCCAACAAAAGATGCAACTTATGCCTGAAAGAAAAATTCATCACCTACCAACCACAACTATCATCACTCAACAAACGTAACGAACTTATCTCCTGTTGTCGCCATAAACACA